AGTAATTCTTTTGGTTTGTTCATATAGTGGCTGTCAGGTGGGGACGGGCAACAGCACTCGTGTAATAAAACTGTGGGCTTTCCAACCATTAAATGTATGTAAAACTAATACAGTATCTTGAGCTAATATTCCCCACACAAAAAAAAAAATTATAGCCACTACTCTCTCAAAGAAAAGCTGCTTTAGAATTGAACATGAATGTTTAAGGTTTTAACACAAAATAGTAAATACTATATAATAAAAATTGGCTTACACTTTAATTAAGTAACCTTGATAAATTTCAAGTCAATATGATAACACTTCCATCACAAAAACTGGTAAAATAAAAATAGTTAATAACATAGCTTAGTAGATACTAAATATCTGATAGTAAATAGGGCCCGTCTTACATGGGCCAATAAGGCTACAGGTACATTAATTATTCCTATGTACTTTTTTTTCTCAAGTACTGGAAGTCCAATTGGCTTAGAAATATTCAAATGACCTATTTTTAACTTGCTAAACCTCTTTATAGTTCAAAATGATATAGTTTATAATTAATAACCAGAAATTAATGTGTAAAATGATATTTAATGTTTCTAATTTTTAATTTCCTTTACTGAAAATTTCTTTAGGTTATTGAAAATAAAATGTACTGGTACTTTACTATATTTACTTATCTTTACAAGTACAGCATAAACTTAAGTTCATCTAGTTAATTACACACACACACTCTTCATTACATTAATTGTAAAATAAAGGAATACTCTTAAACTTACACTTATTGACCGTCTCTCTCATGATTATGTACATCTTAAAATGTGAGAAGGGTTAGCCCTAACTGGAGCTTTAAATGTACTGTACTGACTCTTACACTTATACACATACATACGCACACACACAAATTCTTTTATTACCCAATAAGAGTAGCCAACCATTTCATTTTTGACCAAAATTAATTGACTGGCTCATTGAGTGTCATCCGAGCATTTCCTTACCGCAACCCTTACAGTAAATACAATCTCTAGCACCAGTTAGTAAAATTGCAAGATAATTTTTTTTTAAATAACAAAAATAAAACTCTACTATACAAACAAAACTCTGGAGGAAAGGTTAACATTCTTCCTTACCTATCCAGTATATGAGTGGGGGAACTTTTCAAGGTTAATTAATTTTTGAGAAACTTGACGCTTTCTCCACATAGTTCCCTTCCCTTCACACTTAAAATTATTTATTCTTTTCTCATAGACATGTAGACCACATATTTACATTTACTGCAAACAAGCAGAATGGCTGAGAACCCAAATCAAAAGCAATGCAAGAAGGTAACATGCATATGTGAGGGGGTAAAGGTGTGTTGTAAACATTGTGAACACTAGGCAACTGTACTTGTGAGCACAAGAGAGCTGTACTCGAGGACACTGTGTGGTAGTGCATATGGACAATAGGCTGACTGATAGTAGAAGATTTCAGTTGGTGTCTAATGATTAAACTTAAGTACCATATGGAAGGTCTTAATATGTTGCCATGTTAATGTCATGAAATAAAAGTCACCTATTCTTCTTTGGAAATAAACCAAAAGGTTGCATATTTGGAAGACAAAGGAAGGAGTGTATGTTTGTAATACAACACGAGAAAGAATTGTGTCTTAAGAAAAAGAGAAACAGTAGAAACATCAAATTAAAATAATTGTATTAATTTAATTGGTACACTTACTGTAAATTCTGAAACATTTAATGTTCCACATTGCAGAAGAACTAAGTAAAAACATATTTAATCTTTCATATGAAGACAATGTTATATTTTATAGATCAGAAGGTATTTTAATGTCACACAAATTGTAAAGAAACAGTGGGAACAGCAACAAAATCTAGTAGACTTGAGGCAAGTGAATTTCAGACCAGCAACTCCGTATGCTGGAAGAACTGCACATCTATGGACCATCCAATAAGATTAGCAGACTTCTAGACATTACCACTGTTAGACTTAGGCTTGGCTACAAGTACCTCTGGGAGTTTGCACCACCTGCTGTCAAACATTTACTAAATGTAAAAAGTAACAAAGAAGTAATGTTCTCTTGTCATCAGAACTATTCACACACTGCATCACTATGTAACTGAAAGTATAAAATCATGAAATTCAGAGATAACTATCAATGGTGTTCAAGAAATGAGTAAGTACTTCACTTAAAATGATGTACTACCAGAAATCTTAGCCAAGTATCCAAAGTTTGCTTACTGTAGGTAATGCATGCACATGACTGTGAAGGTAAGGTAAGGTAATTATCAAAAGAAGGCACCAAACCGGGAAGGCTATGTAGCACCATCAAAGTGCGAAATAATCAGAGGGCGCTAAATATCACCAAGAATGCCAATACGAGAACAAAAATGCATAAGGCGAACGATACCAAAAGTATTCGATTCACCTAGAATTCTATCGAGGGACAAGTGACCGCAAGGGACGGTTGGAAAGCAAGACACACGCTCGTTCTGGAAGTCAGGACATTCAACAAGGATATGCACAACTGTAAGAGGGACAACGCAAGTCAGACAATAAGGAGCAGGGCGGCGCTCCATTAAGTGACCGTGGGTTAAGCGAGTATGGCCAACCTGCAGCCGTGCCAAAGCAATTTCCCACCGCCGGTTACGGTGGTAGGAAGGCCACGGGGACACACTACGTTTGAGAGTACGCAGCTTGTTACTAACCACAGAGGACCAACAACCCTGCCAACGGGCAAGGATGGAGGAATGAATAACAGGATAAAAGTCGGAATAAGGAATACCTTTACGGGAGATGGGACAAGAACGGATAGCTTCCTTAACGGCAGCATCCACATGCTCATTAAAAGAAACACCAATATGGCTGGGAACCCAGCAAAGCTCCACTGATTTAAATTTACTACAAATAAGAAACAGCCAATGTTGAATCTCGATGACCACCGGATGGACAGGATTAAAGGACCCTAGAGCCATGAGGGCACTACGAGTCAACTACAACCACAAAGGAGGAATGAGAATGAGAAAGCAAGAGACGGAGAGCATAGAGAATAGCATAAAGTTCTGCCGTAAAGACGCTAGCCTCCGAAGGGAGGCGACACATATAAGTACGGTCAGGAAAAACAACAAGAGTAGCCCACACCGTCCGCAGACTTAGACCCATCGGTGACGATGGAAATAGAGTGGGAGTGCGAAGAAAAGTGCTCAAGGAAGAGGCTTTTCAGAATTGTAGGAGGGGTAAAGGCTTTAGTAATACAAGTCAAGGACGTACAAAACTTGGGAAGGGGAACTCTTCACGGAGGCAAGGAAGGAACAATATGAGGAGAAACATTAGAAATATGAACAGAAAGAGAATCCTGTAAGCCAGATAACCGGACAGAAAGTGGGAGACGATGAAGAGGAACAGGAGCTACAGGAGGAGGAAGTCAAAGCAGAGGCGAGGAAGGATGTTGTAAGGACCACGCAAGATAGCGAAGACAGTAGCGATCACGGCGGTCCTGAAGAGAGAGAAAGCCAGTGTCAGCATATAAACTGAGGGCGGGAGTCGAACGAAAGGCACCAGAGCCGAGACGCAACCCAGTATGGTGCAAAGCATCAAGACGGCGAAGAGTAGAAGGAGAAGCAGAAGAGTATGCAGGGCAACCATAATCGAGTTTAGACAGGGCGAGAGAGGAGTGCAAATAGAGGAGCGTGCGCCTATCCACTCCCCAAGAAGTATGGGACAAAACCTTAAGTAGGTTAAGGGCCTTAGAGCATTCAACTCGGAGGTAAGAGATATGGGCTGACCAAGACAAACGAGTGTCAAAGACTAACCCCAAAAGCTTTGCGGAATCCCTGTACACAATGGGATGACCATAAAGCGACAAAGAGGGACGAAGAACGACATGCTTCCGAGTAAAAGTCATAGCACAAGTCTTAGACGCAGAGAACTTGAAGCCATGATCAGTGGCCCACATGACTGTGAAGCTGCTGCTGAGTTAAATGGGTGTGGAGCAGGATTAGTAACTTTGTAACTGACCGAGAGAGAGATACAAACATTGTATTGAATAGCTTCATAAGATCCAAACATTATGCCATCCTCTTTTTTTTTTTTTTTTTTTTTTTTTTTTTTACAATCTATAAGAATGTCTGTGTCTGTGTATTTGGTTGCAAGGTGAATAGCATGGGGCCAGTCCTATGAAGGTCAGCCCCAGTAGTGACACCACCATGTGATCAGTGAAAAGTGGCTAGCAGAGTTCCTAGTAGTTTTCTTCACTCGAGAACCATGAATGTGAATTAATTGTAACATTTACACATACACAGTGAGCAAGAGAGATAGGGGGGCAGGTGGATTGAGGGAAGAGATGGGGAATAGAGAAAGATGAGGGGGAAGAGGATATAGAGAAAGCAGTCTCCGTGGTGTAGTGGTAAGACACTCGCCTGGCATTCCACGAGCGCTTTGTCATGGGTTCGTATCCTGGCCGGGGAGGATTTACTGGGCACAAATCCTTAACTGTAGCCTCTGTTTAAGGAGGAGGGCAACTGGGAGAGGGAAGTGAGGGGGAGATTAGGAGAGAGAAAGTGGGGAGGGGGAGGTTGGGAGAGAGGAAGCAGGAGAGGGGGGTGGGAGAAGGTTGGGAGAGGAAGCAGGGGAGAGAGGGGTGGGGGGAGAAGGTTGAGAGAGGAAGCAGGGAAGAGAGGGGTGGGGGGAGAAGGTTGGGAGAGGAAGCAGGGGAGAAGGTTGGGAGAAAAAGCAGGAGGGGGAGGGGAGAAGGTTGGGAGAAAAAGCAGGAGGGGAGGGGAGAAGGTTGGGAGAGAGGAAGCAGGAGAGGGGGGGTGGGAGAAGGTTGGGAGAGGGGGGGGGGAGAAGTTTGGGAGAGAGGAAGCAGGAGAGGGGGGGTGGGAGAAGGTTGGGAGAGGGGGGGGGGAGAAGGTTGGGAGAGAGGAAGCAGGAGAGGGGAGGGATGGGGGAAGGAGGGGGGTGAGTGGAAGCAGGAGAGGGGGTGAAGGTTGGGAGAGGAAGCAGGAGGAAGGGGGAGGAAGGTTTGGGAGAAAGGAAGTGGGGGGAAATTGGGAGAAAGAAAGGAGAGGGGGACCTTGGTGGAGACAGTTGGAGTGGGGGGAGGGAGACGGGAAGAGAGAGAGGATAGGGAAACAGATGAGAAGGGGTAGTGGGGAAGAAAGAGATACCCAAGTACATCTGGGTAAAGCCCCTCCAATTGGGTTTGTTTTCGACACACAATAGGGAGTCCCGGGTTTTAATTTTGTCGGGCAAAAATGGTTGGGCACGTTTTCTATTGCCTCTGGTCTTCTAGCTGTAAATGGGTACCCAGGTGTTAGTCAATTTATGAGGTTGCATCATGGGGAGAGGTCAATAGTTTGACCTTGGGTGACCTAACTATAAGCCTAACACATATATATACATGTACCAGTATATACAGTGGATGCCTGCCCCCTGATGAAATGAATTATAATAATACACTATAAGAGAGAATGTATCTGTACAAGGTTAGTGGCCAAACATTTTGTGCTAACCTCACCCAACTTTGCAGAGTGAGTGGTCTGGGGTGTGGTATGGACACTGGCTGGTCAGGAATAGTCCTATTAGTTCTATTAAAGAGGGATTTTAGTCCATAAAATGGCTGCACTAGCTATGAATCAATTAAATACCCATTCACCATTTTCACTAGAAAAGCAAATAAAAGCTATTATTTCAAGCAAAATTTTGATTCAAGTAAAATACTATAGAAAAATATAATAAAACTAAAACACAACAAAAAAATCTCTGCCGTGTTAGAGCTGCAAATTTGAGAAAAGCAACTCAACAGTAAGATCCGATGACTAGGCTTATGTGCCTGCATACACCCACTCAGTTCAAAACAAACAAGAATTTCAATTTGTAAGATTACTTTGTACATTCCCTAACAATTCAATTGAAAGTTAAGGCAAATTAACTTTGCATTACAACCACTCAAAATAGGTTATTTTGAGGTGCTGAATGAAAGATACAGAAGTACAAAAAATACAGGGATGAGTTGGTGTTAATGTAAGTGATGCTGATAATGGTAATGTGGTGGGATTAGGACTGCAGTTGTAGTGATGCAGTAGTAGTTTTGGTAGTAGTAAGTAATTATCAAAAGAAGGCACCAAACCGGGAACGCTATGTAGCACTAGTTTTGGGTAAGAGGTGATCCAGTGACAGTGAAAATAATAGTGGTAGTGATATTTTTGGTGGTAATGGATGATAGGTTGGATGATGGAGATAGTGGAAGACAACTGGTCTGGGATAGGTACACACACCTACATTATGTTCAAGGGCTGCTGCGTGGAACGGATGCCAATGATATATACAATATAATTAAAATTTCACAATCTGGACAGAAGTTATATAATTGGCTATATATATACAATATATATATATAGCCTATTGTATTGTATATATATACTATACAATACAAAGAAAACCCCCATAAACACCTGCTTGGTGTTTACTCACATACTTACCAAACATGTGAAAGCAATTCTAAGGGAAAAGTCTGGACACAGCATTAAATCACAACCAACCGCTCCAATTAAGAAGAATTTGCAACATATAACTATTGGAGTTATGATGACAAAAACTGAAATATTGTAATGTAAGCATTTGGACTAAGACACATTAAAAAAATAATTAAAATATATTGTAACTTTTGTACTAAAAATAAAAATACAATTGTATCTTGAGAAACATCCCAGGGTATCATTTGCAATATATGCTTCATCTAAGACTTAATCAATGATCAGGTCACAGCTCTCCACTTCATTGAACTGGCTGTTGATGCTAAGAGCCCACTCATCCAATGCTTGCTCCTGGAAAGTGTAAAGATATTCTTAGTTATATGTTTATCAAGCCACATTGAAGATTAGTTGGCATTAAAAATAATAAATAGCAAAGAAAAATATAACTTGAATTTATTTAGAATATTGCATATTGATAAAAATAAATGAGTGATGAGCACATTTATTGGAGAAAGGGAAAAAAAAAACAAGACATGTGCAAGGAGCCTCTTGCTGTATCTGATCACAGCAATTAACTAAGCACATGAAAAATGATTAAAAATCAAAATTATATATTTTCTTTGTTCTCAGGACAAAAATTCCACTAATAATTGATGAATTTGCTGGTGTGCCAAAGACAGCAAACATTTCATTTATATACAGTATTATTTTATATTAAATTTGGCTGAAATCTAATTGAATTGACCAAAGATTCTTTGAAAATCTGAGAAACAGGAGTGATGTTAGGAGAATAAATAGAATAACGTATAGGTATCAAGATGTGCTCAAGAAATATGGAGCGCAAAAGTCAATAAACCTTAAGATGAAGGAGACTGCACCAAGATTGGTTAACAAATGTTGATAAATGGGTAAATAGGTGAATATCAATATATTCAAGTGAATATGTGGACAGGAAGAGTAAAGAAAGACCAGAAAGAAAATGTGAAGACATAGTGAGGGCAAGAAAGTACAGTAGTAGGGAAGGTTGGCAATGTATCGTATATAAGGGACAAGGTGGTGCATGCGCATAACTAATTACCAAAGTATAGTTACAGGATGAGAGCTTTGCTCATGGTGTCCCATCTTCCTTACAATCTTTGTCATATGACAGTTTGAAACTGCTGATGGTTTTGGCATTTGCAACTTTCTTTCTCATTTAAATTGTTTCAATGGCCTACAACTCTGTTTGCCAGTAAGAACTTTTTTCAGTACCTTTGTTTCCTTATCTTGAATATGACATTTTGTTCTTCAAGTATCAGGTTTAAACAATTCCTTATCAATTTTGTTAATTCCAGTCATCAGTTTGTATCTAGTGATCATATCACTTATTTTTTCTTCTATCTTCCAACTTTGGCATATTTAATGCCTCTAGTCTCTCTTCATAGTTCTATGTTGTGAACAGTTTCCTTGACATTTCTGTCCATATATTATAAATACAATTCTGAAATTTGCCAATGACCCATAGGCTCCTCTTAACACCTTTGATGTTAACATCCTCTTGTCATAGTTTACCATCCAGAACTACCCCTAGATCTTTGATTGTAGATTCTTTATAGACTACAAAGTAAACATTAGTAGTGAAAGAACTGAACTATGAGGTATTCCATTTACTAGTGACATTTCTCTAGTCAGATACTGGAATGCAGATAACGAATCACAATAACTTAGCTGAAGATACGAAGACTAAAGCTCACACCAGAAGATGAGAAGACGACAACGTTTCAGTCAATCCTGGACACTTATCAAGTCGATTGTGATAATGGTACAGGTCCAGGATGTACTGAATCCACTTGATAATGGTCCAGGATGAACCAAAACGTCGTCGTCTCCTCATCTTCTGGTGTGTGCTTTAGTCTTCAGATACTGTGATCATTGCATCTGATCACTGCACTCATTTGTCTGTCCATTAAAATATTTTCATTTGTCAATAGTTGGCCTGTCCCCTGTGTTCTAACTTTAGAACAGTTTCTTGTTTGGGACTATTTTTTTTTTATTTTTTTTTTTTCAAGTTTAGGTAAATGCAGTTAATGCAACCCTCTCTTACTTGCAAGATTTCTGTGACTATTGTAAAATCCAAGAGGTTTCTTGAGCAAGATCTTCCTGTTCAAAAACTAAATCGACCATCAATTATGTGATTTATTTCCAGGTAATCTGCCGATTTAATATAATTTTTTTTTTTTATTTTACTAACATGCTTGTCAATAATAAAGGCCTGTAATTTAGAGGGTCTTCTCTGCTTATGTTTTTACTGACTGAGACTATGTTTGACTTTTCCACGTCAATGAGGTACCTCATTTGTACGAACAGACGAGACAAGTCCAGGATGAACCTCAGATCCGCAGTCCCGTTTTGGCACTGAAAACAGTCGGGAAACCCACCTGAGGGACGGGGTCACTTCCACAACACCCAAGCGTACCCACTAGGAGATGACCCGTCAAAGTGCAGGGAAAGAAGCCTGTCCCCACCAGCCCCAAACCCTTCGGAGGAGGAGCCGCCCAATGCCACCACAGGCCAGAGGAGACGACCTGAAGCAACCACAAATCGTGGGACCAGGCATGAGCAAACAGAGCTGGCTCCCCCCCCCCCCCCCATCGCCCCCGTCAACAGGCGAACTCTGAAAGGGATGATAAGCAGAGCAATCATTGCGCCCACCAGACAACGCCAGCTCTGAAGGCAACATCGGTTCAGAAGCTGGCACCAAATGTCTACCTTGACATTGAACCTGAACCCTGGCACGACCCTTCCGAGAAGGCCGAGAATGGTCACCCCGGAGAACCAACAAGTCCAACATGGGACAACAACTAGACGAAGTCGCCTGTAGAAACTGCGTGACTGTAGACTCCACAAACAGCAATGGACAAAATGGTGAAGGAAACTTAAGAGCCAGGGGCCCAGGCGGATTCCAAAGAGAGCGAGCACAGCCTGTCGGCATGCAAGACGAGAAGCAAAGAACCGAGACACCGCCTCCTTGAGAATCAGCGTAAACAACTTCAACAGTGCGGCCGATGCCCGACCAGCCGAGGTCAGCACACCAGATGAAGGCCTGGCACTCAACGCCTCCACATTCTCCTCAAGCCAGGCCAAAGGTAGCTCAAGAAGGAAAAAGACATGCAAGTCAAATGCCCACGGACGCACAAATTTTCACCAACCAAAGATGCTGAAAAGGTAGTAACCTGCATGTGCAGCTGTACAAGGCCAACATCATGAGGAAGCACAGGGGCAAACAAGCACACATTAAGGTGCTCAAACTCGCTCCCCAGGTAAACCTGCAGGACAGAAGTAATTTCTCGCCATTCGAGCATGTGGGTCCAATAGAACTCCTTGCCACGCTCCCAACGAAAAGAACGAGCAGTCTGCCAGCCAGGAAGACTCCGGAACCTCCAAACGCACCCAATACAGGAAAGAACAACCGAACTCAAACGAGGATGTATCCAACTTGGAGGCAGAATCCGGATCTCACAGGAGATACGCAGCAAGCGCCTCCCAAACCTACATCGGGGAGATTGTAACGGGGTCTTGGGTAATGGGCTCTCTTTCAACCATTAGCCCGCCCTTAATTAACTATACTTAAAAACCCAGCGCTCTACTATAGCTTTCAGTCCACTCCTTGTGATCTTAGGCATTTGATCGCCTCAGATACTACACACACAAGAAAATGTACTGGGTCCCTAGCAAACCCTGAGGTCTTCCAATACTGCCACCACCAACCCATATAACAATAACTATTAATTAATTGTGGGTTGGATCAATCAATTAACCATTAAATCCTTGAGGGTTAATCCCCAATTAATTGAAAAGGGGAGGGATGAATTTACGTTAAGTATGGATTAAACTAAAAAACCAAGGGAATATATATACGTATTTTATAAGATTAGGCTTGCTTGAAACATATCAGCGACTCCTTCAATAACCACCAGCTAGTGGCTCGTGGCAAAGACAATATATGTATTCTTATGGGTGAACTCAAAACGCAAAACTTTGACATTTCTCAACACGTTTATTGAACCATGATTAATATTAATGGGATAAATTAATACGGCATTCCATACTCTGAACACTTCCTAAACTGAAATGCATCCTACTGAAATATTTCCTAAAATAGAGGCAATGAATTAATATATCTAAAATGAACTGTACCAACTATTTTAAGCACTTTGCCATTAACTTAAGGCCAGCTTGATGTTCACCAGGCCTTATGGAGGTTAGGTGTTGACCTCCCAGCTGTGCATTCCACAGTCCCAGACTGTGAAGCTAACTAGGATTACTCTGCCAGCCTCTTTGGTTGCCAGAATTAGTACTCAGGGTTAATTGAACAAGCTAATTTTATTTACTGGCCACCCAGATTACTGAATTCCTATTGAAATTGACAGTAATTCTGTAGGTTCTTGGACCTATTTCAAATTACAATATTGAATAGTGACCTGAATTTATAATCTATGAATTATCAATACGGAAGGTTGTGTGTCTTCCCGGCCGCCTGACCTTGACCCTGGATGGATCAGAGACGAAGCCAGTCGTGCCCAATGAATTAGTCCCCTATTCTAAATGAAGTCACTGTCTCTTTGATAGCATACGAGACTTGATCTTTACTCTAAATTCATGTTAACCTAGCATAAGTACTTAAACCAGATTAGTTATTACTACAATTACTGTTATTATTGAATAATTCATCAATGATTTTACTCATCAATGATTAGCCAGTTTGTCTTATACCTCTGCTAATCCTTTAATCTCTGGAGAGATTAAAGGATTAAACCTTTTGCTTCTACCCAGGTAAAAAGCTCCCTGTGACTCCAAGCTTGTGTTCCCTCTAACCCATATGATCTAAGATTTATAACTTCTAAAAACCAGCTTAGCTCGTTACAAGACCCAAGAAACAGAAAACCTCCGGAAACGAGACAAGGAACCCAAGGGAACCCGGAACTGAACACTGGGAGGGCCGATCCCAAATCATACTCGTACAGGGAAGGAGGGTAAAAAAAAAAAACCTGCTCCTGCAACAAGCCCCACAAAGAGAGCACTAACACCCAAACGGGGTCAATGGAGGCCCAAGCCCCATAGATCAACTCCACTCCAGCCCTGGGATCCCCCAACTTGGGATCACCAGGCCAGACATGCCTGAATAGACATTTAGGCCATTAAAGTAGCCTGCTCTGAGCACTAATTTTTTCAAAGCAAACATGCCGGCCACTCGGGACACTTGATGAAGAGCACCCCGTGCCAGCCGGCGGGGCTGTTCGCAGCGTGATAGTAAGCACCAGGGCTGAGCAATCCTCCACACCCTCTACTCATGAAGAAAAGGCAGAGTCCAGGAGAAAGACTGAAAAGAAGGGGGCCTGCTGGTAGGACCCAGAAACCTTGGCAGGAGGAACCGACTCTAATGCCTCTATCCCCAACCCAAATGGGGCAGCCCCTGAAGCTGCCAGTCTCATTACCAACTAAACCCTGCCTAGACTCCGAAACCCTCAGATGTTTGGGAGCGGGAAGCAGGGGATGGGGAGCAGGGTGAACAACCGGGAAAAGGACCAGGGAGCATGGACTGAATCAAAGTCGAAGTGACTAATGCCCCCCCCCCCAAAGTCTGGGTCCCTATAACCAAAACGGGGCAGCCTCGGGGCATCCGGGTGGGCAACCCACCTAGCACATTGCAGCAACCTAAACCTAGCATGCAACATGGATGCTGCCTGTACCCTAACATTAATGTCATCAGAATAGAACAGCACTGAAGAATAAGCAGAGAACATGACTCACAAGACTCCAGGTCAAAAGTGTCGTCGACCCAATAGGCAGCATGATGGAGGCAAAAGTGGTGACCATCACCCGGAGACATGGGGATACAGCAATCTTCAGACCCGCACGAGGTGGGGTGGAACACCGAAGATGCATCCATAGGTCCACCGAGCCCCGACAGGGTTTTCCAGACTGACTGTTACAGGAAGCCCGGGCAAGGTGTTGCTAACCGGTCAGACCCAAAAGCTAACAAGGGGGATGATCACAACACTGAAAACCCTACGACGTGTACAATCACGGGGGCCAAGCAAAGGGCCACCAAAATATGATAAGTGGACCTAAAGCCACAGTAGGCAGACCCCCCACCAGACACACAAAACAAAAATGAAAGATAAACCCTGCAGAAGGACGTCACCAGGGATAACAGGAACCGGTCACTGCTGTAGGTAGGCAAGCTGCACAACACCTTGACACCCCAACTAGCAACAATACCGCTTCCTACCTAAGGCCAAACAAGGGCCATGAAAACCTCAGCTGGCCCCAATGATAGGGTAAAACCCGAGCAACAAGAACCCCTATGAAAACGGTTCCCGAACTCACCGGGGAAGATAACCCTGACACGCAAGGATAGTACTCACAGGGCACTTAGGGAAGGCCGCCCTAATCACATGCAGCACCAGTACACTTCAGGTACACCTGGCCACCACACTACGAAACAGAGGACGCCACGAAGGGAAACACCGAGGCCAGAGATGACGACCGCCCCGAATTGCAGTAGCCAAAGTGTTGAGGTTGAGTAGCTGGTGGGGTGGGTCCAGACATCCCAGGGGGGGGGGGGGTGTCAGCGGCACAGAAGAGCGACGTGATGGAGTGGTGTGATGTTTGCTTGTTCTACCTCTCTGTTTGGCTTTTGGTTGTAATTTTTGCTCCATTTGGGGCCTGTTTTGTTATGCTTACCTTTCTGGGTGCCTAACCCTGGTTAATGGCATATAAAGTTAACCCCAAATCACAAGGGTGGTTTTCCAAGACCATTGCTCCTTGTGCCTCTCTGAGGGGGGCCATGTTCTGGCTAGTGGTCCTTGGTAGGCATAACTCCATTGGCTATTGCCCTGGTCTAAAGATTGCATATTAACCCAATAGCTCCAGGGAGCCGAAGGGGCTCCCCACAGAAAAGTTATAAATACATGAAATCATCTCAAGTATCTGAGTAAGATTTTATAAGACTACCTACTCCATTATTGAAAAGTTCCAGGAAGGAATAAGGCATCAAAGACATACATATACAACGCATATTGGAGTATACAAATGAATGGAATTTCAAACCTTTATGGTTTTACGCGTCAACACAGGGTAGACATCCATTAACAATTTCATAACCAATACATAGCTACTATTATATTTAAATTTTAAGATGAACACAATAAATGTTATTAGTCTAATGACATTTAATGACAATTTTTTTTGCCATAACCATCTTACTTTTTTGGAAATATTTTTTTTTTCTGAGAAAGAGGAGTCATCCATTGTCAGGCTTAAGTCTGCAGCATCTTTCTTCTTCTTCTTCTTCTTCTTTTTGAGAGTAATATTAGACTTTAACGTCTTCTTCTTCTTTCTCTTGCTTGTCTGCTTTAATTCAACATCCTAGAGGTAAAAAAATGAAATGTTTCACATAAAATAAACAAATCATTAGACAATATTTCAAGCATACATTATACCTGCTTGATGTGCAATATTCCACCCCAGCACCAATATGGGTACTCAACACAAGATATTTAGTGACACCCTATCTTTCAAAACATAACACCTTCCCACCACATAATAATCGACAACCGATGAGAAGTTGACATAATGGCACTGCAGGTTTGGAATCAGAATGATAAACTGATAATCATAAATGCCTATAGCCCAGAAGCAAGAAACACATGGACAAAGGAGGAACTAGGTAACAAATGAGAGGGCTTTATAATTGTCATGAGAGAGATTATAAAAAGAGAATATAAAAGATAAATCAGGATTGTTGGTACTTGGGGACTTCAACTTGAAAGCAAAAGACAGAGAGGCGTACGAAGCAAAAGAACGGTGGACATTTGGACAGGCAGATTTGTAAAGCTCATCCTGGAGACATTCAAGAACCAACACATCAAGCATGACATGAGAATGTGGGAAGGGGATGTTTCACCAATACTGGATTTAATATTCACCAAGAAAGAAGACTAGATATTTGACATTCAGTACCTTTCTCCCTTGGGGAAAGAGTGATCATGTCCTGTTGGAAATTTAATATATATTGCGATATAATTCAGAAGAGAATAGAGAAATTGAAACAGTTGATGAACTTGATTTCAAGCTAGGACAATATGAGGAACTCAAATTTTATAATGTATATATGTAACTGGAAAAACTTGTTGCCAGGCAAGGAAGTAAATGAGATGTATGTCAAATTCTGTGAAATACACAATGAACACAAATTTTTTTTATACCAAAACAGAGATGCAGAACCAGAAAACAGGATTAATTCAACAGAAATTATAAGAAGAAAAGACAAACTAATGGGGTACATATAAAAAGAGTCTTGCCACACACCAAACCCCATTCAGACATTCTGCCAATGTCACTCCCCATTCGCAAAAATTCTCTTGTGGACACTCCCCATTCACACACACACTTCACCATGGATACTCTCTGTTCCCAAACGTGTCTACATGAACCCGTCATATTTACATTTCCATATGCACACTTTAAGACATCAACAGATTGCTCTAGGCCTTGTACACACATTTTCTCCATGATGCTGCACAAAATACTGAATATGTAGTAACTCACTTCTTCACTTTCAGACATGGAGGCACCCGCGTGTTCAGAAATAAATTTCCGTCGAATTTCTTCCAAGATACTACGGTCATAGGATTTCCTTGGTGGCTGTAAAATAACACCAAACACCATTAGCATAATATTTTAGTCAAAGGTTCATATAATAGGACTAATTGATCTATCTATAATTTTGTTTGTATAGTATCTAGACTAATTCACAGTTTATTATCTACTAGTATGATGTGGTATCAACATTACTCGTGAGAGTACATATTACAATATTAGTAATGCATACATTTGGTATATTTTTTTATTTCTTATACAGTATACTGTAGTACAGTACTCTTTATTTCCCCTTTAAAAGTAAAACCCCCTATACAGTAGTTTTTTATTCACCTCCATACATTCTCATTACTGTACTATAGTAATGTGCAAGTCCTACATACTTCACATGCATTTTATTCTACAATTCTCACAAACCTGTGGTGAAACTATTAGCATGGTCGGCTCTCAACCTATTAGTCCTGGGTTAAATAATCTGGCAGGACATATTTTGTGCATTTCTTACACCCAGTGATTTTGTTCATATAGCAGCAAATAGGTACCTAAGAGTTAGTTAACTTTTGTGGGTTGCATCCTGGAAATGTTCGGTCATTCACTAAGGCGATCTTAACAAGCCTAACAGGCTTCCTGTCCCTGACAATGGGAAACCACTTATTAGTTTGTCCTCCCATTGGAACTCAATTTTCTTTTGTCTACATTTTAATTGCTTTAGTCAAATTTACATATGATTATATACTGTCCTTCCTATAGACCAGGATAGTTCTCTGTGTTTGGCCACTTTAACTTACTGGATTTAGAGAGAAATAAAACACACAGCATTGAATGTAATGAAACACCTCTTTCTGATAGAGCCCTGATGGCTCCCTGAAGCTACCGTGCTGAAAATGCTCCATGCTAATGGGTCACATTAGGCATGAAAGTTCTGTTTGGCACATTGAAGACCAGAGCCAGAACCCTTTACAGAAGTGTCAAAAAGTGAGTACCAATTCACCACCCCAACAGAAAAGCATCCAGAAAGTCAGTGAAACCATACAGACAACTGGAGGATTCATGGAAAAGAAGCCTGGAAATTGTCAAGCAATCAACTTCATAACAATTCACACAGAACAGAAGTTTAACTCAAACTAGCTCAAAACTCGTTAGTATTGTACCAATCACCAAGACCAGACAGCCCGGCTCCTGCCTATAGCCTCCTTTCAAAGTCAGTTCTGGAGCTGATGGACAACACGCTGATGAACTAACAAGCCTGGAGGGAAGGAAGGGAATCAGGAAGCCACTGGGGCTACCAGAAAAAAGCCGTTTCATTACATTTAGCATTGGGTTTCTGGAGGAACTCCCGGTGGATCCCAACTGAAGCAACTAATCACAGAAAACAAAAAGAGGACTTGCCAGGGAGGAGAGATAAAGGCACTAGAACGAAGAGAGCCCCAAGACCAACTGGGATCAGACGCACCAACTAAATACTGGACTGCCAGTATCCTGTTAGACGACCCCCCAAGAGTCAAAATATCAGCCCAGGATATGTTGGAGAAAACTGCAGCCAAATCAGCATATTTGTGAACATCATGGTCAAAGGGTAGACCGCAGGCTGGTTAGATTTAATGACATTGCAGATGACCTGGGAAATGATAGTTTTGGAACTGTAGTCCAAGGAAACAGGATCAGCCAACAAGGCATCCACTAAAGTAGAACACGTGGCCCGCAGGTAGCAGTGAAGATCCGTCACTGGATATGACAAATGATGCACCCCATCCAAACTAACCAAGCATCAGTCATCAAAGGACCCCTCCAAAGCTATTCTTCACTGGAAAAGAAGGCAGCTGCAAATGAACAAAACCACCCACCAGGGCCAAATGAACAAAACTTTACCTCTGGAGAAGACCTTGAAGCTCCCAAACCCTACAGCCGAAGACAAAAGCCAAAATAACATTACACCAAAAAGGATATCACGAATCAAAGGGAAACCGTAACTAATGCAAGGAGAGAAACCCAGTCAGGAGAACACGATGGCTCAAAAACATCATGAGCTGGCCAGAGGTGAAAAACACACGAGACAACTTGTAGAATGGCGCCAAGTGTCTGTGGTGAACACAAGAAACAGTGATTCCACAGTGACGAATACTAAAATAAGGGAACAACACAACAAGCAAATGCCCCCTGCATAATGAACAAAGTTCAAGGATGGCCAGCACTTAGCTTGAAGCAGAGGAGCTTTCTCACAACTAGTGGACTGGAGCACTACAGGTAGCAGTAGCCACCAGAACATTAGGAATAGAACTGACTTGGGGAACCAGCTGTGGGAAGGAACCCAGCAGCCAGCCTGGTGGTGGTGATCAGTACTAATGAATTTCAAGTTAGGCTGAGTGAATCTCTTGTCCTATGTGAATCATTTGTAGAGTTGTTTGATGGTTTCAAAACTTTTCTGCAAACCCTCCAGTTGTCTGTAAAGTTTCACTGACTTTGTGGTTGCTTTCCTGGTGGGGTAGTAAATTGTCACTCACTATGCACCTCTGTAAAGGGACTGAGGGGACCTGACAGTTGAGTGGACAGAGCCAGGGATTCGTAGTCCTGAGGTTCCAGGTTTGATCCCCCAGTGGAGGCGGAAACAAATGGGCACAGTTTCTTTCACCCCTGATGCATCTGTTCACCTAGCAGTAAATAAGTACCTGGGAGTTAGACAGCTGCAATGGGCTGCTTCCTGTGGGTGTGTAACAAAAAGGAGATCTGGTCGAGGACTGGGCCGCGGGGACACTAAGCCCCAAAATCATCTCAAGATAACCTCTTAAGTTAGCCAAGTTCTGGCTCTCGTCCCCGGTAGGCCAACCAGAATTTCCACATCTTATGTGACCCATTATCATAGCACAGTTAATTGATCCACATGGGTTTTCAATAGTTTTTGTTTCCATGTGCATCTGGATGTAGGACATTTAAAAGCTTAACATTTCAACACAATACTATTCTTCGGAACCTTTCCGACCCTCAACATAATCCCACTCTGATGTTATTAACCCTTAGACCGCGCAATACGTATATAGATGATATGAGAAACGAAACCAGAACCACGCAATACATTAATAGCTGTTTTAGTGCCTAGCACCTTAATTTAAATGCCCCGCGTGGGATAGGGGCAGCTATAGTGCAGCCATGACCGATAGTTGATGGATAGACCGATAGAAAAAAAAATTGTGGCCAACATTCCTGGGTGTGAGAGCTTCAGTACTGAGCGAGCCACCAAGGCTGACGCATGCAGCATGAGCTCACAGAACCGTTATTCAGCTTGTGACCACAGCATCGCCTAAAAATGTCAAAATATATATGTTCATGGTATTATTTAGCGATGATAGTATTACAGAAGACCCCTGACTGTGATAAAACTGACCAGGATTCTGATAATAGCAGGATTGTGGTGATATTTAGTGCTGTGTTCCATGGTGGGAGGAGTAATGTTGAGGGAGGGAGGGTAGGAGGTGGCATTGTCTTCTGACTGTGTGTGGCCACCTTTTATTGACTGGACTTACCACACAAGCTTAGTGGTTTGCTATGGTGAACACCAATGTAGATACTTATCTATAATGTGTGTATAGAGTGTAATAACAGCAATAGGAGTATGTTGGGGGCTGCCATTTTGGTGAAGAGGTGCGTCGTCTGCATGACATGTCTTGTTGTTTACTGGTGGCCACTATGGTCTTTTGGCACCATACCAGTTTACTTGTACAAGTATGGTGAATAAAACAGATAGATACCTATATATAATGTGTGTATATAGCGTAATAACACCACAAACAGTATTGTTGGAGGAGAAATATTAGTGTGTCTGGCCTTGAGGGCGGCCGCCACCAGCTGACTGTGAGTAGCTACCTCTTATTGCCTTTACTCACCATACAAGCTTAGATGTACAGTTATGGTGAACAAAACATGTAAATACTTATATATAACGTCTGTGTATAGTGAATAAATGCAAAAACAATATTGTGGGAGGAGAATGTGGGCAAGTGAGGTGTTGTTGAGGGAGGGAGTAGCAGCGAGTGGCTGGCTGGTGTATGGCGGTCACTCCTCCTTGCTTTTTGACTCACAATACCAACTTAGTGGTTCGTTATGGTGAGCAAAACATGCTGATACTTATATATAACCTGTGTATATAGTGTAATAACAGCAAAACTATTTGTTTATTGTTTTATGAGCATAATTGAATCACTAATATGAACACCATAATTTTAAGTACAGCGATGGTTCACACATTTTATCATATAAATATATCACAATATACACTATTGAATAATATTACTGCAAAAAACTAAGAAAAAATCAATCAGACATAGAAATAATTTGGTAATATCTTCGTGGCAACTGCCGCCTGTCAGCTCGGGCGGAGCTGACATCGTCTGGCGACTGCTCTGTCAATGCTTCTTTTTTTGCCACACTTCCCCACCCGATTGTGGCCAAAATATGCCACCTAAGATTTTTTTTTTTTTTCCATGATCAGGGAACACAGATGAACACTTTTATAATACAAAAGATTTTTTTTTTTTTGCGCCTGTGTGTTGAAGCCATTATGACCCTTAGCGGCCCAAGGGTTAATGAACTTTCACCTTCAACACTCAAGTGGATGCAACACTCAATCCAACCCTGTAACTGCCCCACCCTCCCCTTCCATCTGTAGCTTTTCTAGACAAGACAAAAAAATAAAATATAATTTGCTGACAATATCTAATGAAGTATTAATATTCAAATATTCAAACTGATAAGGGAGTAAAAATTACTGCCAATACACTTACCTCAGAAAAAGATTTTTCAGGAGAGACATGCTCAGTATTCTTGACCAGAAAATTAGTAGGCATATTTGTGTTGTCGTCTCTGTGAGCTGGATTATTTAGTTGACTTTTTATATGTTGGTCTGTGACTTCATCAAAGAATACTGATGCATTAGCATCCTCAGCATCAGAATCCTCATTCTCACAAATGGCAGGTTGAACACACTGTTTACTTCTATTGCTTTTTCTAATTTCCACTTGACCAGAATTATTTTCTTTCAAATTCTTTCTTTTATCACTTTTTCCTACGGTGCTTTTTGAGACAGATTTATCTGACTGCATTGTGCTTGACAAACTTGATTGAAAGTCACTGCGGCCATGAACCAAAACACTCGACGAATTAGTAGCAGTTACATTACTTTGTCTTCCAGGCTGAAGTGAACCCCAAGAGAAACGTGAGGGTTGATTTGGTGGGTGATTCTCCAAGTCAACAACATCTGATGTTCCAGTTATTTCTAGACAGGACTGCATTCCTGACCTCCTCACTGGAGACAAGTTAAGGCTGCTCTCTTCTACCTCCTCCTCTTCATTCTCAAAGCCAAAACAGACTGCAATATCCTCCTTTAATGTCTTTGGGTTTTGCTCATCAGTTGACTCAACACTAGAAGTCAAAGACAACACATTTTCAGCTCTTGGAGTGGATGATCCTCCAATGTATTTAGAAATGTGCTTTGAAATTACAGGAGTAGGAAATACACTGACTGAGGTCATTGGAACTGCTTTTGATGTTACTTGGTTTGAGGCAACAAATGAACTAGCTGTTTCAAATTCAAATTCTTCAGTAACATTATCAGTATCATGACTATAGAAGTCGTCACAATTGTCTTCCGAGACAACACTCTCACAGTTGTCCTCTGAGAAAACACTGCCTCTGGCTGAGTCATCATTCCTGTCATTACAGCTAACACTGCCTCTGGCTGAGTCATCATTCCTGTCATTACAGCTAACACTGTCTCTAGTTGAATCACTCCTGTTATTACAGCTAACACTGTCTCTAGTTGAATCACTCCTGTTATTACAACTAACACTGTCTCTAGTTGAATCATCACTCATGTTATTACAGCTAACATTGTTTCCTGATGGATCACTATAACTCCTGACATTACAGTCTTTGGATATTGTAGAAAAGAGAGGCTCTTTTCTGGCAGTGGAGGTATTAACAGATTTCAGAATGTCTGAGGGAAATTGAATCTCCCAATTTGGATCAGTTGTAAGAAGTGTCAGTTTAGTCCTTGGCTTAGGTTTTTTATTCACCTGCTTTTTTCTTGGCTTTACAACTCTCCTTTTCTTTACTTCCTCTTCAGATACATCATACATAAATTCAAATACATCCTTATTCAGAACTCTGAGAGATTTTCTCTTTCCCGGAGTTTTTGTAGAGCACTTTGCTTCAGCCCAAACTGGCAATTTTTGCTTTTGTTTACCAAGTATTACCTTCTTATGTAGAGATTTATCTGAAGATTGTGCAACTGGTGGAGTGACTGCAGCCTTTGAAGTTGGTGGAACTCGCATATTAAGTGGAGTCTTTGATGAAGTTTGCGACAGTTTCGGACTAACTGCAGATTTTGATGACTGTGCCGAGCATTTTGTAGCTACAGGTTTTATAAACTTTTGTTTTGAAGACTGACTTTTAGTAGTAACAATATTTGCAGTTACCTTTCTAGATGCACTTTTGTTTGTACTTGCTCTAGTGCTCTTCTGCAATGCAAGATGCAAAGTATTTATTTCTTTTTTCTTTGTTGTCGGCTCTTTACTTTTTTCTTCCTGTACTTTAGGTTGTGGAGATGCCTTCTGATTTCTAATAGGCCTATTCATTACTCTTTCTGTTAATATACTGGCATTCTTATTATTCACTGGGCTTGTAGAACTCCTCCTCTCTGCAGAACTGTTTTCCACCCTCTGCTGCACAGACACTGTCTTTTTACCATTTTCATCTTTCTTTGCAGACACAATATTTACTCTTTTTGCAATAGGATTAGTACTTTTTTCAGGAGTCATTCTTTTTCTTGTCCTGGCAGCTTTTTGTTCCTGATTTTCTTGTAATATATCATCTTCAGGCTCTGACTTACCCCTCTTGCTTTCTGCTATATCTATCGGGGTGGAGGCATCTTTGTCCAAATGTTCAACTTCTCCCTCTAATAGATTCTTTCTAGCAATTTTAGTTTTTCTACCTGACTGCATAAGCTGCACAACTGAACCACTTACTTTCTTAATACGTTTTGATTTCCTTATGGGAAGTCTACTTTCCTTTGGGGACAAAATATTTTCCTTATCAGAAACTATATTTTCCTTTGTATTATTAATACGGTTTGATTTCCTTATGGGACGTCTACTTTCCTTTGGGGAAAAAATATTTTCCTTATCAGAAACTATATTTTCCTTTGTATTAATTTTCTTAGGAACTGTGTCATACTGAACTTGTGGACTGTTTCCTTCATTTCTTGCATTTTCAGTATTATTACTCTTTCCGAATGGAAAAAGTAAAGCCCGACGTTTATTAGAGTTCACATTAAACACTTTTTCATTTTCTTTGTTACAGTCCATACTTACAAGACTCGATAGCTTTTGAGTAATATTTGTCACATTATCAGTATGTGCTGGTAACTTCCTGCGTCCTATTATTGGAGAAGCTGCGCTGCTATGACATAAAACAGGTTCTGTCATTACTTTTGATAAAGGGGTGTTTGACAGTGTCCTCAAAGCACGAGATAAATGTGACTTTCTTTTCAACACCGGAGATAGTCCATCTGACACCATTGGTGAAGAATTATCCTGCTCAGAGTAGAGGACTGAGTCTGCAGTGTTATGATGACCCCTTGAATTACAGTTGTCACCAGAGAGAACTGTTTCAGTTCCTGAAAAGGAAAAATATATTTAACACAGTATACTAAATCAAGTACTATACAACACTGTACTGTATTTCCACTAAAACAACTTAAACACTGCATGAATCACCACAAGACTGTATAAAATGCAAGTTGCTGAAATAAGAAAGAGAATACTTGAACACTTGATTGATGATGAGCTTGGGTGAAGCAGTGTACAGAGCAAGCAAGATCCTTAACCCTACAAACCCATCAGACAGACATGCCATTTCTGACCCCCCCCCCCCCCTCCTGTGCAAGTCAATGAAGGAGGATTTAAAGTCCTGCATCAGATATAAAAGCGACAAGCATCACCCTCACTGTAGACTACAGGCCACCCTGTGACAAGCATCACCCCCACTGTAGACTACAGGCCACCCTGTGACAAGCATCACCCCCACTGTAGACTACAGGCCACCCTGTGACAAGCATCACCCTCACTGTAGACTACAGGCCACCCTGTGACAAGCATCACCCCCACTGTAGACTACAGGCCACCCTGTGACAAGCATCACCCTCACTGTAGACTACAGGCCACCCTGTGACAAGCATCACCCCCACTGTAGACTACAGGCCACCCTGTGACAAGCATCACCCCCACTGTAGACTACAGGCCACCCTGTGACAAGCATCACCCTCACTGTAGACTACAGGCCACCCTGTGACAAGCATCACCCTCACTGTAGACTACAGGCCACCCTGTGACAAGCATCACCCTCACTGTAGACTACAGGCCACCCTGTGACAAGCATCACCCTCACTGTAGACTACAGGCCACCCTGTGACAAGCATCACCCTCACTGTAGACTACAGGCCACCCTGTGACAAGCATCACCCCCACTGTAGACTACAGGCCACCCTGTGACAAGCATCACCCTCACTGTAGACTACAGGCCACCCTGTGACAAGCATCACCCTCACTGTAGACTACAGGCCACCCTGTGACAAGCATCACCCCTCACTGTAGACTACAGGCCACCCTGTGACAAGCATCACCCCCCACTGTAGACTACAGGCCACCCTGTGACAAGCATCACCCTCACTGTAGACTACAGGCCACCCTGTGACAAGCATCACCCTCACTGTAGACTACAGGCCACCCTGTGACAAGCATCACCCCCCACTGTAGACTACAGGCCACCCTGTGACAAGCATCACCCTCACTGTAGACTACAGGCCACCCTGTGACAAGCATCACCCTCACTGTAGACTACAGGCCACCCTGTGACAAGCATCACCCCCCACTGTAGACTACAGGCCACCCTGTGACAAGCATCACCCTCACTGTAGACTACAGGCCACCCTGTGACAAGCATCACCCTCACTGTAGACTACAGGCCACCCTGTGACAAGCATCACCCCCCACTGTAGACTACAGGCCACCCTGTGACAAGCATCACCCTCACTGTAGACTACAGGCCACCCTGTGACAAGCATCACCCCCACTGTAGACTACAGGCCACCCTGTGACAAGCATCACCCTCACTGTAGACTACAGGCCACCCTGTGACAAGCATCACCCTCACTGTAGACTACAGGCCACCCTGTGACAAGCATCACCCCCACTGTAGACTACAGGCCACCCTGTGACAAGCATCACCCCTCACTGTAGACTACAATGTGTACAGGTCACAGCAACAGCCACTATAGAGTGCCGACCACAGCAGTAAAGTCCACCACTGTGGCCCAACAGGTCTCGTCAACACTAACAGCCTCCCAGCATCTCCCATCACCTTCCCCTCCTCTATAGCAACACTGAGCAGGACGCCGCAAGTCTTTATACCCACGCTGTAGCCATTACGTGTTACCTCTGCCGGCTGTACGCTTCCTGGTCATCATTACAGTCCAATATACACGCAGATATGTATAGCACCGATCCTACACTTTCAAATGTTATGGTTTGTCTGGGGAGCGTTGTGCGCATGCGCCTCGCCTGGGGTGGTGGGAAGGGGGAGGGCTATCACCCTCCACCACCACAACACAACACACGTTTTATTTCATTTTATTTATATATATACAAGAAGGTACATTGGGATTATGAGAATACATAATATGGTAATTACAATCTTGTAAAGCCGCTAGTACGCGCAGCGTTTCCGGCAGCAGAGTATATAGTAGAGTAAACGTTTATACTAAGGTAAACTAAAGTAAAGTTTATACTAAAGTAAACTAAAGTAAAGTTTATACTAAAGTAAACTCTTTTGCAGTCTCCGTGGTGTAGTGGTAAGACACTCGCCTGGCGTTCCGCGAGCGCTATGTCATGGGTTCGTATCCTGGCCGGGGAGGATTTACTGGGCGCAATTCCTTAACTGTAGCCTCTGTTTAACGCAACAGTAAAATGTGTACTTGGATGAAAAAACGATTCTTCGCGGCAGGGGATCGTATTCCAGGGACCATAGGATTAAGGACTTGCCCGAAACGCTACGCGTACTAGTGGCTGTACAAGAATGTAACAACTCTTGTATATATCTCAAAAAAAATAAATAAATAAATAAAAATAAAGTAAAGTAAAGTAAAGTAAAGTAAAGTAAAGTAAAGTAAAGTAAAGTAAAGTAAATTTTATTCAGGAAAGTACATACATAATTGATTTACAAACATAATGTTGGATTTATAGATAGAGCTAGTACATACAATATCTAAAGCCACTAGTACGCATACCGTTTCGGACAAGGTTAGGTGGGGAAAAAAACACTTAGACTAAAACTTAGTAGTAATTGAGCTTAAAGTATAAATTGCGTAGAAAAAAATAAAAGATAAAAAATGGGGGGAACATGGTAGAAAATAGCCAATATACAAGTTGGTCAACAAACAGCATTGTTTAAAAATAGTAAGACATGGGTTGACATGTAGGGGTAAGGTAGGTTACATGGAGTTAATTAGGTAGTACTTAGTTTTCATCTTAAACTGGTTGAGGGAGGTACAGCCTTTGACATAATTGTCTGGGTCCCTTGATTTGTAGAGCATTTCTAGTTTGATTAATTAAGTCATACTCTTGGAATATCAAATAGGTATTTTCTGAGGTTGGAAGAAAACGCGCTCAGAGTGGGGACTTGTTTATTTTATAATATCTTCTTCCTCTTCTATCTCTCTCTTATCTCTCTTCTTCTTCTTCTTCTCTCTCTCTTCTCTATCTTATCTCTCTTCTTCTTCTTCTTCTCTCTCTCTCTCTTCTTCTATCTCTATCTCTCTTGTTCTATCTCTCTCTCTCTTGTTTTCTCGGTTCTCTTTTCTTTCTTCTTTCTGTCTCTCTTTTATTCTCTCTTCTCTCTCTCTCTTATCTCACCTCTCTCTCCCTCCCTTCCTTCTTGCCCTCTCCCTCTCTTCTCTCTCGATCCTTTCTTGCTCTCTCTCTCTCTATTATAAACTTTTTTCTTCTTCTCTGTCTCTCTCTCTCTCTTATTCTTTCTCTTCTTCTCTGTCTCTATCTTCTCTCTCAATTCTTCTCGTCTTCTTTTCTCTCTTCTTCTTCTCTGCTCTCTCTTTTCTCTCTCCACAATGGTGATATGATTCTTTAAAGCATCTTGCATGACACGAAACTGTTAAGTCTGTAATTGACAGGGTCCCTTGGTTTCGGCATAGGAACAATCACTTCGTGTCTACATTGTGTGGGAGGATCTCCCACTTGTGTATTAGTTCCGCAGCCTTACCCTTGGGGTCGTTGTGGCTGCGGCCCAGAACGTAGGCCGGGTTCTGCTCCCCTTAGCTATCTGTATTTTTGACCAAACTTGTCTTGTAGATGTTTCTCTTACAATGGTGATAGTGAAGTAAAGTCATTATTTTTCCCACTCTTTAATCTTATCTTCCCTAACTACTTGACACAGGTTTAAACAGCTCATGGTTGCTTTTATTGGGATACCTACTCTGGCTTAGGCTATTAGATTAGGAGAGTAAACTTTTAATTAACGGTTTTCACGACGTTTTGAAACATTAGAACGTCCTGTCCTTCTAACCTACTAGGACCCTTACTTGCTGCTTTTTGGCGGGGAAAAAATTCTAAAACTTACTTTCAATTATTTTTCATTTAAATTATGACCTTTTTTGGCCGTAACGCATAGGAGCGAAAAGTGATAACATTTGTAAGAGGACAGGTTGCACAAGTACCACATTACTCTTTTTTATATAAATGTCAGCCCATTTAAAATAAAATATTAAATCCTAAAGGAAAATTAGCAGGTGTAGTGTTACTGTTTGTCACAAAAATCTTCCTAGGAAAAGAGATTGAACATATTCCTTCATCACCTGTTCAACCACAACACGTCTGCATGTTCAAGAATAATGAATTAACAGCAAGAGTAACAACTACTGTATATACGTCTAGACAAGATTCCACTACTCTCTATTCCCCAGGACACCTGGCATCTGCAAGGCCCGCACCACTCGTCTGTCAACAAGCACTTGCAGGATAGTTTGGGTCTGTCCGCTGGCACTGGCAATTATCCAAACCAATGCCACCTGCACGGTCAAGCCTGCGGATATATAGGAGCCAGCCAGCCACTACCAAGCAGAATTCTCTTCAGTGCTCATACCTGCTGCATTTGCTCTCACACTACCCTGTGTGGTGGTAGATTTATGCAGTCTTGTACATAGTATTCCAACACCATTTATTTTGATCTTTAACATTAACTTGTTTGTTTGCTTTTCATTTTTGCACATTGTATTCAGCCATGTCTTAGAAAAACTATTTTTATTTTCTGCAAATTGTTAAAGTAATTTGTTGTCATAGTAAAGTATTTAATTTTTTGTTATTCTTTGTACTTTATCCTACAGCTACCACACCGTTTAGAGATCCACATAGCAGTTTTATTTTTTTTTTTACTTTTTTATGTTAGTTATTGTCATTCCATCCGCCCGAATAGCTACTGTTCTGTTCGTCATTTTTCTGTAACACTGTTCAATACTTAATATAACTATATTAAGCAGGACACATAACAGTGAGGAATTTCATCACCATGGATAACCAAATGAAACAAAACTAACAATAATTTTTATTACTTGATAAGACTTACTCTCTCATCACATCACTTCACAATATTTACAAGTTACACAGGATTTCTTTTGAATAAGATCATAATCAACATTAACACAGCAATGATTTATTTTACACTTATATATATTACCACTAATAAAATGTACTTCAGTAAAAATTTGCACTTGTACACAAGCCATCATAAAAAGTTAAGACATGGGAGAAAATTTAATTGACTATGGTAAAGACTATTCTGGTTAACTCTCTGACTTTCTTCATAATGCAACTCCTAATGTAAGGTTTATGCAGCTTTTTAATTATAAAAAAAGAGAAAACCCATCTATACGCAGAAAATCTTCTAAAGGAAGATTTTGAAGCATAACAAAAAATATATCCATTTAATTTGGATAAGAATAAACCTCAATCAAGGTTTCGTAGTTGTGGCTTTACAGAAGTGGTTTAGTCCATTTTCTTTATTTGTACTTCTAAAGAGAAACTTCTCCAAGGAAATGTAACACACGAAGACTAGAACATGCACAACATACAGCCAATATTGTCCACTCATATTCATTTTGTATGCATTATTTTATTGTATTAAAAAATAAATACAAGATGCTCTGGTCTTACCATGATAATGCACACAATCCCCTTTTATTTATAAGGTAGTTTCTTAAAAATCTGTGCATTAACATTGTAAGACATTGAGCACCACCACCATACAAGTACTATTAAAAAATATAAAAAATACTATCTTCAAATAAACAATGGGATAAGATAAAATTATGGGTTACATATATTGACTGTAATTATTAAGTGTTGTTGCAATGGTATTCTAGTATCAAACACCTCATGCACAATACTCTCTCACACACGCACGCACACACACACACACTTGGCATGGTAATGGACACAGCAACACCATACAAAAACACGGGACCTCAGGTTGAACAGAATTAAAACTAATGTACCTTTGTTATTTTTACATGAAACTGCCAGACTCCTAATTCAGAAATATCCACTAGCATACTGCAACCAGCACATGATTTAGTGGCGGTAAAAGCCTCAAATACAGGAACTTCTTATTAATGACTCTAGTCATCTCAATGGCACTAATTATCATATATTAGCATATGTGTATTCTGATGTGAAGATAATATTCCTTCACAAAATTACAATTCATAACTTATGATTATCATACCCTTCAGTAGATCAGAGAGCTCCTCTAAGGATTCTCTCTCTCTCTGCTGCATTACAATTGTTAACAAATTTAGACAGAAAAAGACAAGCAAGAATCAGCATTAGTTGAAAAGATTAATGAAGGTCACTCAAATTATAGAACATAATAAATATTTAAAAAAATGAACAATGTAATAGTTATAATGTTTTTTTATGAATGAAAAATTAGTAATACTCATCTTTAGAAACAGTGACAGTTCAGATACATATGAACATATTTTTTCTTTAGAACTGCACTACCATGTCCAGAACACTATTCCTATTTCTCACTTATATCTACAGTACTGTATCTTCTATTCACTGCTCTAATGCAAAAAATATATTAAATCAAATGATTTTAGCAGTTACAAAAAAAAAAAAAAAAAAAAAAATACACTACCACCAACAGATGTCCGTGTCCAGTTGTATTAAAGGTAAAATTTAATAATAATCATGATTAACCATACGAATTATTATATCTTTCAAGTTTACTTTTTGTTTACTGAGTACCAAGCATGTAAATATAAATTAAGTCACAGTACACCCAGGCAGTGGTCCTGGGAGTGTGAAAAAATATTTCAAGATTTCTGGGACATACGATTAAGATTATTATACAATGATTTTTAAAGAATGTCATATTTTCACTTCTAGTGTCATCTAAAGAATAAAGGAACACTGCAGTGGGTCTAATGGTCCATACAATACAGATCTTGTATACATCCAATTATTTTCACTTGAGATCTGTTGAACCTGTTTCTGAATATGTGTAAGATATTCACTTCAATGAAACTACTTGGCAGAATGTTCCACTCATTTGTAATTGTTGCCAAACCTGTGCATAACCATACCTTCTAGATACAGAATAAAATTCAATGTCATATGTTCTGTACTGATTTGTTTAATTCCCATTATTTACCTATTTAACCCATTTGTACAGTTTGCTCATAACATTCCTCACTCAGTAGGGAAGCTCCATAATGCTGGGGATGAAATATAACACAGTATGGTGACCAGAGCAACACAGCATAACCTAAATTAAGTTTCACAGGAGCACGATAAAGATGAAGGACAATGTTAAGCATGTTGCTTTGTAGTCAATTTGGTATATTAGGAACAATAGGATTTCTTTGATTGTAACTGGAATAAAGGATTTAAAATATAAATCATTCCATCCATTTGTTTTTCAGCATCTGCTTGTTATAAAATTTTACACACAATGCAGGAAAATCAATGGATTAATATATGTAGTCAGAAATAGTAAGTCTTGACATTTCTGTACTACTATGCTAACACTACTGTTGGATAGTCTATTAATTGATGCTTTTTATCTCATGTGAATTGTACACCTGAACTCATGAGATATACTACTATACTCTATATCAATTAAGCATAGGATGGTAGTACAGTACATACAAATGTTTTACAAGAGCAAGTTCAGCAAAAAATGTTGGCATATAAACTTACAATTTCACACTGAATATGGCTGGTCAACGGGAAAAAATGATGGACATTAGAAGGGTCTCTCAAATAACAAGCAAATTGCTCCATATTGAGCCGTTTGGTGTAATGGATTAAAAAAATCCAGGGTACTTGCTTGATGTATTAGATTAGCTCTTATTGCCTCCAATTTCCTTCAAGATGGTAGTGGAAGGGTTAGAAGCATAAGTTGATATTTTCAGAAAATAGGAGTTGGAATGGATGAAGGATTGTTTTATTGTTAATGGGCACTCATAACATCCACATTGAGCAATTGGATTTCTTATTTAATTTAAATTACCAGTTTATAATAGATTTAGTAGATATACAAAAATCACAATAAAAAATAAAAGAAGTTAACGAGATACACCTCGACTAAGAAAGGTATTCCCAGGCCAACATGTCTTGGGATACAAAGAGGGTGATATGATGAGTACAGAAGATGCAATGATGAGAGTATACAATGAACTATTGGTGTAATGTATCCAGGTTGGTTTAATGTACACAAGCTGGTCAACGTGAACGTATGCATTACATAAAAGACAAAAATTGTCGTACTGGGAAAAGGAAGCAGCTCAGGAAAGTGACGTACTGTCCAATTTTCTGTTTTGGGGCCTTTGATTAGGAAAGGACACTTTAATTTGACCATTTTCTTGACATTGGGAAACCTTAGGAAAACGGGCTGGACTGGTATACTGAGCATGGAGCAGTGGTGGTAATGGAGGTGAAGCTGGAGATGATGGTGGAGGTAATGGAGAAGATGGTGGAAGTGATGAAAATGGTGGTGGTGGAAGTGATGAAGATGATGGTTGAGGAAGTAGAGGAGTTGTTGGAGGTCAAGGTTATGCAAATATGTAAAGGTAGCGGTGAAGGGGAGTAGAAGGGAGCAAAGTGTAGATGAAGTGTAGAAGAGAAAGATGGGACTGCTCTGTCTCACCACTTGTCTAAAAAGATATTTTCTTATTCTGTCCACAATGTGGCCAGAAGACTGATAATATATGATGTATTGCTTATTATATAACATTAAGAAAAACCTATGTATTGGTTTAAAACCATTCTGTAATTAGGATTCTGAGTGATATCAAATGTTAGAATAATTGAGCTCACTCCAGTTCTTAATACTCTACAGGTAAGAAAATTACATATTAAAAGTACAGTACTGCATTGCACTGTATTAGGATTTTGACAGTTTTCAAACTATACAGCATAGTCCAGAGAGTGAGTTTAGAATTTGAATTAAATATCTTTAACCATTCTTGCAAAAATATTCTCCAAGTATCGCAGAAACATCAATAAATAATTTTTTTTAATTCTGCAAAAGCAGAATGTAAAAGTAAACATTATTCACTCTAATTTGTGGGACTAGTCTTAAAGACCTTAAGGTGTTTATCCCTCACTCCATCAGTATTTCTGGTATATAAGTACAGTACTACATGGCCATTTTCTGTGATATATTTCAGACTCACAGTCCAGCCAATAAAAATACAAAAAGTGCTTTGTAATTTATAATCTTCATATTCTCTATCTCTAGGTGAATTTCTGGAGAGAGTTTCAAGAGTTCTTCTACTTCACGAGCCCGGCCTGGGGCAGGCCCGACGTGCCTTTTACTTTACTGCCGATACAGAAAATTAGGGAGACCATGTAAAAGAATCCACAATGAGATGTTTTGATCGAAGCCCACCAAGAATTATTCCAAGGTCAGCATATTTCAAACACACGAATAGTGGTAATTGCCTAAATGTAGTTACAGGATAAGAGCTACGTTAGTGGTGTCCCTTCTTTCCAACACACTGTCATATAATGCTTTGAAATTACTGACGGTTTTGGCCACAACCATCTACTACTCTGTTTGCTAAAGTGAATTTTCTTATATTCCTTCGGCAGCATTGTTTAGTTAGTTTAAATCCATGACCTCTTGTTCTTGGAAGTTCCAGGTCTCAGGACTTCTTCCCTATCAATTTTATAGATTCCCGTTACTATTTTGTACTTAGTGATCAGATCGCCTCTTTTTCTTCTATCTTCTAGTTTTGGCATATTTAATGCCTCTAACCTCTCCTCATAGACATTTCTCCAGTTCGATTCATTGCCTCTGATTACAGCCCTCATTTTTCTGTCAGTTAGAATTTTTTTTATCCATGTTAGAAGCCTACCTGTCACTCCAATATGCTCCAATTCCCAGAATGACCTCTTATATGTAACTCTGTCAAAAGCCTTATTTAGGTCCAGATAGATGAAATCAACCCAACCATTTTCCTGTAAATCTCTGTGGCTCGGTCACAAACTGAATCAGTTCGTTATACAGGATCTTCCAGATCAAAAACCATACTGTCTGTTATTATATAGTTTTTCTCCAGGTGTTCTACTCATTTATTTTTAATTATTTTTCCAATATTTTGACTATTACACATGTCAATGATACAGGTCTATAATTGAGGGGGTCTTCCTTGCTGCCCCTTTTGTAGATTGAAACTATGTTAGCTAGTGTTAGCTAACCCTCCCAAATCTGAACCACCACATAATGGATTCTCTCTAAATAATGAAGCAAATCCACCCACAGGATTATTCATTATAGAATTCAGATTTCTAATAATAAAAATAAAAAATCTGGATCCTGTCATGGGACAGAGTGAAATTCAGATCATTGGTTAATCACCAAGTAATCATATTATTTTTCATATTTTTGCTAATCTTGCTTTCATATTTGTAAAAATTTGTTCATAATAATGCATATATGTTTTAAAAAAATGTTTTATTGATCTTATACCCTAATATAAATTGTACAGTGTCTGTGACATAGTTTTCCGAAGCATCCAAACCTACTGTGAGGGCACACATGCAGACGTTGAGTTTTCCTTGTAAGTATGGTGTAAACTCTCGTTACTCAAGTATTTTCCCTGCCACTTCCTCTGATATATATTATCATTTGCAAATACATTTTATCATTTACAGAGTAGTACGAGTACATTAGACAAGGATAAGTGGACCCTTCTTACTATAAGGTTGAGTTATTTAAAAAATGATCATGACTGGGGAGGTAAGGTGCTGGCAGCAAAATATGGTATTGGTACTTGTGGTGTTTCTGACTTTAAAAAACAAGGGAAAAGCTGATCATACAAGTCATTTCAACATAATTTGTAGGTTGTGTGTGGTCCATTTTTTCAAATTCCACATTCCATATCATGGCACTTATTCACATTTAATTCCATTTGCTACATGGTGCTCCAAGCATTTATTTTATCTAGATCAATGTGAATGTGTAATTACCTAGGTGTAGTCACAGGATGAGAGCTACGCTCGTGGTGTCCCGTCCTCCCGGTACTCTTTATCATATAATGCTTTGAAACTACTAATGGCTTTGGCTTCCACCACCTTCTCACTTAACTCTTTCCAAACGTCTACTACTCTGTTTGCAAAAGAAAACTTCATAATATTTTTCAGCACCTTTGTTTCCATAGCTTGAATCTGCATCCTACTGTGTGTAATATACTGTACATAGTGTGCCTGGGGTATTGATATTGTGAGAAATTGCTAAATTTTTATGTGGCATTATGGTGGGAGTGTAGGGTGTTTGATCTGTTTAGTCAGAATTGGAAATGCATGCAAATAACCTATTTGGAAAAACAAATAGGTTATGGAAGATCATTATAACCCCAATTCACATTTCAACCTCTGTACTTCAGCAGGAACTAGATACTGTGTCCTTCCCCCTAACTCATGTCTATCAAATTGACATGAATATTAAGTGAACATACTTGTGTATGCATGTGTATGTCTACAGTTTTTAGCATGCAGTCATCCAAGTAGAGCATCCCTCATAATTGTTGACAATTCAATACTAAAATTGCCTATATTTGTTTCATTACTACAGTACAGTACATATAGTGTACAGTGAAAATAACCAAATTTAAAAAACAAATTATAATAAAAAATCTCTAACTTGTGTTACTATCAATCATGCATTTTGTGTTTTATTACTTAACTTACTTTATTGAATTTTCTTTAATGTTTTCACCTATACATTTTGAGACTAGTTACCCAACTGGCATTCTTTTTGTATACCACATAACCTTAAACATTGGTATTATAATATTGATAATTTTGGCACACAATATTACATTATACTTAGGAATAGTACTAAAACATACATTAAATGGAAACTTGTATATAAACTTCACTTACGAGCCACCTTGCAGTTTCCTAATGTGTACAAAATTACATATTGGGATGGTCCAGTGGACTAAGACACTAAGTTCTGGTACCTTGTGAAGAGGATTCATATTAAACCTCACAACAACATTTGCTTTACAAATACCTGTATTTCAATTAATATTCGAGTAAAAATAATAAATATAGAGAATACTCATCTATTTTGTTAAAATACATATTACATATTGCAATTTATAATGATCAGAAAAATAAATTCAATTTGCTAAAGTAAGGCCTACAAAAATGTACAATATAGTAGGCACCAGGTAATTCACTATATCCACAATTCATGAACCACCACCTTTATAGTTAAACAATTTCTATCTTAATACAGTATTCTAATTCATTCATCTCACCTTGAAATGTAGGGTTTGTTCAAGTAGGTGGGTGGCCTGTTGATGTATGGCCAGTCAGTTAAGAGCTCTCGGTGCATGTAGCTGTCTTGCTCACCACTCAGTATAATACTTCACCATTTGCATGCATGTTGCATACATCCCTGCAATTTGGAGGCCTATCCAAATATCTATACTTTCACACAGATGATTATGAATCACTACTGTCACTAGATGAGGAAGAGGAAAAAAAGAAAAATTGACCAGCTAAACTTTGCTAAAGTAGTCGTACTAGATGGGTTATACTGAAAGAACAAGGAGACCATACAAAATGTAGGAAGCTATGCTAAAGCTCTGACTTCAGGACAGTGAGGAATCCCAAACATGAAGAGCAGATCAAGTCTGGATAAAATATCAAACAAACCAAGTTCCCCTCTCAGGGAAGTCTGCCGAAGACTGAAGAAGTCAATTTAAAACTACCGAGAACCTGCACAATCTAAAAAATTATGCAGTCAGCTATCCTAAGTTTTGTAGTCAGTGCTTTTGTTTTTACGGGAAGGTCAGGTAAAAAATTCAACTTATAAATTTTGCTTTTCTCAATAAATTCCTAGAAACAAATGCAGTTTTAAGTTAGGAAAATCACAGTTGACCCCAAGGAGTTAACCCTGTGAATGTGGTGTCTATTGCATTAGCAAACCTAAAATTACTATAATTAAAAATAGCAATTTTTAATTTTATTAAGTAGTAATTTTAATTTGATTAAAAATAAAATAAACATTTTAAATTGCCAAGTTTCATTGTCGTACTTTATTTTAAAAATAAACTAAGAAAAATGTGCCTTTACTTTAAAAGTTATTATTGTATATCTACCGTATTAGTATAAAATTATAAAGCATAATAAAGTACGTACAGTAAATCTCTCAACATAAATTGGTTAATGATACTATAACATACACAGCATAGAGTTTGCATTGTATGACAATATTGCATCAACTTAAATTTAATTTTTTACGGGCCAACAATTTTCTAGCCATCCATCGCCAAATAACATTTAACAACTGTATGCACGATGACCGTGATAAAAGCAATGACCTTCACTTGATAAAAGCTCGATGAACAAGGTGCATGTAATGACCTCCACTTGTTAAAAGCAACACAAACATACCCAGAGTTTAATAGCAAGTCTCAAAGATCTTCAAACATTTGAACATAAAATACACAAAATTGACAACTTATAAACTTCTTTAATCGAGAACGTCAACATGACTGAACAAGGAAAAGGGCCATAATTAACTTGGTAGCATGAATTCAAACCCCATTCTTCTGAAAACATAAAAAAATACTATTCATTATTATTCTTAAAGAATTCCTAATGGTTAAGAGTTAAACAGGGTCTTAATTGCATTTCATGAATCCTGCTTAACAAAAATATTCAATATTGTACCGAGATTCCTTTCAAACATTCTTCCTGACTTCATGATATAGTCTACTACAGTACTAAAGAAACAGAACATAATCAAGTGCATTACTTCATAATTTTAAATTATTGAATGGTCCACAATATTCCCAATCTTCACACTTGAGTCTGGAATACCTGAAATATCATCCTGATCATGCTTTTGTAATCAGTGGGTTATTTCAATCAGTGTAATCATTTCATGTTATTTACCAACACTGAGGTAGCAACACAAAATCGGGTATATGACAAACATGTTTTAAAAAATTAAATTTTTCAATGGTTCTTTGGAACAGTGTAATCAGAATTCCAAGTCATGCACTGTGAACTTGTAGAAGTGGCACTCTTGTAAGGAACGGTGTTTTCTTGTGCATGAAAACAAAAATAACAGATAACAGGTAAAAATTTAACATGCAAATATATAAAACATTGCTAGGACAGGTTAAAACCAGTTGATGAATAATTTGGAATTTTGAAGCAAGAGCTATTCAAGGTCTGTAAGAATCAACTTCAACCATAACAAAAATTATAAATATTTTAAAGATTCAAGTACAATAAATATTAAAATTACGAAAGGTATAATGATATTTAATGGTGAAGATAATCACTTATAGGCACCTGGTTTTGTACCTATCATAAACCCAGTTTTAAATGCAACAAATCTTGATTAAAATTAATATAAAACTGAAAACAAAATTGCAAATGTACTATGAGCGAACTCTGAACACTTGCTCCAAATTTTTGTGGTTGAGCAGTGCGCCCTCGATGTTCACTCTTAATTATTTGTGTGATTGAATAGTGAACCCTCAGTTTGTCCTCGAATTGTGTTGATTGAGGTGTGAACACACTCAAGTTTGTGTATGTTGTGAAAAAGACAGACAGTACAGTCAAGATAATCTTCATAATTCAAAAGCAAGAGCAATCAACTTTCATTTGCTGGTATAATCCAACCATCCATACCAGACTGTATATATTATTTCTAAAGCAACATGGGTGGCAGTCATCAAATATATTTTAACTAAAAATAAATTTCATCTTGACTGATGATAAATAATGTGTAATATCTCCACTTAAAAGTTAAATGTGTCAGTCTAAAGAAAAGTGAACATACATTCAAATGCATAAATATGAAAGCACATGCTCAACAAATACATAAACGTATTATACATTATAAGCAAATACAATTACAGAGGTATGTGCTGATTTGCATAAAACAAACATATGCTACACACAAGTACATTTAACCATAGGTGGCATCCACCCTAAGTTTATAGTATGAAGATAAAAAGAAGAAAAAAAAATATTTTGGATTAAGAATCTTTGGTAATATGCAAATGGCTATTTCCAATAAAGAGCACCAGAAAGTTGAAGCTAATTCATGAATTTGCTTCTAAATATATTGCAATTCTTACAATTAAGCCCCTAGTCACACAAATAATGGAAAGTCCTCTTCATTCAGCATTAATGTTCTTAAGCAGAGCCTCAGGTTAAACGTGCAGGTGAAAAAATATAGTCTTCTCAATGTGGTCAGCAAAGTGTCGATCATTCATCACTTCTATTCAAATTTATTACATTTATGAAAAATTTAATGTGATGAAACAAAACTGCTTAGGCTCACATTATGTATATATACTGTACAAATGTATATGTGTATGCATACCTGTACTGTATGCGTATATGCAATTTCAGTGTGTATATGTATGTGTGTTTACATATGGATGCACGTGCACACACGTGCATATACTGTATACAGTATATATAATCAATGAACTCTATAAGACTAGAATAAACTATGCTTGAGATAATTACGTCACAATTGTCAACTTTATTCAAAACAGAATAAACTTTTTGCCAAACTGTGATTTACCTAGAGGAATAAAAAAATGGTTTGATTCATGATACAAATTCAGGCAAATTACATTTGTGAAAATTTCCTAATTTATTTTTTCTTCCACTCCCTCTGGGAACTTCCTTTCCAGATGATCTGGACACACAGTGTTACTGAAGGGGTAGCCATATATAGGATACCACTAATGGGGTAGCCATATACATATACAGCTACCCCATCACCTGATGGGGTAGCCACATATAGAATAACCCTGCTGGGGAAGCCATACATAAAATACCCATGATTAGGTAGCCCCATGTAGGGTCTCCCAGATGGGGTAGCCACATGTAGGAACTCCTTGATGGAGTAGCTATATGAAGGCCTTTCCTGATGGGTTGATCACATGCAGGCATCCCCAGATGGGCTGGCATCATGTAGACTCTCCCAAGCATTCATGATATTACTCTTGCTGAATTCCAAAAGGATATGTTGACTAGCATCTAAGTAATAACATGTACAGTTTTTTTTATCATATTCTGACTAATGGGTATAGCGAGTTTTAATGCCCTTGAGCAGCACTGTCAAGCATCAGTATCATCACTCTTGCATGTTAAGTCTGTAACACTTACAATTAATGCCAATAAACACTGGCTAAAAAAAGATAAACATGAAAGAAGACCATAAATGCCAAATATTTTCTAAGGCCACAGGTCTGACATTTTACATTTGTCTGGGTGCATTCTTTTCATATGGTTTTGTAAAAGAAATTTCCTTGTGAATGCTGTTGGACATATCTTACACTGAAATGGCTTTTCACCAGTATGAAGAATTACGTGTCGTTTCAAATCAGTTGACCAACCAAATCTTCTGTTACAATAGCAACACACATACCTTCTGGCTTCATACTTGACAATATCAACTCCTTGGATGCTCTTTCCTTTTGATTTAACAGGTACCTTTTTTATAGTGACTTTATCATCTGAAACAACAGTTGTATTGGAAATATACTGACCAGCTTGGTTAGAACTATTTGAAATATCCAAATTTTCATCTTCCATTGTCACAGCACACAAACTAAGAGGGTCCATCATATCTTCATCACCTTCTTTCTCGTCATCAATTACCATTCCTTCATCATCAGATTCCACAAGAGTTTTTGAAAATAAATGTTCACACTGTGTTCTGTCCTTCTCGCTTAGAAATGGCATTGGTACTTCAATTCCATTAACTCTGCTAGAGGGTTCGGCTATGCTAAATTTCACTGTATTATCATTGCTTCTTGGATCTTTGGGTTGTAGAAGATATAATTTAACAACTTGAGAAGGTGCAGCAGACTGTTTTGGCACACCTGCCACCTGGGGACTAGGAATTGGTGCTGCTGTCTTCAGCAAAGATACCTTTTTACTCAAATCAACTTGAGGTACAATGGTTAGAATATCAGGATTTTTTGTACCCTCCTTTTTTGAATTAATTAGATTGCTCCCATCCATCTGTGGTAGAATAGTGAGATTATTTGTCAAGTGACTAGCAATAGGCCGGATAGTAGTGGTATTTGTAGTGCTAGTGCCAGTGTCTAAAGTGCTGGGCAATGAAGATACAATGCGTAAAGCTAGGTTAGAATTTATCATCACCAAACCATCCTTCTCCATTACACTATCAACTGGAGTAGATGTTTTTCCTGGTAGCGGAGATGAAGTCATCAAACTTATTGAAGAAGAATTTATTTTGGATGTTCTCGAGCTTAAGTTTTGTCCCACTGCAGTTATGTTATCCATGGGTATCAAAGCAATGTGACTAGGAGCAGAACAAGAGGCTTTCGTACTTGTGACAACTGGCCGAACTTGGATTGCTGATGCTGCAGATGAAACTAATGGCTGGATTTGGACTGCTGATTGTGATGACGATACTAGTGGCTGAATATGGACTGCTGAATGAGAGGATGATACCAATGGCTGGATCTGAAGGGTTGACTGTGATGATGACACTAAAGGCTGAATTTGAACTGAGGAATGAGATGATACTGCTGGATGAATCTGAACTTGCTGTGAAGAACTATCAGTTCTGATTGTGATTTTTGGAACCTGATGTTGTGGTTTTACTGACACCACATCAACAGATCTACTGTTCTGTGGTTGTATAGTTATCTGTGGTGTAGGAGAACTGGAAAGTCTTCGTACAGGATGTGAATTGACTTGAGTGGAATGGGTTGTAGTTTGCCCATCAGTAGTTGTGATTTTTGGCAAGATGTTGACAAATTTATCTTTCTTAAAAATAAAAGTTGGAGGATGAGGAGTCTTGGGCTTTAATCTTGGGATTGGTACTTTGAGGATAACATCTCCATTAGTACCCATATAATCTTCTGTTCTTATTACCTGTGCTGTCACTGTCATATCCTGTTTACTCAGTGAATCCATCTTGACGGTTGAATCTGAAAATGATGTTGAAAACATCGTTTCTGTAAAGCCTGCTCCTTTTTCTAAATTTTTATCATTATCTGGAGACTGTGATATAAATAATGATACAGTGGGTTTATCCCATGGAACAATTAAATCTTGCAGGAGAATGGGAGGCAAACAGTTTTCTCGTGATCGTGCTCCGTGGGTACCAAAATGCCATAGCAGTGACCGTACAGTGCAGAACTGCATGGGGCATTCAGGACACTTCAGAGGAGTTTTGATAGCTGAAAAATATTAACACAGTCAAGACAAACTTTCCAGAAAAAAAACAATAATTACATATATGTACAGTCTGTATAATATGTCGTGCATGCACCCAGATTTAAACAGTTCCTCATAATACTTCTATCTCACATTCCCACCTTTATAAAGGGTTACCAATCCCTTTATACACAGACTCCCATTAACTACACTTAAAATATTAACTTTTATCTTGTTTTCCAACTTAACTCTTCTGTGTGCCTACATAATCTTAGCATTCCAACTTTCATTATGCATCACTTTTCCCTTGCAACTGTTTTCAAGAGAGGCTAGTAACTCCTTATGTACAGTATACAAGGTGTGTCTTTCTGTTTGCAACAAACCTCAACATCCATACTGGCTTATGGCATTGATTTCTTACTACTGGCCTGCTTTTCTGCAATACTACTTAGACCTATAATTTTCTGCCAATGATATAACAGTCTTGTAATATAAAAATTTGTATGTTACTCTTTGTATGCACTAAAGAATGCAACAAAGTAGCTGTCACAACTGCAAGAAAAATGACAGGTTGGATAACAAGACTCTTTCAAATAAGAGATGTCATATGAATGATGGTGCTTTTCAAGACACTAATGCTCTCTAGGGTAGAATATTGTTGCACACTAAAGAGCCCCATTCAAAGCTGGAAAATTGCTGACCAGAAGTGCATGCAAAGATTTTTTTATGGTTAGAATCCACTCAATAAAACATCTAAATTATTGGGACTGCTTAACATTTTTAAATCTGTATTCCCTAGAGTGCAGGCAGGAGAGATACACAATAATTTACACTTAGACTAGAACTGGTTTCAATTCTGCACACAGAAAAAACCTATGAGACCAGGAGGCATGGCAGGATGTGCAAAATAGTCCCACAGAAAAGCAAAGGCACAATAGGCAAGCCGAGAGCGAGCTCGAAGAACATCAAAGGCCGATGACTTTTCAATACTCATCCTCTACTCATATGGGACATAACTGGCCAACCTCTTGCTGTTTTCAGAAGAGAACTTGACAAATACCTTCAAAGGATACCTAATCAACCAGGCTCATATGTCAAGCTGCGAGCAGCTGAACTGAACAGCCTGGTTAATCAGACCACCAACCTGGAGGCCTGGTCAGAGACCGGGCCACAGGGACATTGATCCTCAGAATCATCGACAGGTACAGGTATAGACTACAATACCTTGTGCACAATAGCACACTTTTATATAAACACACGTATGTGCTGATAATTGCATTCACACACACACACACCACTTAACAATGCAGTCTTTAAAAAGACTTTCAACAGTAAAACCATTTTATACTTCTCTCCTATATGACTTCAAAAACATCTAGAACAACCATACAGTACTTTACTGAATTTCTGCTTGAACGGAACAACTGGTCACGGACAGCCTGTCTCAGATTATTGTTTTTCAGCCCACAATTATTGTTTTGATTTGAGCAAATGATTAAGCTCGTATTTATGTATATTTTGACTCAATCCCTCGAAAAAAGAAACATTATTACTGGTATATAAAACAAAAACTGTCTACTTTTCTTTGTTTACTTGCCATTCAAAGTTAGATTAACAGATTTACTATTGGAAATACAGTAATTTAACATATTTAAGCATACTATAGTTGTAGAAAAAAAAAACATATAGCAAAATATCTAAACTTTTTTTTTAGCTTTTTAAAGAAAACCAGTTGGATGAGACCACTCATTTCTTGAATGCCAAAATGAGGCTTTACTGGGGGAGCCCTGTTTGGTGGCTCCCTGAAGCTAACTCTGAGATAGCTTCCCATACACAGTCATATCAGTCTTATGAGTTTTGTTGATTTACTGAGTACTGTACCTAGAGCTAGAACCTGGCCTTCCCCATAGAGGGAGAGAGAGCAGGGGATGGTTATGATCACCCTCACTATAAAAGCAACCAGAAAGCAGATGAATCAAAACAGAAAACTGCATGGTTCATAAAAATGAGTCACCAAAACAGTCAACAGACACAGCATGAGAATTGTTCAAAACGAAGTTGTTCACTCGAACCTGGGTATGAACCACTCTCCTAGGGTACATACACAGAGCTGCCAGCTAGTGGCGTCCTGGCAAGCTGATTCAGTTCTGATGCTGATGTGGCCATGGCCATTCTTCTTAACACATCCCACTTCTTTTTGAAGACGAATGACAGCCATCCTTTGGACATTGTCGTGCGAGGACCAGTTGTTGGAGTATCGTTCCTAACTTTGTTTTTGCTCATAGTTTGTGAACATAAGTTTATTCTATGCTACATGAGTTTAGGGCAAACCTTCCCTAAATGGTCGTTTAAAATTCCCCCTGCAAGGAGTTATTTTAAGTGTGTTTGAGAGTTCGCCCACAACAGGCCATGCCGCCAGGGGTCGAGAACCTCACCCTCGGAACTGTATGAGTCATGACTTCCAACTTTTCAGTTGAGACATCCTGTTTCTTTTATGTGGGGTGCAATCGGGGATGTGTGCTTGTCTATACAGTACTCTGCCGATGTCCTTTGCATCGATGTTTATACTTTAGGTTGCATTCGGTGTCAATTCTTCTCGAAAGCGTCCCTAGTGCTTGGGTGTCCTGCTTGGTTAGTTGTATTGAGGCCCTGGTAACTTCCCTGTGGGTCTGCAATGTGGCTCATAAAAGATCGACCTGTTGAGCTTCACTCACTACTGTACTTGTGAGTTTGAGGGAATTTTCAACTTGAGAATTTTCTGCTCCTAAATGCCACCTGTTGTTTGGGGGTTGCCCTCTGACCAGAGACATGTGACATTTGGGCTCACTATATTTTTGTTTTAACTTCAGCCTCTGTCTTTCTGTTTTTAATTTTTGTAGTGATGAGGCTCAACAGGCACATGCTGTTGCATCAGGTTTGTTTGCTAATTTGGTTTTGTGGCTAGGTATCTGAGTGGTTACTACAGAGTTGGTCCCTCGTTTTTGAGGTTCTGGTCTTAGAGGGAGGGAAATATCAGGGAAATGCGCTAAGTCATTACGACTGTATAGCACTTGGAAGGGGTCAGGATAAGGATTTGGGATGGGACAGGGGGAGGGAGGGGAAGGAATGGTGCCCAACTACTAGGATGGTCGGGGATTGAACGCCGACCTGCATGAAGCGAGACCGTTGCTCTACCGTCCAGCCCAAGTGGTCTTAAAGAGGTAAATATTAATTTCCCAGCTCCTTTTTCCTTCTGTCTCTTATATTTGCTGGACCTGTTGTCTTTTTTGCTACCCCCCCCCTTCCCTGCTCGTTCAAGGCTAAAGTGATGTTTCTGGGTTTTGGAGCTTGTGCTGCTTTTCCCATGAGAAAAATGGCAGAAGTGCCCCCAGAGAATGGGCTTGCCCTTCTCTGAGAGCACTCCTTTCAGTTTGACATTGGAGGCAGCTAAGCCATTGCTTCTCACCGGGTTTCCACAGCATACGGTTTTGTGAGGAATTTTATATTTGGATCTCTTTAGTTGGTGGTGGCACATTTCCCTTTTACTTGGCCATCTGGCTTGGATAACTTTATTTAATTGTGGAACATTTCCCTTGTTCTTGATGTCTGGTGTGAAGCTTGGCCCTAGGGATTTCATGGTGGGCATCCAGGGCAAGGGGAAACCTGAGGTGGTTATTTGGTGCCCTTCGGCCTTCTTGGACTCTACTTTCCTCTGTGGAGGATTTCATTCCACCCTGGGGGTGAATTCTCTTTTTTCTCCCTCCTTTTTGAGTGGGGTTCCTCGGATGCTCTTCCATGGGTCTGCTCCTGGGTCCCATTCAGTGTACCCAGTAGTTCCTGCTTCCCTCCGTCCATTTGGCTAGGTCGGGTTTGCAGCTCCTCCTGTGGTTCCTGGCCTTTGCTGTAGTTTGTGCCCGTCCTCTTTTGGGTTCGGGTTGGCTTCAGCTTTGTGGTTGCATTATAGTTTCCATATTTTCCTGGCTTGCAGACATTGTAACTAAGACTGGAGCCAGTTCTCGCTTTCAATGCAGGAAGGAGATGGAGAGCAAGGGTGAATGTCTAGTGTACTACAGCAGTAGTCCCATTGAGTCTTTTTTTCTGGGATCTCCTTTCTGGAGGTTTTCCCTCCAGCCCTTTAGCACTGTACAGAGGGAATCTACTGTACAGTACTTGTACATTAATTGGTGTGAAGCAAACTGGATAAATGCAGATACAAAGCTCTATTATATAAAATATACTGGTGCAATTATATTATATTTTTTGAAAACTATGCACCAATGTCTATCAAAATATAATTTAACCCCAAGAAAATGTAAGTAAAATTTTGCTACTAACCTGGTGGTCTTGAGCTAATCTTAATTAAAGGTGGAATTTGCTTCTTTGGCTTCTGTGGTGGGGATTGAGGGTCTTCATCCAAATCCTTATCATTTTCACATTGCGTATCTGTGCATACTTCTGATAACTTTTCTTGACTCACACAATAAATACCTCTCTGAGTGTTGGAGTCTCCATTGCCATCTGCTGAAAATTATGTCACTTTGGTAACATAAATACTGTACTGTACAGTGATAGCAAAATAACCAACACAAAAACATTGTACAGTATTAGTTATGGAATAAATGGAGTCCTTTATATGCAGGGGTCTCACCTTTAAAAAATTTATAATTATAATTGTGCTTAATTTTGCTCTTTTTTTTATCGAAAGCTTAGCTCTTAGCCAACATTTTAAGTTACATTTTAAATAAATTTACCATCTTCATATTTTTTGTTATTGCAAGGTTGCAATTGTTGTCCATGCCGTTGCTTGTTTTTGTGCGTTCTACTTTTTTGGTGTTTTTTCCTTCAGTAATGTGACTGATCTAGTATCCCTACTCCCTTATGCCTCTACTGAGGGAGACCAGATTTTGATCCTGGCCTCTGTTTGATGCTAATCATTTGATAGAGACTGGTGTGGTGACTGGGATTGAAGGACTCCAGGAGGGTAGCTTGGAGAGATACAGAGTGAAGCCCTCCCAGAAATGCAGGTTTCCACAAAATTCACCAATTAATTTTGGCTTGCCCCAAAGGCCCAGGAATAACATGTCATCCACTGTATTTATTTTGAACAAAATTACTATTGCAAATGCAATTGACACGGTAAAATCTCTAGGAAGAGATACAGCCTACTCCATTATCGCCTATTCTACTCATTCACATCTATGTAATCAAGAACTGCAGCCAAGAACAACAACTACAACTACTTCCAGATGTCTAGACAGTACTACCAGTCTCCTCCCTTCACGGCCCGTCACCCCACCTCACACCTGGGTCGCTGGGAGGCCACGCTCTCCCAAACAAGTAGTTCAAGTGAGCCGGTTCATAGTTAAAGAAGACATCAGCGCCCTCTGGCCGGCCGATATTCTGTATAAATAGGGCTACCAAGCTCTCCAAGATTCAGATTACTCCTGAGTGCTCTTGCTGAGCAGACCTGTTGACATACCCCGGTGTGGTAACAAGAGCTATTCAGTTTGACTCACGGTATTCCGCACCATATCTTATTTTGCACCTTAACGTAACGTAAATTTGATTGTTCATCTTGTTTGTTTTGCACAATTTGTATGAAAGCCAAGCCTGGATATTATTATATGTTTTGTAATTTGTTTAACTTCAGTTTTTGTTTTAAAGTAAAGTATTTTTAAATGTTTTTTTCCCTCTGCTTTATCCTACAGTTTGCCTCACTGTGAAGATACCTTTTGCAGTTTAACTTTTTTTTTTTTTTTTTTTTTTAATATTTTGTGACTGGCATTACAGACTGCATGACCACCAACGTTTACCGTCACACAATTAAGACTACAGGGGAAATATTCTGGTGTCAGAACATCAATGATGATATTTTGGTACAGTTGCACTTAAAAGTTTTCACTCAAATCTTACATCTTAAAAGTAATAAAAAATCTGCCAACATATGGCTACATGGATCAGTAACAAAACGAAGCTTCCTTATACAGTAGAACCTCGGTTGATGACCGTCCCTCTTTACAAATTTTTCAGGTTACGATCTCAATTTCTTCGTAAAATTTGACTCGAATGATGACCTTGGGACTTCATTACCTCGCTTAGCAACGAGTTTGTTAATACACGTATGGGTCAATCGAGTGTGTGGTTCCTGGTGGCACAGGCGAGGCACGCTTCAGTTTACCAGTGCCGCCCATCTAGTGACAATTGTGCTTTAATTTTTTGTAAGGAACTTAATTGTTTTTCTGCTTTTCTGGTTTTTGTACATAAAAGTAATTATTATATATCACACCATGGTCTCCGAAAGCATTTCAGCGGCCATCATTTGTGAAAAAGCAAGGCTATTGCATAGAGATCTTTTAAAGAAAATGCCTGGAATGAGTGATGCAGATATGAAAGCATTTAAGGCAAGCAGGAGATGGTTTGAGAAATTTAGAAAAAGAATTGGTATTAATAGTGTTGTGAGGCATGGGGAAAAACAAATGTCTATAGACAGATAGTAAGACAAACAAGCAGTGAGCCACAACCAGATCTTAGTGATTTGTCTGCAAAACATAGGAGAGAGTGTACCCCAGAAATGGCATCACTGCCTGATGGAAAGGGACTCCCCTTCCAAATACTAACACCTCTCCCCCCCCTCCCCCTTCACTGTCTTCCATACGCCAACAAGAGTCCTCAATAAAGATAAGATATACAGGTACTGTATTGTAGTACAAAATATGAGTACAGTGTACCTTCGTTTACGAATTTAATCCATTCCCAGAGATGGCTCGTAACCTGAAAATTCCTAACCCAAAACAAATTTTCCCCATAAGAAATAATGTAAATTTCATTAATCCATTCCACACTCCCAAAAATATTAACTTCAAAATACATTTCATACATAATAAACACAAATATTTTGTACTATAGTACAGTATGTAAAAGTCATAGCTTACCTTTATTGATGACTTGCTGAAAGACGGTGAGGAGGGGGGGAGGAGGAGGAGAGGTGTTAAGTGTTTGGAATGGGGAGTCCCCTTCCATTATAACATCAGGCAGTGATGACTTCTCTGGGGCTACTCTCTCTCCTACGTTTTGCCTGCATACCGCTAGGACCTGGTTGTAGCTCACTGCTCGTCCTTCTTACTAAGAACTTTTCCACAGAGACTTGTTTTCCCTGTCTTAACTTTGTCTGTAGTTAGACATCACATTGTCATTAAAAAGGTTAATGCAATGGCCTGCAACAGTTTTATCTGGGCGAGTCTTTTCAGCAAAACTTTTGCAGTTCTTCCAATACTTCACACATTTTCTTAATGAGGAAAGGACATCCTCTACTGCCTGTACTCACAACTATTTTTTTAGGTTGAATTTTACCACTGACTTTCTTGGGACCCATGGCATGATATATAATAATTACTTTTATGTTTAGAAACCAAAAGAGCTGAAAAAAATTAAATTCTTTACAAAGAATTCAAGTGCGAATGTTACCACGCGGGAGGCACTGTTAAACTGAGGTGCGATCGCCCGTTTCATCAGGAACCATGCACTCAGTCGACCCATACGTGTATCAACAAACTCAATTTTCAAGGCAGAGCTCATAAACTGAATCAAATTTTACGAAGAAAGCAAGCTTGTAACCCGAAAAATTAGTAAATAAGGGCATTCATAAGCCGAGTTCAGGTAGCAAATATGTACCACTACCAGAACTGTAGTATTATATATAAAATGTATTATGAAGTTAATATTTTTGGGAGTGAGGAACAGATTAATTCAACTTACATCAATTCTTATGGGAAAATTCGATTTGGTTTATGAACCACCTCTGGGAACGGATTAAATTCTTAAACGAAGGTACACTATACTATCATCTTTAAGTACTGTAAGCTTCAAGCCAATACAAAGGGTGTTTGCCCGATATTGCACAGAAACCAAGAATATACAATTCAAATTAAAACAATAAGGTATCTTTTCTGAGCTACCTAATAACCACAGGAACAACTATGCAATAAGAATCAACATGAATACTAGACCAACTTGTTGCATTTGAATCCTCTTCATTTTCATGGGTATTGTCGTCACTACTCTCAATGCTATCATCTTTGTCATGGTCTGCCTCACCATTTTCGTCGTCCTCCTCCTCCTCTTTGATAACCAAGTCCCCTTCTTCATCGTCAACATCATCATCTTGAATTTCAAGTTTTTCTCTGTCTCTATCTGCAAATAACAAATTAATAGCTCTGAATTTTTCTTCATGGTAAATTCAACACATTAAGATTATTAAAAAGCCATGTTTTGAGTGTACAGTATAGTATATATATTAAAAGATCTTTTCTCAGCAGGACACCTGGATGCTCTCTTAGGCAAGATCCTGCTGGCCCATGAACTGTCAGGGCACACTAACACAGTGCATTACATGAAAAATGTCTACTGGGTCATACTGGTGTAAAGACATTGGAAAATTACTCAATCCAGCCAGAATGACCTTTAACCCTTAAACTGAGCAAACTATTTCAATGCAGTGAATGAAGATTCGTAACAATTTTGTGTACAGTAATGGATGGCTAAGGGACATTAAGGTTTGTTATGGTATTAGACATGTGAAAATACAAGGTGAAAAGCAATCTGCTGATGCAAAATGTGCAGAGGAATCTGTGTCCAAATTTGAGATTGTGCAGGAAGTTTATCTCCTGAGCAAATTTATAGTGCTAATGAAATAAGCCTATACTGGCGTATGTTGGATGGTTAAACATACACCCATTAGAGTGAAAGTGATGGCTCAGCTTGATTCAAAGCAAATAAAGAAAGGCTCTGTACTCTGTTGTGCAAATGCAGCTGGCTCGCACAAATTACAGTGACTTGTTATTGACAAAAATCTAAATCAAGGTCATTTAAGGGTGTCAAGAATACTATCCCTGTGATTTATAAAGCTCAGCCTTATGGATACCTAGGGCCATTTTTCATGAATGGATTTTAGGTAATTTTGTACTCGAGGTGAAAACCATTGACTTGCCAGAGAACAGCAAAGTGGTGCTCTTTCTTGATAATAGTGCAACACAACTACGTGAAGATGAGGTAGTTAACCTTGAACTGCACAACACATCAATAGCTGTGGTGAGTAACTGTTGCAGAATTGTGCACCACAGCTATTGATGTGTTGGAGTACAGCGCAAGATTTAAAAGTCCCACGGCTACACAGGTTTCACATCAGCTTCCTCAGGGCTCTTGTAAACAGATGCCATTAAAAAAAAAACCTTGGGCAACATTCCCAGGTGTGATAACCTCAGTACTGAGTCAGCATCCAAGGCTGGTGCACGCAGCATGAGCTCACAGCACTGCTGTTCAGCTTGTGACCACAGCATTGCCTAATAAATGTAAAAATATGTAACTGGTATTATTTAGCGATGATAGTATTACAGAAAACTCGACTGATAAAAAACCAGGGTTGAATGTAATGAAACGCCATTTTCTGGGTGAATCCCGGAGGCTTCCCGGAGTTATCCATGGCTGATATGGATACCCTAACTATTTAGCATCAGTCGATGTAGGTGGAGTACTAGACCTAAAGGGGACCACGAGCCAGAACCTGGCCCCCCTCACAGAAGCACGAGGAACAATGACCCATAGAAATGCACATGTGATTTGGAGCATTCTATATCTGCCATCGACCGGGACAGGCACCCAGAAAGGTAAGCTCCACAAAATAAACCCCTATTCTGGTTAATAACAAAAATTGTCAAACGAGTGGACAGAACTCCCCCAAAAGAAAAACGAGCAAACAAGCATGACGTCACAAGAGCTGTGCCGCATGTCTGCGCAGCTCCTCCCCTCCCCAGGAGGGGGAAGGGGGAGCCCCAGACTCTTGTGCCAATGATCCTCCCCCAGTTCTAAGGCTGGATATCAAAAACACGAAAAAACTGAGACACGACCTGAGAGAACCGAACCCGTGAACAGGGAAGAAGGGAAACTGGGTCAACCCAAAGCGCATCCCCAGACACAGAAGCTGTGGCGCGCAGATAACGGCGGAGGACCGCAACCGGACATACCACACATGATGATGTGCCGACCTGACCAACTAAGCATCAACAACCGATGGACCCCTCCGGAAAGCAGCAGTCTCATTCTTCGCCAGAAAAGAGGGAGACGGCTGCAGACGAACATACCGATGACCGCGACCAAAAGAGCAAAAACCTCTATGCCGGAGAAGAGCATAAAGCTCTGCCACCTGACCCCCAGAGGCTAATGACAACAGAAAAAGAGCCTTAGCAAAACAATCCTGAACCGAAGGAACCACAACAAACCGAGAAGATAGATAGGAGAGCACTCTGTCCAAAGACCAGGACGGCTCAGGGGGGTGCATGAGCAGGCTGGAGGTGAAACAACGCACGAGACAGCTTGCGAAACGGTGTAGAAGTACTGTAACATCGATACTGAAAGCAAGCTACAGCGGCTCCGCCAGCGCCGCACGATACGAGCCAGCCTCGGAGCGTTCGGGGAAGCGACAACCCGAGTGCGTTGCAATAACCTAAACCCATCCTGCAACGAGCGTGCTGCCTGCACCCGAAGAAAATCATCATCAGTTTGGGTGAAATGAGTCACAAACAAGCAATAAAGCTCGCAGGATTCAGGGTCGAATGTGTCACTGACCCAACAGGCAGCATGACGGAGGCAAAAACTATGAGTGTTGCCCTGAGACAAGGGCACAGAGCAACCCTCAAACCCGCACAAAACGAGAGGGGACTCAGAGGTCTCCTCCGTTGGACCCGAGTGCCCCCGCAGGGTTTCTCAGGACCCCTAGACTGGGTCTGCTAAGGGTTATCCCAGGCAGGGTACTGCTAACTGGCACCCCAGACTACCAAGCAAACTGCTAAAAGCTGAACTCACAGGACGTGTCCATTCACGAGGGCGAAGCAGGGGGCACCACTATACAAAACGACCCTAATATAAAGGGGAGGGAGAACACAAGGCAGACCCCCCACCAGGCAAAAAGAAAAGAAAAACCTCGCAAGAGGACAACGTACCTGAAGAGAACAGAGCCGGCCGCTGTTAAGGTGAAAACTAGCTATGCAGTACGCCACGCCCTACCAGTGCTACAACTACCACTTACCCCAAGGCTAACAAGGGTGGAAACCCAGTACACACTCGGGGCGGCCAAACGCCAAGCACCGAAAGGCCAACAGAGGCAGACCCAAGGTGACTTGTAGAAGGGAGCCTCTAAGGCGGTACTTACAGGGCACTCGGGGAAGGTGACTGAGCACATGCAGCCCAAGTACCTGAGAATATCACTACCAGCTCACACGACCACCGTAAGAGCAGCACAGAGAAAACCGGAGCTGGAGCCACACGACTATGCACAATCCCATCAGCCGAGGAACTGAGGCGAGGATCGCCGGCGCGAAGGTCTGGGGCTCCCTCCTCTCGGGGAAGGGGGAGCTGCACAGACATGCGGCACGACTCATTTGATGTCATGCTTGTTTGGTCGTTATTCTTTTGGGAAGTTCTGTCCATTCGTTTGACGCTTTTTGTTAACTAGAATAGGGGTTTGTTTTGTGGCGCTTACCTTTCTGGGTGCCTGACCCAGTCGATGACAGATATAGAATGCTCCAAATCACATGTGCATTTCTATAGGCCATTGCTTCTTGTGCCTCTGTGAGGGGGGCCAGGTTCTGGCTTGTGGTCCTCGGTAGGCCTAGAACTCCACCCACATTGATTGATGCAAAATAGTTAGGTTATCCATATCAGTCATGGATAGTTCCAGGAAGCCGTAGGGGCTCCCCCCAGAAATGACAGGGATTCTGATAATAGGATGATTGTTCTGATAATTAGCGCTGTGCATAGTATGGTGGGAATCGTAATGCTGAGGAAGGGAGGTAGCTTTGTCTGCAGACTGTGTGTGACCACCTGTTATTGTCTAGAAACACCATATCAGCTTAGTGGTTCAGTATGGTGATCACAAATGTAGATACTTATATATAACATGAGTATATAGTGTAGTAACAGCACAAACAATATAGTGGAAGGAGGAATCTTAGTGAGGGAGGGGAGGCACGTTGGCTGACTGCATGTTGCGTCCTATGTTGCTATCTGAGCTCACCATACCAGCTTAGTTGTACAGTTATGGTGAACAAAGCGTGTAGATACTTACGTATAATGTGTGTATATAGTAATCACACCATAAACAGTATGGGTGAAGGAGGAATGATAGTGCGTCAGGCGTTGAACGAGTGAGGGAGGGAATGCAGCATCGACTCTGTGTCGTGTCCTCTGTTGCTGTCTGAACTCACCATACCAGCTTAGTTGCAAAGTTATGGTGAACAAAACATGTAGATACTTATATATAATGTCTGTATATGGTGAATAAAAGCAAAAACAGTATGGTGGGGGGAGTGTTGGTGAGTGAAGTGAGGTGAGGGAGGGAAGGTGGCATTGGCTGGCTGGTGTGTGGCAGCCACTCGTCATTGGTATGACTTACCATATGAACTTGGTGGTTTGTTATGGTGAACAAAACATGCAGATACAGTACTTATATATAACCTGTGAATATTGTGTAATAAAAGCAAAACTATTTGTTTATTGTTTTATGAACATAATAATTGAATCACTAATATGCACACCATAATTTTGAGAATAGCGATGATTCACACATTTTATTACATAAATATATTACACTACACACTATTGAATAATAATATCTTTGTGGCAATTCCCACCTGACAGCCCTGGCGGAGCTGACCGCCTCCGGCGATTGCTCTGTCAATGCCTCAATTTTGCCAGACTCCCTCGCCCTATTATAGCCCTATATTTTGGTTAATATAGGGAGCCGGTCGGCCGAGCGGACAGCACGCTGGATTTGTGATCCTGTGGTCCTGGGTTCGATCCCAGGCGCCGGCGAGAAACAATGGGCAGAGTTTCTTTCACCCTATGCCCCTGTTACCTAGCAGTAAAATAGGTACCTGGGTGTTAGTCAGCTGTCACGGGCTGCTTCCTGGGGGTGGAGGCCTGGTCGAGGACCGGGCCGCGGGGACACTAAAAAGCCCCGAAATCATCTCAAGATAACCTCAAGATAGCCAAAATATGCCACCTACAATTTTTTTCCCTGTGGTAAGGGAACACAAATGAACACTTTTATAAGAAGAAATTATATTTTTTTTTATTTTATTTCTTGCACCAGGATGTGTTGCAGGCTATAATCACAAGAGCAGCCCCAGGGGTTAAGGGCAATATGCTTGGTTCATTTTTGCAACCCAATGTAACTTTTTTTTTTTAATCCAACCCATGCACACTAGGTGCTTTGTCCCCATGTTCAAACGAATCATTTAGTTTTGAGCAATTCTTTTGTGGGTGTCAGCTGGATGTTATGATGCTTCATTTTCATGAACCATGCAGTAGTGTGTTTTATCTCGCCTTCTTTCCTTGTGAGGATGATCACAACAATCCCCTGCTCTCTGTGCTTCTATGAGGGGGTGCCAGGTTCTGGCTTTAGATTCCTGGTAGGCCAACAGAACTCCCAAGACTGATGTGATTGTATTTGAGAAGCTATCTCAGCAAGTTAGCTTCAGGGAGCAATCAAGGAACTCTTCACTTCAGAAAACCTTCAACTGACCTCGAAATATAGCATGATCGCAGTGACAATCCACCTGGCATGCATCAAAACCTACAGTCATTGACATATTTTGGTTAATATAGACATTGCAACTAGGGACTAGATTCTGGCATTAATTTATAGATCAACATCTCATCTTTCAGTTCACACTGTAAGTGTTTACAGAAGTTAATATTTTCATTAGTCATTTACTTGTAATGTTAATTAATCATTTAAGTGGATGAAGAGCAAAATTTACCATAATATCTATACCTGTACCAAGACTTAAAACTGCAACCATATAAAATTTTTGTTAATCTGGCATTATTAAAAAACAAGAGCAAATACCTTTTGAACTGAGCTCCAATGGCACTATTGGCCCTGTCTCCTGCTCTGCCACTTGCACCACAGATGCAGCAGAGTGAATGGTGACTGTCTCTGTACCTTCAGCATCATCACTACAACCAGAATCAACAAGTTGAGCAAGAGCCACACTCAGAGACACATGGTCCTCCTCGTCACTGTCATGCTGCGGTGCTGTCTCACCTTGCTCTATGGGAACCACAGCCTTGCTACTTTCACTTTGTGTACAAAATTGTTTAGTTATGCTATCCAGTAATCTACATGTGTCCTTTTCTGGTATGAGAGTATTTTTTATGTATATACTATCCCTAGAAGCTAAAGAATTTTCCAAAATATTGTTTTTAATTTGTCCTTCTGTCACTTCACTGTGTTCTTCTAGACTCTCACTGTTTTGACATATTTCTTGAAAATTACTTTTAGTACATGTATTATACTTAGGTTTTTTACAAGTGCCTGTGACCTCTCGCCCTCCCACATCTGGTAAAGGTATCTCTCTCGTCTCAGATACTTCCACACACTGAAATTGTGATTTTTCTATTTGTTGGTCACTACATAGCCTTTCTGTACTGTGATTCTCAACTCTTTCAGCACATCTTTCTATCACTTCTTCAGAGTCATCACTGTCATGTTTCTCTGCTTCAGAATCTTTAGCAGATTGAACACTTGACTTGGTTTTACTGTATGAGTGACCAAGTACATCCTCTATGTTTCTAAATGCCTCACTGGAATTATCATCTTCGGAAAAACCCTCTTCACTACCAGAATTACCGACTACTTCAACAGACTGAGAATCTGAAACATGATAGTCAGGAATTACCTCTTCAACAATTGCTTTATTAAGACACACATCGTCAGTACACAATGTTTCCTCTATTCCTCTACTCTTATCAACTACATCATTACATAAAGTACTTGAACTCATTTTTTTACAGCCTTCTTCCAAATAAGCAACACAAGGAATACCTGTTCTTTCATCATTGTCAATACACTTAGATGTATTTGCACAAATATTTTTGCAATCAATACTGGACTTATTATCTATGCATATCACTCTGTTTTCGGATTTGTATTCAGTTTCTGCATCCTCTTTCAGATTATTTTCTACAGATACAAAGGTCACTTTCTCCTTTTTTATATTCTCAGCTATTAGTAAGTCCTCCCTCACAGTCTCCCTATTTACACCTACATCTTTTACATCATCTTTTTTCTTAACCTTTCTTCTTGCATTTCCAGCCTCCTCTGGAGTGATGAGGCCTCTTTTAGTGCCCTGACATGCTTTGATTTTGGTCATACTCTTAACTTCCAGTTTATTTTGTGTTTTTTTCTCTCTCTCTTTCTTGAGAGATTTCTGAAAATTCCTCTCCTTGACATTTGATGGAACAGGTTTAGAAGACTTCTTGGGAACAGCCCAAACTCTGCGTTCGATGGTTGCTCGTCTGGATGACCTTCGTAGAATATTCCCTTCATTTTTAACAGTCTGAAAATAAATAGCTATTTAGAAATATTTGTGAGTGCTTCTGGATTCAACACATTTTAAATGCAAATCAATAATTAGAAAAATAGTTTCTGCAATTGAATGGATAACCTTAGCCATTCACAGTAGAATAATAAACCCCAGCATGTTTAAGTCTACCCATGTAGATGTAAATATTTGCTCAAACATTATACAGTATAGGATTTTGGGAACCATATAAATATCAAGGCAGTACTATTTTTTGTTGCGTCTTCTTTCTACTAAAACAAAATATTGTATTTGAAACATATAAAGTAATTATTATTTATCTACCCATAGAAGACAAGTGTTGAATATAATGAAATACAATTTCTGGGCAAGTCCGAGTGGTTCCCTGAAGCTATCTTGCTAAGAGGGCTCCCAACTACTTGGTCACATCGGCTGCAGGTTTCTTAGGCCTACTGGGAACCAGATCTAGAACCTGGGCCCCCTCAAAAGAGGAGCAGGAAGCAGATGACAGTCCATCAACTCATAGGGAATGGCATCCAGAAAGTCAGCAAACCAAAACCGGCAACTACTGGATTTAAAGTGAGACTGAAGTCTCGCAACCTGCCTAATGAACCCCCTAAACTATGTAAACAAATGATCTACTCTCTTGAAACTAATGTGTGCTTCTTCGCCCCACCTCTTCCACAAGTTTAGGGGAAGGGGTGGAGGAGGAGCCCAGGCCCTTCCAAGGCCTGAGCCCTCAGTCCTGGAGCAGATGAATACACAAGACCCCCATATGACAACCTGGAAAGGAGGGAGGGAGGGAAGAAATTAGGGAGCCATAGGGATAACTCAGAAATTGGCATTTTATTACATTCAATGCTGGTTTTCTGGGGAGAGCCCAAGAAGAAGTAGTGAAATGTGTTTGAGAGACCAAACCCCCACACTATGCAAGGAAGCTGAGGCCAGGGAACATTAACTAAATACCGGGCTGCCAAAATCCCTGCGCCTGAATTGAATATCAACCCATGACAAATCAGCAAAGACAGCCACTAAAGCAGCATACTTTCAAATACCATGGGCATGAGGGCTGACCTCAGGTTGGATAGGCTTAATGACACTACCTCTACCATTATTAATTTAATCCTTGACACTAACTTGTCAATGAGTAAATTAAAAAAAATCAAAACCAGTCCACCTGTTCTGGGGTTATTTAGGCTATAGAAAGGGATATAATTATAAACAATGTTAAGCAGCATGTATCATATATGTGAGGTACTTGTACGATTAGCTCCTTGGTGAACCAGGTAGAGGAACTAAATTATGATGTAAACAATGAGAATGAAAACCCAGCGTTCAATGTAATGAAATGTCATTTTCTGGGCGAGTCCCGGAGGCATCCCATAGCTTACCGGGTTGATATGTATGTATTAGACTGTGGCATCAGTCGATTCGATTTGAGTTCTTGCCTACCGGATTTAACACCATAAAGGTGTTTAGTTATATTTTATGTTACATACAACATGAGTCAGCCAGACAGGAATTGAGGCGCCAGACTGTCGGCCCGTAGTAATAAAAAATCACACCTCTAGAGTGTTAATGACCACAAGTTGACTAAGGGTCAGGTCATGTGAATTGACCTTGCTTCTGCTAAACTGATAATTGCAGCCAGGTAGCCGGGTGTGTATTTGAAACAAGCCACCATTTAAGGCGTGGTAGGTAGATGGCCTGGGACTATCTACTTAGTAAGCGGAGCTCTACTCCCGGTTCCCACATAAATACTCAGGGAACCGTACATACGTGAGAACAGACAGATCAGACACACAAGATTGAGCAGCCACAAGAATTAGATAGCTGGCCAGAGGCTTCAGCCGCTAGACTGGCCACCCTAGGCCAGAAGGGGGACTCTGTCTGTCAACTGTTGCTCCCCCCCTCTCTATTCAACTTGTCTCAATCCTTGGTGCGTTTGAACATTAAAGTGACTTATTTCGTGTTTTCCAAACTTAGGGTATTGTGTGATTATTAGGGGCGGACAGCCATAATGTACTCAATGTCTTGTGTGGTGACTCACATTGTATATTAATCTTGACATAGTGAACATTAAGTTAAATTGCCTGAATCATAATACTTATATTAAATATAATTGATGAATTTATTGTTTAAATTGTCTGTGTTCCCTAGACCTTGTATTTTCTGATATATTGCAAGCTGGAGTGTAGAGCACTCTGAGTTTACTGACTTAAAGAGTATGAGTACATGCTTAGAGCAGATACATTTGATACATGCTAAACTTTTGATAACAGCTTAGAGTACAGACAAGGTACATTCCTTGTTTTGTATGTACTTAGCTAGAATGGATGCTGGCAGCCCTTTCTACTACTACTTTCTTCCTTATCTACTACTCTACTAACTTCTACTCCTCTCCATGTTCTCAGTCTCTCCCTCCGCATCTTTTCAAACTTTCCCTTTCACCTGACCATACTCCTGGCTACTCCCATACTCCTCCCACCTTCCTTCTACCTCTCTAATTCCCTCACCCCATTTAATCCTTTAACTGCGCAATGTGCCTGCAGGCCTACGTTTGGGGTGCGCTACGCGCCTCCAGGTATTTGTATTTTTCACATTCCATTCAAAACTCACGTGGCTACATGGGGTTCACATCAGCTTCCTCAGGGCCATCATGCTTGTTTGCTGGTTTTCGGATTAGGAGTTCTGCTTGATAGTTCGGTTTTTGGTAGCAATTTTTAACCAGGTGGTGTTTGTTTTGGGACACTTACCTTTCTGGGTGCCTAACCCGGTCGATGGCAGACATGGAATGCTTCAAACCACATGGGGGTTTCTACAGGCCACTGCTCCTCGTGCCTCTCTGAAGGGGCCAGGTTCTGGCTCGTGGTCACCGGTAGGCAAGAACTCTAATCGAACTGATTGATGCAACGGTCTAATATATACATATCAGCCCAATAAGCTTCGGGAAACTGGAGGGGCTCTCCACAGAAACCAGGACAATTATAAAGTAATCAGAGTAACTTGGTTGGTGCTCAATGTGCACAAACTACAGGTCAGTATACTGTCCTGGAATGGTCTTCATACGCAGTTCATTAAAAATAAACAATGACAATGATGGATCTTACTTTGTTATTCCTGGTTTTGTGAGAAGCTTCCTCTTTGTGTATCTTGTTAGGTGACGGATTGCCGGTTACAAGACAGGAACGAGGTCTTGCCACACCAGTGGTTGGCGGTTCATCTACTTTATACTTCATCGTTACCTTATGAAAGGAAATACAGTTTTATAAATGGTACACAAGACCTTTAAAATGCTTCTCTACATGTTTGGAATATAGCATATGATAAAATGGGTAGAGCTGAGAGCTCAAAACAAATCATATAGGTTAGGTTAGGTAGGGTTGGTTACGTTCGGCCATATATCTACGTTAGTTTTAACTCAAATTAAAAAAAGCTTAAGTCATACGTAATGAAATGGATAGCTTTGTCATTTCATAAGAAAAAAATTAAAAAATTTATAAATTCAGAAAACTTAGCTTACTAGGCAAATTGGGCCTTGCATAGTAGGTCGAGTACTGCATTCTGGCTACTAGGTGTACACACACACACACACACACACACACGTATATATATATATATAAAACTGAAAACTCACACCCCAGAAGTGACTCGAACCCATACTGCCAGGAGCACTCTGCATCTGGCGTACAGGACACCTTAACTACTCGACCAACATGACCGGTCCTCTTTTGTCCGTACATACTTATACTTTCTTATACTTAATGAACCCCATCTTTGACACATCAGTGTCGACACGAAAGCTGCCAAATGGAGGAAGGGAGGGTGCCACGGAGCCTCTGGGGCTCACCCAGAAAATGGCGTTTCATTATATTCATTGCTGATTTTCTGTGGGGAGCCCCTTCGGGTCCCTGAAACTACATAACCAAAGATCAGAAAAAGAAGGACTTACCCAGGTGGCGGTTGCCACAAGCTTCTTAACTCAAAGGCCAAACAACTGGCTGCAACCTGTGACCCAAAGCCAAAACCTTCAAACTCCCCGCGCCCGAATATCAGCCCAAGACAAGTTGCTGAAGACGGCAGCTAAAGCAGCAAACTTCTGAATGTCATGGGCACGAGGATAGACTGCAGGCTGGCAAGACTTAATAACCCTACGGACAACCTGGTAGACCCAAACCCTGGAACAGGGAACGAGGGAAACCGGATCAACTTAAAGCGCATCCCCGGCCACAGAAACCGAGGCACGCCGGTAACTCCGAAGAGCCACAACCGGAAACAAAACATGATACACCCCCGGCCTGATCAACAAAGCATCAATGACTCAAGGACCCCTCTGGAAAGCAGCTGTCTCGTTCTTCGCCAGAGAAGGAGGAGGCTGCAACCGTACAAACCAACAACTAGGATTGAAGGAGCAGAAACCCCTGCACTGGAGAAGATCATGAAGCTCACCGACCCAACCCCTAGAGGCCATTGCCAACAGAAACAAAGCCTTGGAAAAACAATCGTGAACCGACAGGGCCAACACAAACTGAGGAGAAGACAGATATGAGAGCACCCTGTCCAAGGACCAGGACGTGGTAGGACTCTCCTACTACCTACTCTCCCGTGGTAGGACTTCAACTGAGCCAGAACCCAAAGCAACACCTGGACCAGGGAAAACAGGTACAGTTAACCCCACCTCAACCAATCCTGCCGAAAGGTGTCCACCGTGAAAGCTCCGCGGTCGGAGAAGAGCACCACATATATCAGATGTCTCAACCAAGCCGACACAAAAAGGTCCACCTCGTGAAGCCCATACGTCTGGCAAAGCCAGCTGAAGGAGTTGGCAGCAACCGTCCATTCCGTGGACAGGGGAATGAATTGAGACAGGCCTTCCGCCAGGACGTTGCACACTCCCGAATATGAACTGCACAGAAAGCCAAACCCAGAGAATCCAGCAGATGAGCCACTCGAAGCGACCAGCCCCAAAGAGGCAAGGACCAAAGAAACCCCCACGGTTCAGGCAATGAACCACCAAAGAACAGTCCAAATGGAACCGAACCCTCCGAAGTGACAGCCATACTACCGCAAACTACCGCACCGTGCTGTGATCCCGCCAGCCGGCCTGGTGAGCACTGGTCACAAAGCCACAGCTGAGATGACGCGTCTGTGAACATATGGAGTGAGGGCTTGGATAGGCGTCAAGGCACTGATCCCCGAAAAACCAGAAGAGGAAGTCGGCTACGCAGCAACCGATGCAAGGCCCCCAGAGGCTGAACCCAGTGATCGTGAGAGAGAGAGACGAAAAGGGCATTTCCGAAGGCAGCAGATAAGACGCCGAAGTCAAACCAGATCCAGCGGGTAAACAAGTATAGTGATGTTCAGACTCCAGCACAACTGCTCGAACAACCACTCGAGTCGAGTACAGTACAAGTTCTCTGAGCCACTACAAATAAACCACAAGAGATAGAGACTTTTTATTTGGATTTTTGTGTTTTCTGGATGCTAATTAACAATGTCAAAAGAAGAGAGAATTTTTCAGAATTTATTTTTTGTGAATCATGGTAATGTCAGCTATTAATTTAACAGTTGCATAGCCCAGGGGTTACAAAGAGCAATGGTCATTGGGAAAAGCCCTGTGGAACACCACTTTCCACTCCACTTCAGCCTGACATATCTTCTCTGACTATGACCAATTGTTTCCTGTTTGTCAAGTACTCCTGTACTCAATCCAGTGCCTTTCCTTTTATCCCATTCTCTAGCTTGAGTTTTGGTCTTTTGGGACGAACTGCTTCAAAAGCTTTTAGGTAATCTACCCATCCTTCCTTCTCTTGTCTTATTTTGGTGACCCTGTAAAAGAATTCAATTAAATTTGTTAATCATGATTTTTCATTCTGAAGTTGTGTTGAGCCTCTGTTACAAAATTTACTTGCCAAATGTTCTACAATCATTTCTTAGATGACATTTTCTATCCTGTTGCATAGAATACATGTTAATGACACTGGTCTATTGTTTAGTGCTTCATGTCTGTCCCTTTTCTTGAATATTGGAGTGGTGCCCAACCACTTGGATCATCTGGGATCCTGTAGGAAACAGTACAGGGAAATGAGAGGCTTTTGTCAGGGATACTATTATAAATGCAACTCAAAAGGAAGCCCCCAACAATAAATGAACTTTTTCAATAATAAATGCTGGAAAGCAGCTGACATGGTGTAATCAAGGAAGTAAAGAAGCAGAGTGCTTAAGCATGATGGCATGGAAAAATTACAGGAAATTTCAAATAACAAGAGGGTTTCCAGAGGTGACAGGAATAAGTACCTCAGAGTGAGGAAAGCAACAGTTATAAAACAAACAAGTTAGAAAACGATACACACACACACACATATAAGATATTATATATATATATATATATATATATATATATATATATATATATATATATATATATATATATATATATATATATATATATATATATATATATATATATATATATATATATATATATATATATATATATATATATATATATATATATATATATATATATATATATATATATATATATATATATATATATATATATATATATATATATATATATATATATATATATATATATATATATATATATATATATATATATATATATATATATATATATATATATATATATATATTCAAGATTCTCAAGGGAATTGATAGGGTAGATAAAGGCAGGCTATTTAACACAAGGGGCACACACACTATGGGACACAGGTGGAAACTGAATGCCCAAATGAGCCCCATAGATATTAGAAAGAACTTTTTTAGTGTCAGAGTGGTTGACAAATGGAATGCATTAGGAAGTGATGGAGTGGAGGCTGACTCCATACATAGTTTCAAGTGTAGATATGATAAGAGCCCAGTAGGCTCAGGAACCTGTACACCTGTTGACGGTTGAGAGGCGGGACCAAAGAGCCAGAGCTCAACCCCCACAAGCACAATTAGGTGAATTAGGTGAGTACACACACATACACAGGCGGAAATCCACAGAGAAATGGAAAAGGAAGATGAACGTTTCGGTCAACACCAGACTAAAAGAAATCACAAAGAGAGAGTGGAGGCTACCACTAGAACCTGACCACAATCTCCTGGGAAAGAATTAACCAGAAAAAGGCATAGATTAGCTTAGAATGGTCAAAAGGATTTAAGCGGTAAAAATAAAAGATTTAAGAAAAAGCTTCATTGAACACAAAATATATGAATGTAATATTGTTATGAGACATTGTAACTCTCCCTATCATAGTTTTTTCTTAAACTGTTGTGCAATATTGTAACTTAAAACTGGGTCAAGTTTGTACATACCAGTTATAATATTGAGAAGATTTGGACACTGATTTGGGCAGACTCAATTAAATTCCGTTCCACAAAGCCATTGCAATTGGTAATGCTTTTGTTTTGAATTTTAGATAACCAGATATAAAGTAAGAAGGCACATGCTGCAGCTGGACATGGCTAAGGCAGTTTAAACAAAAACAGGCTCTTACCATGAATACTTAGAGAAGGATCAGAACACTTGTGTTGGCTACTTACTATAATATTATGTTATTTTTAAGTAACTGGAAATGGGAGAATTATAATGTCACTCAGTCATTCATGACTAAGTCTGGAAAGTTCAGATGTATATCACCAGACTAGTTCCAGAGCTAAGAGGTATGAGTTAGTCTACACAGAATCTAAAGAAATTAGATCACACAATACTGGGAGAAGAAACACAAAGCAAGATAGGTACATAATAAGTCCTCAAGAAATTAACAAGACAGACAAGTAGTTCTCAAAGGCATACAAAGCTTCAAATATAGATACGACAGTGGCGAATATGCTCAGGAATGTGTTCAGCAGTTAAAGGTCCAAAGGTCAGACAGAAAAGCTCAATCCCCTGCTGGCACAGTTATGTTAATACAATTAGGTTGGTACCAGAATGTAGTTTACTTCATCAACCTTAAATCACACACAAATCATCACTGTATATGCCACAGTCATTACAGCTGGTGTCCATTGAGTCCGTCCGTCAGGGTGTGGACACACGGACGGCTCTACCCTCATCTTGACAACTAGCTCTGACACAGCCCAGTGCCACCAGGCGAATCCCACCTTACACACACGTTTACTCTGTTTCCTGCATCATATTGCATTACGTTTCTTTTCAGCATGAGAAACAGATCATAAATTTGGTGCGGGTGGGGCCAGTAGGTGTTACTTGACCCTCAAGCACCTGCTGCTTGTTATCTTGGTCATGAGGTCACAGAATTCCAGTGGCCGTGCCAGGTCATCTCAGAGATGTCACAGACTTTCCCATAATCATCCTTAACACTCTGCTGACAGCGTTATAGACGCGTAGTAGGTGTCATGTGGAAGGTTATGACATCCAAAAGGAAGCGTGAGAGGCAGTGGTGAGGGTGGGAAGGCTATAATACCAGAGGACATCCACCATTGTTTACATACAGAGGGCAGGCCTGGTCCGCCTCGCTCATATCGCTCTCACAACATTACAATATGAGCCTTCCGCACGCCGCTCTCACTCACTTGTTTCTTCCAATTTTTATTTTAACGCTGCTGTTCTGCGGCGGAATACCGTAAAACTTACTTTTTACGGCGCTAGAACTATTAAAAAATTCCCATGTCAGGCGAGAGGTCGGGCGGCTGGAAGCGACGAACGTTCCCCGGGACGGCCATTTTTAGCTCCGGGGGAAAACCTGGAGCAGAGGCGGCTGCCACGCGGACCTCCGCTTTCCCGGAGGCTGTGGCGGCGGCGGCTCCTGCATCGCCGCCACCGCCAGTCACAGCCCCGCCGCGACACCTTATCGTCTTCCATGGTTCTTTGCCTTATTTTATCTTTAATCTATCAGCTTAGGAAAGTTTAAACTCAATTTTAGTTTCTAGTGATTTGCGCAGTTGCCGGCGGGTGACGGGCGGAGGTGACAGCTGTACTGCGCATGCGCTGACCGCCATATTGTTGCCTCGTGATCAAAACACAGCTTGTCAGGATTTTGCTGCAAATAACTTGGCTTACAGTCAAACAAAACAAGACTATGTGAGTATTTCAGCCTTACGTCTACACACACAAGGTTACAGAGAGATGTCTAGCAGAAACTCTCCCAATATTAGGCATTCGTGTGAATATATACATGCTTGCAAGTAACTGCCGCCATGTGTGTGTAAATGTGAAGGGATATTTCAACGCACGTAATGCTTGCCACTATTGCTTGCTGCGGGGCAGGTCGGGTCCTGGACCCGCCTCTCGCCTGGAGTGCAATATTTTACATGCATTGTCACCTTCCATACTAGCCGAGAATGGGAGAGGTGGTGGAAAATGGGTAACCATGCAGGGAGGCACCCACCACTGTAGTGGGGGTTGCCTACTTCATCACCCTCGTCGCCATCGTCTTTATGACCCATTTTCACAATATAATCGTCTTTGTAGGAGTCTACAAACAGCTATTTCACAAGAGCTTAAGTAATGACTGACTTTGAATCCAATTGTTTGACATGCAATGTTATGTGATGTGACTGAGCTTGCAATAGTGTGTGTGATGCACGGTGGTGTGTGTGTGTGTGTCCATGTGTCCACTAGTGTCAGGTCAACACTACCTCCCACTCACCACCTACACCACTGTACTGTGTCTTGAGCAGTGTAGGGGGGAGACTGTGATGTGCTTACATGCCTTGAAGTAAACAAGAGCATGATATAAGGCAAGTTACCATTGATAATTGTGTTGAGGACCAGAGGATGATGACACCATCATCATCAAAATCTCCTGGAGTGTGTGTGTGTTCATGCCACAGTACCTGTGAGGGCTTTTATTTTGCTAGTGTTTGACATTATTGTATAGTAAGCAGTTGGTTGCTGAGATGGTGTTTTGCATTGTTCAGGATTTCCTTCCTGGTTTTGTATTGGGTTTCTGAGGCCTGGCCTTCACATAAGTGAAGATTATAGGAGCTACAGTTAAATGGTAAGAGTACATTAATATAATCAATAACTAATGGGTAACAATATGAAGAACTATAGATAATGAACAGTAAATATAGGTAATAGTTGCATAAGCTTATAGTTGATAGGTGTAGACCTATATAAGAGGTACAGAATACATTTTTAATAATTTCCACTACTGTCCAAAGGATGGGTATTGGAGGCCTAATAAATGAACTAAACTATGTGATATACCATATATATAATACTAGTATCTATGATTGATGTATATAAAATAAATATATGAGGTAGTGTTAATAGATTTGTATTAAATATAGATACTGTAGTAGATAAGGTACAGATTAAAATATTTATAGTAAGTACAGTACATATAATGTTGTAGACTAGTGTGGGAGATGTAAAGATAATACAGAAGGGCAGATGATGTAATGCAAATACTAAAGGTATTGCTAGCTACTGTACAGGGTTTCAGTACAGGATACATTTGGCAATGAAGATAACAGGAGTCATTTCTAACTTGTATAGCTTGCTGCATACTCTTAATGCTTTTATATTGATGGTGATTTCTAAGCTGCTGCGTATACTGTATCTAGCTATTATCTGTAAGCCTCACAGTCAGAATTCTTTTTGGCAGTGCACTTGTTCATTTTGGCATATGGAAATGATTTGTACCAAATAAAATAAGAATAAAGTATTTTAATTTTAAACTGATAATGGGAAATAGAAGAGGCAATAACATGGTGAGGGACTGATGATGTGTTATAAAGAGTGGGGACAAACAAATGATAAGGTTTATTTGTATTATGACGTTTACTTGTAAAAGGCACTACATACTAGTAATACAGTACAGTTCTTAATACAGTTATGAATGAGTAGTTTTGCTTTTGTTCAATTATGTAGTTCATACCTATCCTGTGAGCAATAGTGAAAACATTACAGAGGCACACTGGCTCAGGAACTCTCCCCCAATATTCACATAGATAATCAAGTTGCATTGATGAAATAGTTAAACATACTGTAGTCTATTTATATAGTTTCAGTTAGTTTATTAAAGCCCACATACCCTCATCCTGCAATTTTTGCAAAAAGGTCACATAGTTGCACAGAGAGGTTTGGAACTTGACCCAAAAGTCCCTTAAGCTGTGAAATTCATATTAGGCTACACTGCATTCCTATATGTTTATCATGTACAGAGGTATACAGGTACAGAACCTGTGTTAGTATAACTAAGCTAATTTTTTATAAGGTTACAAGGGTACTAATCTAAGTACAGTGCAGTAATGTATTTACAGGTAATATTACAATGATTATGAAATGCATAAAATAATTTTGTATACTGTACTGTACACGTATAGCCTATGGGCACAGTAGTACAAGGTGATAAATTTGATGCATTACCTACAGTAAGCAAATTTTGGCTACCTATATAAGATTTGTGTACTACTGTATGTCATTTAGGATTAAATACTTACACATTAGTGATGCAATTGTCAATTTGTTTTTCTGCATTCAGTACTGTACAGCATCCTTTTTCAGTCCTACATGCTTGAGTGGCATCTGGTGCCAACTGTATTACGTGTGTTTCTTTGGGGCTTTTCTTTCGTGCTCCTCCATGACTGCCTTGTCCTGGCTGCTGCTCCACTGTCGATTGGTTATGTGTTGGCCCGGGTCATATGGCAGTTTCTCAAGCAATTGTGCGGGAGTCTGCACTTTGCTGTCCTTATGTATCCTCTGGTCAAGGTTTGGGTTCGGTGCCTGTTCTGATTTCTCCAGTGCAGCCTCTTTCACTGCCGTAGCAATCACTGGGTGCAGACACTGTTGGCCTCATGCTGGCTGCTAGGTCATCGGCTTCCTCATCAGGGTTCTTGGGATTTGGTTACCTGGTGCCTTCCTCCGCCCTTGCTCGATGTCTTCCTAGACTCCTAAGGTCTGGGCTGAGGCTGTGTGATCAGTGCTCACCAAGCTGGCTGTTTTTTTTTTTTGTTCTCCTCTCCTTTGTTGGACTCACAATACAGTGCTGGAGTTTGCAGCCATGTTGCCAATATGGGTTAGGAACAGGGCACGCCTGCCTCTCACAATTGCTAGATTACTATGACATGGCCTTAAATGCCATGGATGACAAGAAAAATGCAGATGCAATATACTCAGACTTTTGCAAAAGCTTTCAATAAATGTGTCAATGATATTCTTGCACACAAAATGCACTTAAAAGGAATTACTGGAATAGTAGGGAGAAGGATTTTTATCTTTCTAATGAACAAAACCCAGGGTGTAATAGTAGGAAAAGTAAAATATGGATGGTTCACTGTGAAAAAGCTTTGTCCCTCAAGGTATCTGTGCTTGCTCTGGTACTTTTTCTCATCCTCATATCACACATAGAGAAGGATACAAACTATAGTACTGTATTATCCTTTGCAGATGACACTAGGATTTTCATGAGCATAGACAATATAAACACACAGCAAACCACCTATCTGATGTTAATCAAGTTTTTCAATGGGCCACAGAAAATATGTTGTTAAATGAGGATAAGTTCTAGTTAAAGTACTGTACTGTGATATGGAAAAAACTAAAATATCAAAACAGAAACCACATAAAGCCACGTAAAAGATTTGGGACCAATTATGTTCAAAGACCTTACTTTAAAAAAAAACAACAAAGTAGATGTTATCTTTCAAACGAGATGCCACACCAGTGCTGATACTTTTTAAGACACTAGTGCCCTCTACGGTGGAATATTGTGCATACTAAATGTCCCATTCAGAGCTTGAGAAGTTGCTGACCTGTAGAGCATGTTAAGATCTTTTACTGCTAGAATTCACTCAATAAAACATCTAAATTATTGGGACCTCTTAAAAATCCTAAACCTCTATTACCTAGAGTGCAGGTGGGAGAGATACATAATAATATACACTTGGAAAATACTAGAAGGACTGGTTCCAAATTTGCACACAGAAGTAACACCATATTAAGATGGAGATGTACACCCATGTTTCAACACCTACATCAGAGGAGCTCGAGCATATTTCAACAATCCTAAATATTGCAGTACAGATTGATAAAAGTGAGTGGTGTCCCAAGGAACATAAGGGTGTTGTGCTTTTGAAAGATAGGAGTAAGATAGGTGAGGTAACACAAATGTGCCAGGGGAAGTGAAAAAATTGGATGAGAAAAAGTTGCCATAGTGTTAACAGTGCAACAACAACATTCAAGATGGCCGCCGGCAAGAGGAAAAACAAAACAGAGCATGATTTTGGGGATTTCAATGAGGAAAGCATTGCTATAAGCAGTCTTCACAACAAGTTGGCAAAATTAGATATCATAGTGAACTGTCATGTAGAAATAATCAGTAAATTGAGAGAAAGTAATGACCATTTGAGTAGCAAAGTTTTAGGCCTTGAGGGTTTAGTGAAAGATTTGTGCAAGGACTAGAATCAATTGGAAACAAATTGCAAGGCCATGGAAGAGGACAATAAACTCTTGAAAATAGCTTTGGAAGAAGTTAAAGCAAATTTAAACATAAATGACTACAATTGGTTAGGTAAGGAAATTCAACAAGAAAAACAGATTTTGTCAGCACAGATGGAGGAAGTTACACAAGGAATAGAACAGTGCAAAAAGGATATGCAACTCACCTGTACACAAGTGGCCAAGGAGAAGGGAAAAATAGAGGAAGCAGTAAAGGAAGCCAAACACGGCAGCAACCAGGATAAAACAAACATTAGGCTGGAGTGAGAAAGGAACTAGTATCTAACCCGAAGCTGGTGCAAAATACAGTTGTTTGAAGTCCCTAATAATTTTTGGTTGCAAAGAAAAAGAGATAACATCTAAGTCAGAAAGAGCTGTAGAAGAAGTGAAAGTAGTTGATAAAGTTGTTGGCCTCGTGAAAGGTCTTACTATCATAGAGAATGTCTGCGACTACAGGAGGATTGGAAGGTGCGTAAAAGGGAAAGATCAACCTTTGAGAATCACCCTAAAATGGTACCAAACATATGGAAGATGTACTAAGGAATGCTAGAAAATTACAAAGTGATGATGGGAAAGTATGGTTGTTAAGACAAGATCTTTTAAAAGAAGATAGAGAGAAGCTGAAACTGAACCTCATAGAGGCAAAACATCTAAATGAGAGCAGAAACGAAGAAGAAATCAATTCTTTTTTTTTCTACAAAGTGATAGGGGTAGGCAGGCCAGTAAAGTGATACAAAAAGGCAAGCCAACAAAATTGCTAGAGAAAGGGGTAGTGAAGAATAAGGAGAGGGGGAACTTGTTCCTGAAAATTGTATACACCAACGTAGATGGAGTGAGATCAAAGATACTGCAGTTAGGTGATGTAAATACAGCTGCAGATGCCAGACGTTGTTGCACTCACTGAGACAAAACTTGGTGATACGGCCCTGTTTGAAATGGCTCAAGGGGCTACTCCATTTGGAGACGGGTCTCCGTTTGAGACTAATGATCATAAATGCATATAGTCCACCGCCAGGCAACACACATGGACAAAGGAGGAGCTGGATAATAAATGAGAGGGTCTTATAACAATAATGAGAGTGAGTATAGCGAGAGTGGATAAAGATAGATCACGACTGTTGGTAGTCGGCGACTTAAACTTGAAGTCCATAGACTGGGAGGCATATGAAGCTAGAACAGAAGACTTCTGGACCTGAAGATTCGTAGACCTCATTCTGGAAACATTCTTGTATCAACATGTTACACAAGCTACAAGGATGACGGAAGGGGGATGTTCCCTCCATGCTAGATTTGATATTTACCAGGAAAGAGGAAGATATATTTAACATTCAGTACCTTCCTCCCTTGGGTAAAAGGGACCATGTCTTTTTGGGAATAAAATATGCAATGTGTTATAATCTGGAAGAAAATTAGGTGGTTGAAGCTGTTCAAAAACCTAACTTTAGGAGAGGACATTATGGGGATCTTAAAATTTTTTTTAATGAGTATAATTGGACAGACTTGTTGCTAGGCAAGGAAGTAAATGAGATTATGTCAAGTTTTGTGAAATATATGATACAGGCACTAAAAAATTTATACCAAACCAAAGATGCAGAACCAGGAAACAGGATTGGTTCAACAGAAATTGCGAGAGGGCCAGAGACCAAAAGACAAAAAACCAGCGTTGAATGTAATGAAACGCCATTTTCTGGGTGAGACCCAGAGGCTCCCCGGAGCTATACAGGGCTGATGTGCATATATTAGATGGTGGCAACAGTCAGTCAGTGGAGTTCTAGGCCTACCGGTGACCAGAGCCAGAACCTGGCCCCCCTCAAGAAGAGGCACAAGGTAGCCGGTCGGCCGAGCGGACAGCACGCTGGACTTGTGGTCCCGGGTTCGATCCCGGGCGCCGGCAAGAAACATTGGGCAGAGTTTCTTTCACCCTATGCCCCTGTTACCTAGCAGTAAAATAGATACCTGGGTGTTAGTCAGCTGTCACGGGCTGCTTCCTGGGGGTGGAGGCCTAGTGAAGGACCGGGCTGTGGGGACACTAAAGCCCCGAAATCATCTCAAGATAACCTCAAGATAATAGGGAAGATAAGAAACTTAGATGATTGCCGTGCCCTTCAAGAAGACCTGGACAAAATAAGTATATGGAGCATCACTTGGCAAATGGAATTTAATGTGAATAAATGCCATGTTATGGAATGTGGTATAGGAGAACATAGACCCCACATAACCTATAAATTATGTAAGAAATCTTTTAAGAATTCTGATAAAGAAAGAGATCTAGGGGTGGTTCTAGACAGAAAACTGTCACCTGAGGACCATATTAAGAACATTGTGCGAGGTGCCTATGCTACACTTTCTAACTTCAGAATTGTTTTTAAATACATGGATGGAGAAATACTAAAGAAATTGTTCTTGACTTTTGTTAGACCAAAGCTGGAATATGTAGTGGCTGTATGGTACCCATATCTTAAGAAGCACATCAACAAACTGGAAAAGGTGCAACGACATGCCACGAAGTGGCTCACAGAACTGAAGGACAAGAGCTGCAAGGAGAGATTAGAGGCATTAAATATGCAAAAACTAGAAGCTAGAAGAAAAAGAGGCAATATGATCACTACGTACAAAATAGTAACAGGAATCGATAAAATTGATAGGGAAGAATTCACGAGACCTGGAACTTCAAGAACAAGAAGTCATAGATTAAACTAACGAAACAAATCGGCTGGAGAAATATAAGAAAATTCACTTTTGTAAACAGAGTGGTAGATGGTTGGAACAAGTTAGGTGAGAGGGTGGAGGCCAAAACCGTCAGCAATTTCAAAGCGTTAAATGACAAAGAGTGCTGGGAAGACGGGATACCAGGAGCATAGCTCTCTTCCTGTAACTACACTTAGGTAATTACTTAGATAATTACATGAGACCAGAAGGCATGGCAGGATGTGCAAAATAGTCCTATTGAAAAGCAAAGCTGCAGTAGGCATAAACTGTGAGAGAACTCAGTCAACATCAAAGGCCCAAGACTTTTCAACACTCCCTCTAAAACATACAAGGCATAACTAGCTGACCTCTCAGTGTTAGAGAGAGAACTTGATAAACACCTTCAGGAAAAACCTGATCAAGCAGGCTAAGACTTACACGTCAGGCTGTGAGCCGCTGCATTGAACAAACAGCCTGGTTCACCACACCACCAACTAGGAGGCCTGGTTAAAGAACAAACTGAGGATATTGATCCTCAGAATCATCAACAGACATAACACAGGTATAGGATCCTGCTTCCAAACTGACCCTCCCCAGGATGCAACAAGAAGAAGCTGGCTAAATCCTAGTACCAACTTACTGGTAGCAGGTGATAGGAAATGCACTCAACCATTTCTGTCTCTCCCATCCAGGATTCAAAACCAGAATTTCTGTTTGTGAGTAGAGAACAAACATAACTGTACTACCAGTTCTTACCTCCAAGGCATAAATAAATTGGTAATTGATTAATAACAATACTGTATCATATAATGAAAGGACATAGAAGAAAGCTGTGATAGATAAGTAATAAATTTGTAAGAAAATGCTCTATTACTATAAAAGCATTAGTACAGTAGTGGGAAATTTAATAAACTAAATTAGATAGCAGAAGCCAACTTCTTGCAAAAATTTTAAAGTAGATTGGGTTAAACATGAAAGTGAGTAATTTTTGTGTTAATCAGCAGTTGGAAAGGCAGGGTCCAATAGCTGATTCTAAAACATGTAGACATAAATACGTTTATACATATATTGTACATGGATGCACATATACACTCATTTATTCACACATTCTATGGACATAGGCATGCTTTGTATTTTATTTTTAATATATGTACAGTACATCTTTTGCATTGTTCAACATGATTTTTAGCATCAATAATTATGATATTTTGGATTCTAGAAATGCAAACAAGTTATGAAATTTTACTTCAACAGGATCTGCAGAATGTGATCATGAGTGATTTGGGTCTTGGCAATAGCCCAGGGCGTCAAAGAAGGTCAACAGAAAGGAGTAGAGAAAACATACGGGATTATGTTAAATTACTTGGCAGAAAGTTCTCGGAAACTTCTGAACAAATATCTCCTCGAAGTTCAGAAGGAAAATCACCTGTGAGCACATCATCAAAATCCCAGTCAGATGAAGAACGGTTAGAAGAGGAGGCTTCATCAACACAGCTAAACATGTCAGAAAAGCAAGAAGTATCACTAAAAGAAAAATTAATGGAATGTTCTGTTGCGCCAGAAGAATCCCCAAAAGCAAGCAGGAAGTTAGACACCAAAATTTCATCAACTTCCAATCAGGACCCTGTTGATCATGATCCAGTGAAAAATGAAAAAGTATGTGATTCAAAAATAAAAACAGATATTCAGGTAATTGGTGAAAAGTCAGTCATAACTTCTGAATTGGGAACAATTTCATCTCCTGACAAAGATAGAGAGTCCAAACAAAATAGTCTCGCAAAGAAAGATGACAAGAATATATTATACTCTGATACTAAAAATAAGGATGTAACTGAAGGGTTCTGTGGGTTTGACAGTAAAGAAATGCAGAAATGTGGGGAAGCAAATAGGACTGCGGCTGCAAGCACTTCAAGCAAAAGATCTACGCCGAAATCTGAACAAACGGAGCCCAAAAGTGATTCTCCTCCAGATCTGATTCTCTTTTTGAAGGAAGGACGGGGAAGAGCACAAAACTGGTCTGAACCACCAACACTAGATCCAGAAAGCATCGCAACCAGAAGGCGGACACGAGTTCCGGAAGATCCAAAAGCTTTGGCACAAAGCAAATTAAAATCCACACTGCAAGATAAGAGTAAGAAAGATTATAAAGAAATGCAAAAGAAAGATGGGAAAAAAGATAAAAAAATTAAAGTAATGGATACACCTGAATCATTAAAAAGACTTGCACAAGATTATCCTTTGAAGGATTCTACCAAACTGTCTTGTACAAGTAAACAAGAAATTTCTGAGAGTAATGCTGAAACAAAAATGGTAAAAAAAATTATTGCTAAGAATGTAAAGCCGAGTGAATGCAAGGCAAAGATAATTGTTACACCTGCTAGTTCTGATGATGAGCTGGAGACCAATTTGGGGAAGAGACGTCAAGGAAAGAAGAAAACGGTAAGTGGCTTATCTTCGGTAAAGTCAGTCGATAATTCCAAAGGCAGTCCTAAAGTTCCTCAGTCCTCAAACGATACTCTGGCATCTGAAACTAGCTATTTAAATTTAGACACAATTTTACACCAAATGTCTGAAAACAAGGCTGATAGCAGAATTCCTGTGGTAATTATGTCAAATTCTGATGGAGATGGAAATGCAAATAAAGCAATGCCGAGGAGCAAGAAGAAAGCCACATCTCCAGAAAAAGCAGACAAAGCTGTTTTAAAGATGGCTGTTTCCATCAAATCAGATTCTGATGAAAAACAACTTAGCAAAGAAAATGTATTCATGGAGGATAGTGCTTCCCATATTAAAAATATACAAAAGGCTTCTGAACTTAATAAGGAAGAGGTTAAAATTACCGAATACAAAGGTGCAGAACATGTTGTGCAAGTTAGTCCAAGTAATGTGGTTGTTAATGTGGATTCCAAAGACGACAATAAGGAGAAAACTGATAGCGTTCATTGCAAAGCTACTCAGAGCTTACCTGAGCCCCTTGAAAATAATATAATAAAAAAAGATCAGACCAGTGAAACCAGTAACACTGCTATCACCAAGAGTATTCCTACAAAAAGCCAGAGTATGATAAAAGTACCTGTTAGTAAGGAAGGTGGAATAAATCATCGTGCCCCAAGGCCTGTGGTAAGCAGTACTTCAGGGTCACAAGCTGTATTCACTTCATCAATGCTGAAATCGCCAGTAAAAGCTTCAGGAACTCAAAGTTCACATAAGCCTCCACTTGTAGTAAGTGTATCAGATTTTCTTTCATTTAGGGTGGCAGCAGTAAATTCTGGAGCTAGTAATCTCCCACCAAGAAAGTTGAATTTAAAAATACCTAATCTTAAAGGAATTAGAACAGATCAGCTACTTAGAAATACTGTGGGACTTGGAAAAGAATCTCTCATTATTAAAGGAGGTATTCTTCACAGTAGAACAAAAATTGTTTCAAATAATGGAGATGGTAGGTCCCATCCTCAAGTTTTTTCCAATCAGCTGGTGAGTTTATCTGGGCAAAAAGGTCCTATGCTTGATTATACAGATATTGAACCTGAAGAAGTTGTTGTAGGAGAGAGTGAAGATTCTAGCAGTCAGATGTTAAGTGTAGGAGAACTTCCAGCAGAAATCGACTTGCGAGCTAATGAACAGCTTGACAGTAGCAGTGAAGAGGAGAGTACTAAAGTACCAGAACCTTTGCCCTCTCTCAAAAAGGATGTGCTATCTCCTGAAGGAAGGGTTGCACTGGATCATTCATATTCATCAGGGAATATGGAAAAACCTAAAGCATCAAATATTACCCAAAAGAAGTCACCTGTCTCATATGAGAAGACTTTAACTCCACGGCCTGTGTACAGTAGTGCTAGTGTAGCCAAACGCTCATTAGATATCATGTTGCATAATGACAAGATCAACATTTTGCGACAGATGAGTCAAATTTTCAACCACGAGAAACCAGTTCAACCTGACACAGATAATACAGTGTCAAGTTCTGATGGAGAAGATGAAGAAGACATGAAAGCTAACCAGATTAATGTAGGTATTAATACAAACTGGAGTAAGCTTACAAAAGAATTTAAACATACCAAGGATGTTATTGTTAATGTTAATGATCCTAATACCAGGAAGAGCTTATCAGAAGGTTCTAAAATAAATATAGAGCTAGACAAAAGTTCTAAAACAATTGAAGTGCACTCTGCAGGATCTGACATGGCACCAGCTTTGCTAATTACTTCTGATAAGAATCCTGCTTCTCCATCCAAAATATCTTCTTTGGAATCTAATGTAGATATCACTAAAAGAGTTGATTCCAGTAGTGGTACCCCAAAGGATGCTCCAAGTTCTTCCTTGGAAGTTGATAGTAGTGTGAAAACTTCCTCGTCAACAAGTAGCAGCACTGCAAATGTACCAGAAGGAAAGAAGGATAAGAACAGTCTTGTTAGAACTTCGGGTACTGTTGAATGTCCATTTCTTGGCTTTCCAGACACTGAAGCAAAAGTTCACCATGTGCCAGCTTATTCAGTAGCCTTAGATGAAATGATTCATGTTCAGAGTACTATAGGGCCTGAGGGAGAGGTGGTGGACATAGTTGATGGCTTTGCATTTATTTCATTTTCTACAGAGAAAGAAATGAACACTTATTCTGTCAAGCAGAATACAAGAGGTGAGAAAGGCCATCGTCCATGGCTAAGGAAAAAGAAAAAGAAACGAAGGAAATTATTCTGTAAAGTCAAGAAAAGCTCTCGTGCTGGTGGGCATGAAGTACACAATTTAAGTGAAAGTGCTTCACAGTTATCAAGAGGTAAAAGTAGCACCAATGACACAGGAGCATTTGCAAGGTCAGTGATTGTAGTGATAAGTATATATCTTGATGTCATATACTGAATTATTGTATAGTATATAATATTGTAATTATATTAGTGTACTATATATGTAATATTTGTGTTTTGTGTGCATAATATTTATTAGTGTATAAAATATTTGTATTTACAGTCAAAGATATAACTTTCATTACTGTCAGGGACCCAGTCACTTGGGCTGGACAGTAGAGCGACGGTCTCACTTCATGTAGGTCGGTGTTCAATCCCCGACCGTCCAAGTGGTTGGACACAATTTCTTACCCCCATCCCATCCCAAATCCTAATCTTAATCCCTTCCAAGGGCTGTAAAGTCATAATGGCTTTGCAAATTCCCCTGATAATTAAAAAAAAAAGTACTGTCAGGAACAAGACTGAAGTAATAAATCAACTAGTGTAAAACTTCTTTCCCTTGCCAAAAATATGCAAATGAAAGAAAGTTGCTTGTCACCAAAACTAGCATAGTAATGCTAGTTATAAATGACCTGCCCAAAACGCTATGCATGCTAGTGGCTTTACACGAATGTAAAAACTCTTCTATATATCAATAAACCCCATATCAATAAATTATGCTAAATGCTTTGGTATTTCAGTGTTTATTGATTCTTGCATTAATAAACTTCATTTAAAAATGTTATTTTATAATAGCATGAATAGGTTTGTCTAGTTCATATATTTATGGGTAATAAACAAGAGGCAAGAATGAGTAGCATCAAGCCAGTGCCCTTTCTCCTAGATTACTCTTGCATAAAGGTATTGTTCCTTCAATAGTAAACTCTATTTTCTGTTAATCAATAAAATAAGAGAGAATATTGTCATTATTGCTAAATGACTTTTGTCTATTAAAGGACACAATAAGAGAAAGGCTTGTTATAAGGGATATAACCACAACACTAACTCCAAGTTGATGAACCTAATAACAACATTGAACAATTTAAACAATGAGTTTTAAGTCCACATACCCAGCCCATGTGAAACCATAACAGGCATGCAGTACCAGCAGGGAACCCATACCCATGAAGAACAAAAGTAAAATTGATTAAGTACAGAGGTTTGCATCTAGACTAATACCAGAATTGAGAGGGCTTAGCTGTGAGGGCATTTTAAAGAGAATCGAGTTTGGAATGAAAATGTTATGGAAAGATATTTACAGTAGTTCAAAATTTATTTGAATTTGAGCAATGTTTCAGGATGGAGTGACCTGTTACACAGAATTAAGTAGAAAATTCTACTTAGTTCATTCTTGGCGTGTTTGAATGCTGTGTATTTGACTGTACAATAATGTAATTAAAAAATATATATTCAATACATTCTTTACAGTATTCTATAATCCTAATTATCAATATATTTCTTATTTCATGTTACTTTTTCAGTAATGATCTGGAGGATTATTTAAATCTTAATTCCCATCTCAATATCAGCTATACCATCCCAAAGTGCAAGTAAGTGTTGTAATTTTATTACTACTGTATATAGTTAATGAATTTTAGTTGAAAATATAAATGGGTGAAATATATAATAGAAAAATTAATGCTGGAAATAAATGAGAATATACTTAATTGTAACTTTAAGGTGATGGGCTCCATGTTGTGAAGGTAGGTGTGTGTACCAGTCTATGCTGGACAGCCAGCATATTGTCAAATATGCTTGAACACCTTTTTTAGTTTAAAGTTCGTGCACTTTCCTTCTGTCACAGTTTATCAGCATCTTATAGTGCATTTTGAATTGCTACTTTTCTGGGGGGAGCCCCGTCGGCTCCCCGGAGCTATCCCAGGCTGATATGCTAATGTCAGACTTTGGCATCAGTCATGTGTATGGAGTTCTTAGGCCTACTGGGGACCACGGCCAGAACCGGGCCCCCTCAGAGAGGCAAGGGGAGCAATGGCCTATAGAAGCCCCCGTGTAGTTGCAAGCATTCTATGTCTGCCATCGACCGGAACAGGCACCCAGAAAGGTAAGCGCCCCAAAACAAACCCCTATTCTGGTTAAAATTGCTACCAAAAACCGAACTAGTGGATAGAACTCCCCAACCGAAAACAAGCAAACTAGTGTGACGTCACACACCGCCGCGCCGCTGTCTGCGCAGCTTCCCCCTCCCCGGGAGGGGGAAGGGGGAGCCCCAGACCCCCGGTGCCGGCTACCCACACCTCAGTTCTTGAGGCTGATGCTATAGGCGATGGTCGTGTGCTCTGGCTCCGGTGTCGCTAGTGCACTGTGCTTTGCGTGTGATGTTGGTTTTGTGGGTGCGAGAGCCAGGAGTAATCTTCAGTACTCGGGCTGCATGCGCCTAGGGCTGCCTTCCCTAGGTGCCCTGTAAGTACTGCCCTTGGGGCACCTTCCACAGGCTCCTCGGGGTCTGCCTCTGCTGGTCCGTTTTACCTTTCGGTTTTTCGGCCGCCTGTTGGGCTCTTGGGTGTTCTGTTCTCCCTTGTTACCGGCAGGTAAGAGGCAGTTTGCACTGGTAGGGGCGCAGGGTGCTGCTCAGCTTGTATTTCCCGACATCGCGGCCGGCTCTGTTCCTTGGGGTTCGCTGTGGTCTTGCGGGGTTTTGTTTTTCTTTTTCTTTTTGCCTGGTGGGGGGTTCTGTCATTTTATTTAGTTTGTTTTTGCCCTTCCACTGTTCTCCTCGGTGGCGCCCCCTGCTAGGTCCCCGTGAGTGTACACGTCCCTGGGGTTCAGCTTTAGAAGTTTGCTTGGTAGTTTTGGGCGCCGGTTTGCGGCACCCTGCCTGGGACTACCTGAGCGCGAGTCCTCTTAAAGTAAACGCTCAGGACCCTGGGAATCCCCTAGGGGGCGCGTGGGTCCGATGGATGTGACCCCGGAGTCCCCACTCGCTGTGTGCGAGTTTGAGGGTTGCTCGGTCCTCTTGTCTCAGGGTGACCCTCATTGTTTTTGCCTCTGCCACGCTGCCTGTTGGGTCGGTGATACTTTCGACCCTGAGTCCTGTGAGTGTTGCTGCTTGCTTGTGACTCAATTTACCCAATGCTCTGATGTTCTATTCGGGTACATGCGGCGCGTGCGTTGCAGTCTAGGTTTCGTCTGTTGCAACGCGCTCGGTTGGTTGCTTCCCCGGATGCCCCGGGGCTGCCCCGCTTTGCTTTTCGAGACCCGGACTTGGGGGTGGGGGTCGCTTCGATCCTGGTTCAGTCCGCACCGCCTCGTCCTTCCCCTTCTGTTCGTTCAGGTCCTGGTCTTTGGACAGAGTGCTCGCTTTCCTTTCATCTCCTCGTTTCGTTGTGGCCCCTTCGGTCCAGGATTGTTTTTCCAAGGCACTTTCCTTGTTGGCTTTGGCCTCTGGGGGTCGGGTAGGGGAGCTTCATGCTCTCCTCCGGCACAGGGGTTTCTGCTCTTTTGGTCGTGGTGATTGTTTTGTTCGTTTGCAGCCGTCTTCTTTTCTGGCGAAGAATGAGACTGCTGCGTTCCGGAGGGGTCCATGGGTGGTTGATGCTTAGTTGGTCAGGCCGGGGGTGCATCATGTTTTGTGTCCGGTTGCGGCGCTTCGCCGTTATTTGCGCGCCACAGCTTCTGCGTCCGGGGACGCGCTGTGGGTTGATCCGGTTTCCCTTCTTCCCTGTTCGCGGGTTCGGGTCTCTCAGGTCGTCCGCAGGGTTATTAGGTCCAGCCAGCCTGCGGTCTATCCCCGTGCCCATGACGTTCGTAAGTTCGCGGCTCTTGCTGCCGTCTTTGGGAATGTCTTGGTCTGATATTCAGGCGCGGGGATTTTGGCGGTCGAACAGGGTCCTGGCTGCTCGTTACCTTGTGAATGTCTCTGGGCCTCGTCGGGCCTGTGTTGCTTTGGGTCGGCTGTTGCAGCCAGTTGTCTCGGCTTCGAGTTGAGGAGTGAACGACGACCGCCTCCCGGGTAGGTCCCTCTTTTTTCTGTCTGTGGGTAGTTAGCTCCGGGGAGCCGACGAGGCTCCCCCCAGAAAACCAGCGTTGAATGTAATGAAACGCCATTTTCTGGGTGAGTCCCGGAGGCTCCCCGGCATCCCTCCCTCCCTCCGGTCGGCGATTTTTCGCGTTTTTGACATCCAGCCTCAAGAACTGAGGTGTGGGTAGCCGGCGCGGGGGGTCTGGGGCTCCCCCTTCCCCCTCCCGGGGAGGGGGGAGCTGCGCAGACAGCGGCGCGGCGGTGTGTGACGTCACACTAGTTTGCTTGTTTTCGGTTGGGGAGTTCTATCCACTAGTTCGGTTTTTGGTAGCAATTTTAACCAGAATAGGGGTTTGTTTTGGGGCGCTTACCTTTCTGGGTGCCTGTTCCGGTCGATGGCAGACATAGAATGCTTGCAACTACACGGGGGCTTCTATAGGCCATTGCTCCCCTTGCCTCTCTGAGGGGGCCCGGTTCTGGCCGTGGTCCCCGGTAGGCCTAAGAACTCCATACACATGACTGATGCCAAAGTCTGACATTAGCATATCAGCCTGGGATAGCTCCGGGGAGCCTCCGGGACTCACCCAGAAAATGGCATTTCATTACATTCAACGCTGGTTTTTTACATCATTTCTCAGCTGTTCTTATGAGGGTTCCATGTAATGTAAGGTCTGTTGTCAACCTATCCTCCTACAAAGAACATAGCATTTTGCTCGTATGCGTTACATAAGGTAAAAAATTGTCGTACTAGAAAATGGAAGCCGCTCGCAAATGTGACTTGCTGTCCCAGTTTCTGTTTTGGGTCCTCTGGTAGGTTAGGAGAGGACACCTTAAATTGATCGTTTTCTTGACGTTTGGAAACATTAGGAAGATGGGCTGCTGTTGTGCCCTCTGGATTAAGATTTGTACAGTCTGGCAGATGACATTCTTGGCATTCAAGCCACTGTAATCTTTTCAAATGGTAATTGCAGGGTAATAAAAAATGTGAGATGGGTTGAGGGAGGTGAGCTTAATCTAGCCCAGAATGACTAACAGAAAGTAGATTCCATTTAAATTCAAATGAGACTGCCAAACAAAGCCTCTATCCAACTGTCCACTGCCGCCCCCCATCAGATTGACTTGAGAGCAACTATCTTGAGTGGCCTCAAAGAAGACAGGAAGCCAGTGGCTTGTCAAAGGTTTCCCGATTTGTCCTTATTTTATTCTTTGGATCTTAAATTGCAGCAGTGTTTTTGCATTTATGCCCCATCCACTTGGACTGGCTGGGTAGAGCGATGGTCTCGCTTCATGCAGGTCGGTGTTCAATCCCCGACCGTCCAAGTGATTGGACACCATTCCTTCCCCCCGTCCCATCCCAGATCTTTATCCTGACCTCTTCCAAGTGCTGTAAAGTCGTAATGGCTTGGCCCTTTCCCCTGATAATTAAAAAAAATTGCATTTATGGTTTTGGCAGTTAGGCAGTTCCATGGGTATACAGGCATACCTCAGTTTAAGAGTTTAATTGGTTCCTGGAGACGCCTCGTATTCCAAAAACTCGTATTCCGAAGCTAATTTCCCCATAAGAAATAAAGGGAAATGAATTAATCCGTTCCTGACTACCCCAAAAAACCCACATCAAACTAAATTTTTATACCTAATTCATCTAAATAAACCTACAAAACTATGTTCAAGTTATTACTTACCTTGCTGTTGAATGCTGTAGGTGTATGGAAGATGGTGAGGAGGGGAAAGGAGGAGAGGAGTTACTGTTTGGAAGGGGAGTCCCCTTCCATTATCACATCAGGCAGTGAAGACCTTTCTGGTGTGCTCTCCCTGGGACGTTTTATCTGAGTGCCACTAGGTCCTGGTTGAGGCTCACTCCTCGATTTCCTCACCACCAATCTGTCCAAACCCTGGCTTTCTCAGAAATAATGGCCTCCGAAACACTGTCACCCCTTAACTCCTTGTCGTGTATCCAAATTAATAACAACTTTTCCACTTCTTCAAGTATTTGTGGTCTTTGTTTCATTATTGTTCTGACTCCTTTTGCCACTTTAGCACTCATAATCTCATTTTTCTTCTTAAATATAGTGTATATTGTTGATGTGGCTTTGTTGTACTGCCTACAAAGTTCAACAACACGTGTACCATTCTCATGCTTCCGAATGATCTCTTGTGTCTCCTCTATTGTCATCCTCACATGGGCTTTCTGGCCTTTATCCTTACCACTGGCTTTCTTGGGACCCATGGTGAGATATATAATAACAAATTGTATAGTCAAATCACTGAAAATCCGCGAGAAGAATTGATGTGGGGTAGTCACTGGGTGCGAGACAATGGTAAATTGAGGGGCGGAGGGGTGGAGGGGCGACGATCGCCGAACCACCACACGCTGGGTCGGCCTGTACGCGTATCAACAAACTCGTGTCCCGAGATAACCCTCGCGTTCCGAGGCATATTTTTCGAGGAAATCCTGCTCGTATTCCGAAAAACTCGCATACAGGGACACTCGCATTCCGAGGTACCACTGTATAACTCTATGGGTGAAAAACCATCTCCAGTTTTCTGTCCTATGTTGCAGGATGTTTAGCTTAAATCTGTTGCTCCTTGTTTGTGTTACATCTTGACCTTTTAAGTGTTCTGAATCAATATCCTCAGAATTGTTCAGTTTTTCAAAAGTTTCGATGAGATCAGCCGTGTCATGTCATGCCCTTAACCGTTCCTAGTATGGGTGTTGACTTATTTTGGGAATACTTTCAGGAATTTTTGTTGCCCAGTTTTAAACTTTCACCATAGCAGATATGTCATTCTGAAGTTGAGGTCTCCATGCTTGGATACAATTATGACATTGCCTTATCTTGAGGTTATCTTGAGATGATTTCGGGGCTTTAGTGTCCCCGCGGCCCGATCCTCGACTAGGCCTCCACCCCCAGGAAGCAGCCCGTGACAGCTGACTAACACCCAGGTACCTATTTTACTGCTAGGTAACAGGGGCATAGGGTGAAAGAAACTGCACATTGTTTCTCGCCGGCGCCTGGGATCGAACCCAGGACCACAGGATCACAAGTCCAGCGTGCTGTCCGCTTGGCCGACCGACTCCCTTACCCACAACACAGTCACTAAGCCTTTCAGTGCTCATATTTTTTTATGAGAAATGTGTATAAAAAGTCATAAGGCTGTGGCATACCCACAACACAGTCACTAAGCCTTTCAATGCACACATTTTTTATGAGAAAATGTGTATAAGAAAAGTTAAAAGGCTGTGGCAAGCTAAGTAGATTTGTTAATCGATCAAACTATAAATAATTTACACTTACCTGTTAGTGTTTGCTTATCAGTGACTATGACTATCATATTTTCTGGGGGAAGCCCCTTCGGCTTCCTGGAGCTATCCGACTGATACGGATGTATAAACTTTGGGCATCAGTAAGTGTACATGGAGTTCTAGGCCTACCAGGCACCATGAGCCAGAACCTGGCCCTCCTCAGAGAGGCGCGAGGAGCAATGGCCTATAGAGACACCTTATATATAGCTTAGAAGTACTCTCTCTGCCATCGACTGGGTCAAGCTCCCAGAAAGATAGGCCCCGAAACCCCCCCCCCCATTCTGGTGAAGAAAGGCTATGAAACGTTGAATGAGAGGATACAACTCCATGAAGAAAAACGATCAGACGAGCATGACGTCATCTCGTTACTAACGTGCCACCGTCTGCGCACCTCCCCCCCCCCTTCCCCGGGAGGGGGAAGGTGGAGCCCCAGACCCCCGCCGGCTATCTGAGCCTGTCAGTTCTTGGCTGATGTCAGTGGGCTTTAGTTGTGTACCTCCAGCTCCAGCTTTTCTTTTCTGTTCTTGCTTTGGTGGTGTGCGAGCTGGGAGTATATTCACAAGTACTCGGGCTGCATGCGCTTAGGGTCCCCCTTCCCTAAATGCCCTGTAAGTACTGCCCTTGGGGCTTCAGGCTTAATTCTACAAATCGCCTTGGGAACTACCTCCGTTGTCATTTACTGCTTGGTACTTGTCTGCCCTTGGAATCAGCTGGCGGGGGGAGGGTGTTTCTTGCTCCTCTGTTTGTCTCTGGGTAGGAGGTAGTTTTTGTCACTGGTAGGGGCGCAGGGTACTTACACATCTAGTTTTCACCTTTCATAGCGGCCAGCTCTGCATCCTTTGGATACGCTGCCCTCTTGCTGGGTTTTTTGTTTCTTTTTGTTCTTCGCCTTGACCGGGAGTCTGCCCTTGGGTTTGGGTCAAACCCTCTATATATTTATGGGTGGTACCCCCTGCTAGGCCCCCCATGAGCAGACACGTCCCTGGGGTGCAGTCTTAGAAGTTTGATAATATTGAGAGCCGGTTAGTAGTAGGCTGCCTGGGCTTCCCCTAGTGGAGATTGAAAAGCTAAGGGCCCTGGGAAATCCCACAGGGGCACGAGGGTCCATTGGATGTGGTCCATGCGTCCCCCCTTCACATTTTGTGAGTTTGATTGAGGGTTGCTCTGTCCCCTTGTCTTAGGCTGACTCTCACGGTTTTGCCTCCGTCCAGCTGCCTGTTGGGTCGGTTACACATTCGACCCTGAGTCCTGCGAGTTGTTGCTTGTTTGTGACTGTTCACCCAGTCCGCTGATGTCTCTCTCCAGGTGCTGGCGGCTCTGGCATTGCTTGCTTGGTATATTACTGCAACGCGCTAGGTTGTTTGCTACCCTGGAAGCCCCATGGCTGCCCCATTTTGCTTCTTGGGTCCCGGACTTGGGAGTGTGGGTTGTTTCGGCCTTGGTTTGGTCCGCTCCCCTTCGTTCTTTCCCTGCTGTGATGCTTTCTGGTGCCCCTCCTGTTTCCGTCTCCGAAGCGTCTGATGGCTTCGGGGTCGAAGGTTTTCGGGACTTCGGCGGGGTTTAGCTGGTTTTGAGACTTGGGCAGGTTCGGGGGGGGGGGGGGGGGGGAGGCATTTGAGTCGGTTCATCCTGCCATTGCGTATGGGTTTCATCAGTGGGCTCCCTTCCTTAGTGATTTTATGGCTGCCCCGGTTTTTTCTTTAGAGGCCGGGGCATTGTCCTTTGGAGGACAATTCGGCCCCGGAACCTGGTGTGGAGGTTCCCGGGGTTGGGGAGGGGCCGACTGGGGAGGGGCCGACTGGGGAGGGGCCGACTGGGGAGGGGCCCAAGGGCTGACTGGGGGGCCTTGGGCCCCATTGGACCCCTCCTGAGTTTTCCTACTCTTCGAGTGGGGCTTCCTGTTACGTGGAGTGGGGGATTTCTTTTTCCCCTGTCTACATACGAGTCAGTTTTTGGTGACGGCCCCTCCCCGGGTTTGATTCTGTGTCCCTTTGGGTCCGTCGGTTCTGCCCTTCCTGTGGTACATTTTTACCCGCTTTATCCTTCGATCCTACTTCAATTGGATCCTATATAGCCAATGGGCCCATATGAGCCTACGTGGTTTTACGCATAATTCTTGAGGGTCTGGAAGGTTCGAGATGGGCTTCCTTCTTTAAAAAACTGTTGGAACGTCTGTCGCTTCCGGTGGGGATTGCCTCCCGTATTTTGTAAGAATCATTAGTAGTCTTCAGTACTCCTATTCTTTTATTACTATATCTAATTCATTTATAGTCATGTCTTCTCAATAAATGGTCATTGTGGGCTCCCCTCCCTGATTGTGGGGAGGCCCACCCAGCTCGGACCTCCGGCGTCCTGAAAATGGCCCAGGGGTGTTCGTTTTGTCTATGGACAGTTTCAACGAGTGTTGATGTTCTGTGACCTTTATTATGGGACATACGCCGCACTACCTGCTCTTATATCTCCAGTTATGGCTCCCTGGTTGCTGGGGGAGTTCTGGACTGTATTTGTAGGGTAAATTCCTTGTACTTTTATCTAAATTAGGATGTGGCATGGCTCGTAATGACGCCACCTCCACCTCTACTCCACTCCTCTTATCCTCCTGCCATCGCACCTATGGTCATATTTACCTAGCTGTGCTGCCGGCATCTTACCCGGCTACAATGTGTCTACACAAGGTACTTCCTTCGCTCTACAAGTGCTTATACAGTCTGGCTACGCCGTCAGCCTGGCTCCAGCTCTCGTCTTTTGAACGAGTGTTGGGTATTGTTTATGGTATGTTGATTAGCCACTTTGCGTGCAGTACATTGGGGGGTTACGAGTGTACATCGCATTGATGCTTACGTTCTTGCAGGGCCACTGGCGCATGGCGTTTTGGGCAAGTCCTCTATTTTCCAGATACTTTTAGTTTGGTAATTTTCTGCAATGTTAACGAACGACTGTATCTTTTCTGGACTGTAAACACTCGTTCATTGCCTGTCACTCATTGCAGTCTGGCCACTCATTCATTGGCTGTTATTCAATGCCCGACTGTCCTCTTTCATATACCTTGGCATCTATACATTTTGTATGCCTTTTATATACAGTGCATCTTATTGTTACCTTACTATGTCTGTATCTATTGTTCGTTACACTGTGGGGTTTAGCCCCGTTATACAATCTACTCCTACACTACATTCATGATACAGCATTTGCTCACTAGGCATACAAATATAAATATTTAATATTGTTGTGTAGTAGTAGTAATAATAGAATAGCAATGAGAATAGCATTGGATATGTATTTTGTTTAAAATAATTAGAATATGTTCTTAGATTAAAAAGGTTGCTATAGGCTTGTATACTTCAGTATGGTAAAAGTATACATATTGAATGCTTGTTACATTGTGAAAATAAATTAGATAGATATCTTGATTTAGATGTGTATATATTGTACTTAACCTCATTTGGTAGAACTGAATATATAAATATTGTATAATTTGAGTTTATTAATAATAATTTTTGTTTCCATCAGAGCAACAGAAGAGGGCGTTACAAAACTTGACGAAGATGGATTACCACAGGAAAATAAATTTAAAGAAATTCCAGTCATGGTTCCCGAATCAATTTTGATGCAATCACAGGTTACTGAGGCATTGGAGGCGAATAATACACAGCCTTCAGTTGGAGACAGTATGCCTGACCAAGTTCAACAGTATGAAGAAGTAAATGCTATTGATATCCTATATCCAAAAGAAAAATATAAATACTATTATAACAAAGAATTATGTAAGGAAACAAAGGCAGATGGCTCAAATGTGTTTGTGAGACGAGCAGGAAAGCTTGTTCCTCTAACCAGCATCCTTAACAGCCAAAAACCTAAGATGCATGAAACTAGTAACAAGGAAACTGCAGAACTTGTGTATATATATGATAGAGGGAAGCTAATAACCCTTGGAGGATCTCTAACAAAGATAAACCCATCAAATTCTGATTCTGTTCGAGCACGAGTCATTTTGCCAATTGGAACACCACCAATTATGAAAGGAGAGGTGCAAAGACAAGCAAAGAAAGTACAAGCTGTTGAGATTAATGAGGATATGGCTAAATTTGCTCTATCAGCTTTGCAGAGTCCAAATGCAAAAGAAGAAAAGTTAGAAGTTGACAAAAAATGTGAAAATCAAGAAACTATAGGACCTAGCATAATTAATAATGAAGAGAAAGTTGAGAAGAGTGTATCTCAAGAAAAGTGTGAAGAGAAAGAAGTGTCCGAGAAAGTTCCTGAAAAAGTGTCTGTTGTGCCAACAAAGAGAAATATATTGGATATTATTGCCGCCAAACTAGCAATGTCAGATGAAGAGAGCGATGAGAGGGATGATAAAATGGAAGAACATGTACCAAACATAAAAAGCTTATCAGAAAACATTGTTCATGGAGATGAGAAAAGCAAGAAATCTGTGGAAAATGTTGATTTGGAAGATAAGAAAAGCCAGAAATATGGAGAAAATATTGCTATGGGAGATGAGAAAAGGCAGAAACCGAAGGAAAATATTTCTGTTGGGGGCGAGAAAGGTCAGATATCTGAAGAAAATATTGCTGTGGAAGATGAGAAATGTCAGAAATTTGTGGAAAATGTTTCTATAGGAGATAAGAGAAACCAGAAATCTGTGGAAGATGTTTCTATGGATGATGAGAAAAGACAAAAGGATTCGGAAAATAATGCTGCAGGAGATGAGAAATTGTCACCTGCAGAAAATATAGCCATAGAAGGTCAGAAAACCCAGAAATGTATGGAAAATATAGCTAGAAGAGATGCAAACAGCCAGAAACCTGCTGATAAAATATCTATAGAAGAGAAAAGCAAGAAACCTGTGAAAAAAATGGATGTGGAAGAGAAGAGCAAAAAGTATTTGGAGAAAATTGCTGTGGAAGAGAATAAGAAACCTGTGGAGAAAATTACTGTGGAAGATAATAGGAAACCTGTGGACAAAACTGCTGTGGAAGAGAATAAGAAACCTGTGGACAAAATTGCCGTGGAAGAGAATAAGAAATTTGTGGACAAAATTGCTGTGGAAGAGAATAAGAAACCTGTGGACAAAACTGCTGTGGAAGAGAATAAGAAATCTGTGGACAAAATTGCCGTGGAAGAGAATAAGAAATTTGTGGACAAAATTGCTGTGGAAGAGAATAAGAAACCTGTGGACAAAACTGCTGTGGAAGAGAATAAGAAATCTGTGGACAAAATTGCCGTGGAAGAGAATAAGAAATTTGTGGACAAAATTGCTGTGGAAGAGGATAAGAAACCTGTGGACAAAATTACTGTGGAGGAGAATAAGAAACCTGTGGACAAAATTACTGTGGAAGAGAACAAGAAACCTGTGAAAAAAGTAGCTGTGGAAGAGAAGAGCAAGAAACTTGGGGATGAAGATGGAACAAAAAATAGGAAGAGGTACACTATCAAAGAAAATTCAGTGAAGGTTGAGAATAAGGAAGCTGTGAATATGTCAGAGAACAAAGTATCTGTAACCTGTTTAGCTGCAAAAGAGCTCAAGATGACCAAAGAAGAGCCAGCAGTTGAGGTATCAGCACAGAAATTAACAGATCTCAGTCAGCTTAACAATGATGATCTTGATACCAAAGAGAAGCCTGTTGATGGTGTGAGAAATGATCAGGCAGAAAATAATGTAAAAAAAGAAGGGGAAGTTAAAGAATCGAGTAGAGATATTACACGGACTATAGATGCTGAAAAAAAGGAAGTAGATAAGTTATATAATAATTCTGCAATTAAAGATGACAAAGATCAAATCAAAGACTTAGTAGGAAGTATGAAAGAGTTAGATGAACAAAAATCAGTGGTTGACACAAATAAAGTGCATCTTGAAGAGAGTAAAGGAACAGTGAGCAAGACTTGTGATGTTGATGCTGATCCCGTAGATGCAAGCAAAAACAATTCTGCTCGGGTTCATTTAGAGGTAGAAAATGGTGAAGAAAATATTCAAACCTCAGTTCCTGGAATTATAGAATCTGAAAAGACTGCTGATACCAATTTTGAAAAAGCTGAAGGAAAGTCCAGAGTTTTTAAGAAAAATATGTATCGATTTCCTTCATTGTCAAGAGAAATGAAACGACTGAACATGAATTTTGTGAAGTACGTTATGCAAGAAGTGAGTAAATTAATTTTATGTATAAATTATTAAGTTTCCTATATCTTAAAAGGTTTATTGTGGAAATACAGTGGAACCTCGATTAACAAATTTAATCCGTTCTGTCACCGAGCTCGTCATGTGAAATGCTCGTTTTTTCAAAACAAATTTCCCCATTTAAAATATTGGAAATAAAAATAATCTGTTCCACCACCGAAAAACATCAATATGATATTCGATTTTATAAATAATGGAGCAGCCTACTTGACAAACACCGAACAAACCTATTTGACATTTTTTTTTTTTGTCAAATTTTTTCATTTTTTATATTCTACAAAAAAAATCAATGCTTTGCAACATCACAGCAGTCACCCCCTTTACATCCCAGCATCATTAGCATCTTTAAAAAAAATGTATTTGCATCGTCGGAGGCGTCCGAGAATGTGCGAGGAGCAGTAGGAACGCACCAGGTTGTTTTATCGTTATTCAAACGAGCGCTCGGCAATCGAGACAAATTGTCGGCGATCGGCGTGCTTGTTACTCAAAATGCTCGTAAATTGAGGCGATCATCACTCGAGGTTCCACTGTAATTTGTTATACGCTTTTACTTAGTTCTGCTTCCACACTTCTGTTAATTTGCTAGTGGCTTTCTGGTCTTCCCTTTTTATATTTCCTTACCTTGTTTGTAGTGCTTTCTTTATCACAATACACATTCCTTCTACTAAGAGCAAAAAAGTAAAAGCTCATGTTATATGCCTTTTAACTTTTAAATGAACATTTTTAAGTTTTGTGCTAGTCTTATGTAGTGAAAACTGTGGGGCTGGCAAGAATTTTGGGAAGATTACAGAGTTAATATTTCTGGGTTGAAGAGTACTGTATAATGTATGGATAAATTACTAGATGTTCTTAGTGAATGGTCTATCACATAAGCTAGATAGGCTATTGTTGACTTGTTGAATCCAAACCATTCTTAACTACACCAATGATAATGCTCCAGCTTTTATAATTAACAGTAGTGTATCATTGTTAGGTAAATAAGTTAATATCTGGTACTATCAGAGGTTAGATAAAAGTACAGACATAGGAGCATTCAAATGTAAGTTGTGAAAGTGGAGCAATATCATCCAGTATTAGCAGTTGATATACCAGAAGATGGTATATTGATATACCATGATGTATTGATGATATACCATGTATATTGATGATATACCATATATATACAGTATTGATGATATACCAGCAGTTAACATACTAGAAGATGAACCTAAGTAGAGGAGATTCTCCTTGGGTTCTTGTTCTTGTAGGTGCCAGTGGTGGTGATTGCATACTAACTGTAGAACAGGGTAGAGAATATTTCAATTTATTTGGTAAGATAAATAATTGTGTTTCCTGAAGCTATTATAGGTTGAGATGGTACCATATACTAGGTTGCATCAGCAGTAGAGTTCTGTAGGCATATCGAGGATGAATGTCAGAGCCTGGCCCCCCCTCACAGGAGCACAGGGTGTGCCTACATTTTATTTTCATCACCTCACTAGGGAAGGCAACTAGAAAGCCAGAGAGCTAAAACAAAGCCACCCTGCAGTCTACCCCTCGTGCCATGCTTCCGACTTAAACGGCGGAAGCATGCAGCCCTTTTGGTAGTGTTCACGGTGTCCTGGGCTGATAATCACGCGTGGGGGTATTGGAGGTCAAATGGTTCTAGCAGCCCAATATCTTGTGAATGTTTCTGGTCCTCAGTGCCCTTGTGTGGCTTTGAGTAGTGTCTCTTGACCTGAGGTCACATCTTCGTCATGACTCTGGCAGTGCTTCCTTCTCCCTGGTGAGGGCATCTTTCTGGGTGCCCTACCCAGTCGCTTGTAATTATGACATACTTTAAATGTAAAGTGCTCATAGGCATTGCTCCCTGCGCACCTCTGAGGGGACCAGGTTCTGGCTCGTGGTTCCTGGTAGGCATAAGAACTCCAGTGACTGCTGACCCCAAACTAATATAACACATACTAGTTCGGAAGCTTCTGAGAGCCTCTGGGGCTCGCCCAGAAAATGGCATTTCATTACATTCAGTGCTGGGTTTTTGACACTAAATCTCCTTTCTAGAATACAGCAGAAGATATAATGGAAAAAGAAGTGATGAAGAATTGTACAAATGACTACTGCAAACTTGGATGTGTTTGTGACACTTTGACATGTCGACGGCGAAGTGAGTTTTCTTAATTCTTTATTCTTTAATTTAAGGGATGTTAAAATTTATTAAGTGGGTGGAAGGTGGAGTGGATGTGGATGTGTTGAAAGGCTTTGAGAAAAGGGAGGTGTGAGGTGTAGATGGTGGAGGGGTGGGAGGAAATCAGACCCGGCCAGCCAGTCTCCATGCCCACGGAAGTCCAGTGTTGTAATCACTGAGCCAGCGACCGTCTGTAAGTGTTGGAAGTCTCACTGAGACCTACATGCACCCAACAGCACTCGTCGCATTATTGGGTACAGATATTTCGTCACCATTTCATCCCCCAACACCCGAGTGCAGTCGGGTCTTGGGTGCATGTTGGTCTCAGTGAGACTTCCCAGCACTTACAGACAGTTGCTGGCTGAGTGATTACAATACTGGACTGCTGGGAGCATGGAGAAATGAGCTGGCCAGGTTTGAATCCAAGTTACCTAGGGCCACTAATACTTGTGGCTTCGACAAGGACAGGAAGTCAGCGGCTTGTCAAAGGTCTCCTCGTTTGCCCTGATTATTTATTCCAATTGGATCTTAAAATTTAACAGTTTTGGCATTTATGGCTTTGGCAGGTAGGTGGTTCCATGGGTTTATAACCCTGGGTGAAAAAGCATATGTTCTCAGTCTTACATTGTGGCTTGTTGAGCTTGAAACAGTATCCACTTTGAAGCCACATACATACATACATACATATACAACGTATGTATGTGTGTAAATCACAAAAATTTACACGTGATGAAAAATGTGACAGTGTCAGACCACGGAGGAAGAAATGAAACAGGAATTTCCTTAAGTACTTTCGAATTTAATAATACATCTTCAGAAGGGTCAAGTATTTAATAATACATCTTCACCCTTCTGAAGATGTATTATTAAATACGAAAGTACTTAAGGAACTTCCTGTTTCATTTCTTCCTCCGTGGTCTGACACTGTCACAATATATGTATATATAATAGTATGTGTAATGTATACTGTACTTAACATTTGCATTACCTTTTATAGGTATGGAGCACTGTGGTCGTGTTGAATGCATGTTTGAATGCAGCTGCCGAGATGAGAGTTGGAAGCACTCTGTATCAGGTACTGGGAGGACCATGAATGCTGTTTCAATTTACAATCTGGACCGTGAACAAAATGAAGGACTTGCTTTACGAGAAAAGGTTTGTTGGCTGTGTATGAATAGTACTGTAGTATGAATGGGAAATTCAAGACATATGGGGCAGTCAATAATATTTCCTCCAGTTTTACCTTCAATTTATACAAAGGTTGATGTATGACCAAAAACTGTTTTCTGAATGTGTCTTCAATTTGACACAGGATAAAAATTTTAGGAAAATCATTCTTTGTTATAGCATTTATATGACTTTGCCCTTTTTGTGTCTCAGTAACTTAAGCACTGTGAATAGTAGAGCCAGTACATACATACATACATTTATTTATTTATTTATTTATTTATTTATTTTTAAAATGTGGGAACCAAAGAATTGTAATAGCCATAAAAGATTTTATTGGAATCAGATCATCCTGTACTTAAAAAATTATCCTAAACCAAGATCAAATTAATAAATACCTGTTTTTGCCTTGAAATACTGTACAAATATTTTTTTTACATATTTTGAAGCACTTGTTTATGTGCCCTAGCCCTAGAGCCTATGTTTAGCACACCAATAAACAACATGAAAGTTGATGATCCAGACAACTTCTTTATGAATGACATTCAAGCTGCAGATAATATAACTGATATTAACACAAACTCGGAAAACTTTGAAAGAGAAATTGTCAATATGCCCATGCACTCAGCTCTTGGGCTGAACTCGTGGAATTCAATATTCATAAAGAAATGTAAAGTACCAGTAGCGTGAGCACTCAGCATAATATAGAGTAAGAGCCTGGATACAGGGGAGATACCAGCGGCACTTAATTCAGCAGATATAGCTCCGCTGCACAAGGGGGTAATAAAGTCTTGGCAAAAAATTATAGACCAGTTGCACTAAAATCTCTCATAATAAAAGTTTTTGAAAGAGTGATTAGGAATCAAATTTCTAGTTTTATGGAAAATAATGAACTACACAACCTAAGACAACATGGATTTAGAGCAGGAAGATCCTGTCTGTCACAGTTACTTAACCACTATGACAAAATCACAGAAGTTCTAGAAGAAAAGCAAAATGCAGATGTAGCATACACAGACTTTGCAAAGGCATTCGACAAATGCCTCCAATAACCTGGAGTGATAGCACACAAAATGAGGTCAGTGGGAATAACTGGTAAAATAGGATGCTGGATACTCAGTTTCCTGTCGAACAGAACACAGAGTAACAGTCAATCAATTAAAATCGTGCCCAAGCGCAGTTAAAAGCTCTGTACCTCAAGGTACAGTCCTTGCCCCACTGCTTTTCCTTATTCTCATATCAGATACCGACAAAAATACAAGTCACAGCTTCGTGTCATCCTTTGCAGATGACACGAAAATCAGCATGAAAATTACCTCTGCGGAAGACATTGAAAAACTACAAGCAAATATCAACAAAGTTTTCGATTGGACAGCAGAAAATAACATAATGTTTAACAGTGATAAATTCCAGGTACTCAGGTATGGCAAACGTGAGGATTTGAATACTCAGGTACGGCAAACGTGAGGATCTGAAATATAATTCAGGGTACAAAACGCAATCGAATCTGCCCATAGTAGGAAAACAGCATGTCAAGGATTTGGGAATAATGATGTCCAACGACCTAATGTTTAGGGAGCATAACCAAGCAAATATTGCGGCAGCCAGAAAAATGATAGGATGGATTACTAGAACTTTCAAATCCAGGGATCCCATCACAATGGTTGTACTCTTCAAGCCACTTGTGTTGTCCCGTCTTGAGTACTGCTCAGTACTCGCTTCTTCCTTCAGAACAGGAGATATTGCTGAAATAGAGGGAATACAGAGAACAAACATATACTGCATGCATAGACGCGATAAAGCACCTAAATTATTGGGATCGTCTCAAAGCTCTCCAAACGTACTCACTAGAAAGAAGATGAGAGAGATACTAAATAATATACGCATGGAAAATACTGGAGGGCCAAGTCTCAAATCTACACAGTAAAATAATAACATACAGGAGTGAACAATATGGAAGAAAACGCAGAACAGAACCAGTGAAGAGCAGAGGTGCCATAGGCACAATCAGAGAACACTGTATAAACATCAGAGGTCCGCGGTTGTTCAACGTCCTCCCAGCAACTATAAGAAATTTTGCCGGAACAACCGTGGACATCTTCAAAAAAAATCTAGACTGTTTTCTAAAAAGCGTGCCAGACCAACCGGGCTGTGGTGGGTATGTGGGCCTCCGGGACTGCTCCAAACAACAGCCTAGTGGACCAAACTCTCGCAAGTCAATCCTGACCTCAGGCTGGGCTTGGGGAGTTGAAGAACTTCCAGAACCCCATCAAACAGGTATCAAGCTAGTACAAGGAAATTAAAAGTCATGTGCTGTGTGTCCAGATTAGAGCTGAACTTCTCTGACAGACTGGGGATTTATTATTATTTTCCTAGAAAGGGCCTTTCTCAGCTGCTTCCTGATCCATACATACTAGGCCAAGTAAATCTAAGGATGATGCTCAGTTTCTTTAGACTCTCACTGACCTGCTGGGAAACCAGACTAAAATCTGATTCTACAAGGTGAGGGAAGCTTTAGAATGAGAGATCTATGGTGCTCAAAAAAGGAGAAAATGAACTAGAAAGTTTAGGCAGAACAAAACAAGCTAATGCATCAAAGAAAGTAGTTAAAAATGAAGAACACAAACAATAGGTAGCCACCAGATAGCAACACAGTGGACTGGAGTCCTGGTTTGCCACCTACTGTGCTACATGACTTGGAGGCCTCATCTGGAGCCCTACTGCTGTTTCCCTGGTCAGCTAAGTAGTGTTGGTTTATCACTTGTTTCTATTTATTTACAAGAGTATGTATGTTGAATAACTTGATAATTCACATAATTCACAAAAACTATGATTGAATACAATTGGTTTACCTGGTATACTTCATTATAACTTTATAGAGTAGTGAAAACAATGTAAACATTATATTCACAGGTGTTGGGCTCTGGGTCATGACATAGGGCCTAATTGGCACCATATGGGGTGGCAATATGGATTGAAACAAAGGTGTAAGTCACCATGATAACCTGTTGATAAGTAGTTGATGAGACAAGGTTGAAACAACAGAAATATAAAGTAATTAAAAAGCATCTGCGACACCACCTACTCACTGTTTTTGCTTCTCTTTTTCTCTTTCTCTTCCCTTCCCCCATGGTTTGCATTATTACAATGTATTATTTGTTGGCCTACAATAATTTTTGTGTTTTCTTGCAGGACTTCAGGAAGACAGTAATTCAAACTGGATCTGAGGTTATTTTGGTGGGAGCAGAGAGAAAGAAAAGAGAACGTAGGATTCCCGGCAGGTACAGAGATTCTGCTCTGTGGACAGGGAGTGATTACATTGCCTCAGATAGCCCATGCCCCAGCGAACCTGAGATTCCACCACTGCCAGGTATATTAGCTTTTTGTGAAAATCTTATATTTTGAGCATTTTAGCTGTTAAAACTGCAGCTAATTTGTTTTTGTTATTGCTGTTATGTGCATGTACTGTACAGTATGTATAGGCAAACCTCACTTCATGAATGAGATATGAAGTTGTGCAATAATCAGATACAGTACAGTATTTGTTGAATGAGAATAATTTTCCTATTGATTGCCATGGTAAACGCTGAAATGCATTCCAAATATAAAATTTTCCACTCCTGAATAACTTTAAACATGAGAAAAACACGTTATGATTTCATATTTTATAACATTATTATAAATGTGTTTTAGTTTGAAATTTTAAATGAATTAAGGAATGTTGTGGTTGGACTAGAATTTTGGGTCAGCTAAAGCCAACTGCTTCACTCTCCCTTCTACCAGAACCTAGCTACATAAACAACCCCGGAGGTGGTTGGATTGCAACCACACTTCATAATGTTTGATTCTCCACCAAATTCTCCCTCCCCCCCCCCCCCCCAATTCCAAGTGATTGCATATCAGCTGCCATTACATGATGACACATCATAATTATGGAACGTTGCGCTGTACTTCTAACCTTGCCTCCAAATTGTATTTTGTGGCTTTGTGAAATTGTACTATTTACACACAAACTGCTACAAAACACAGTGTACTTGTAAATATTTAAATAAATAAGAAAATAAAAGGGAAATATTAGATACCTGATATCCAACATTCCTGACAAATTTGATATGATGAATATCATTAAATAACTCATGGAAACTAGTGAAGTCATTCTTATATTTGATGCATAGTTTTCCCAACATGCATTTAATGTTTTCTTGCAATTCTCTCAAGCATCGTGAATGTTGTTAATGACATTCATGACGTACAATCCCCGGCTTTCTCGTATTGTTTGTATATGATTAATGGTTTAATTTACAGTCTGCATCATTCAAAACATGCAGTATGTTTTAAATGTTGTTATAATACAGTACTCTTTTTCCATGGGTTGTATTGATGTGTTATTTGGAAGAAATTTCACTGACATTATCTGACAGTCAACAGTATGAAAGGATAACCAGTAAGAAACACCAGTTGTTACAGTTCAGAGCAGATGAAAGTTTGTGCTGTAGACAACAATAGCGGTGAGTGTGAGGGATCAAGTCGTGGGTATGAATGGATGTAAACAAAGTGGGGAACCATGCGTATTATAGTCAAATATTGCCACCACATTATGTTGCGGTAATTTTTTTTGTTAGATAAAATATTTATTTTTGTTATATAATTAATTGCATTAATTAAATTTAAAAGTTAGACTAAACTTAGTTTGAGTTATTAAGTGAGGGTTGCCTATACTTGATAATTTTAACAGTTGTTGATAAGTGGATAGCCTACTTTTGGGAGTATTGACTAGGTATTGCTGCTGGGTCATAGAGTTGAACCTACTTCTATTGAGTGTGAGCTCTCAGGAGATATAATACTTAATCGCTACTGTATTCTGTGAAAAAGCTCAATAATAATTTTAGTTTATTTGTAAATATAGCAATATTTTTAACTTTCATTTAATTGAAATGTCATATTTACTAAGATAAATTTTTGTACTCAATCTGGTATGTATGAATCTTGTAATATTTACATTTTTAATGATTTTAATATGCAATGTTTCCTGCTGTTGAGAGTGAAATAATTTCTTGTTTTTTTTTCCCACAGATTTTCCAAGTATTCCATTGTCTGAAGTTTCCAGATACATCAGACCTTTCAAGTTGAATATTCCATGGTATGATATCAAAGGTATCAGTGTCTGGTGTATGGATCACTCGTGTTATGATTGTAGATGTCTGAAGGATGTCAGCTACAACACTCGAAAAGCGGATGTAATAGAAAAAAGTGAGATGGTTTTTGATGATGGTCATATTTCCAATTCATGGAGTGCAGTTGATACATTTGAGGAAGCTTTATTAGATAAAGAAAAAAGTGCTTTAGCATCACCCTCTCGAGGCTCTAAATTAGAGCATCTTGATTGCCCATCAGTTGTTGGTTGTAGTATTGTAAATGTTGTTGTTAATAATACTGAAGCCAAACGCAACTACAGATGGAAACTAAAAAATTGGTTCCACTCTATGAAAAATCACTGTGCACGAACTTGTGGTTATTCAAAAAAAGACATCAGCGAGGAAACAAAGTATATGACACTTAGTGGTCTTGCTGCCAGAGAAATTACCCCAGAACAAATGGTGGAAACTGTTGTTAAATCCCTTAGGCATCCAAAAGAAAATGTACATTCTTCCATAGCTCCAGCTGCAGGAAATTTTGAATCCTTCATGAATGACTCTCTTGTAAACTTACAAAATGCTTTGGGAATTACTTCAGATAATGTTGAATTGAAAGCTGAGACGCTTGAAATTAGTAATAAAACAGTTCCCCTTGTGGACTTGACCTCTAGTAATTTGGATGAGTTGGGCATCTCGCATTCACCTTCCAAATCCCCAAAAATGTTAAAGAAAAAAGTACAAAAGACATTGCCTGATTCTCCAAAAGATGTTACAAAAATTGTTGTAAGTAAAAGGAGTAGGTCACATGATGAGTGTTCGGTAAGCCCATCACCAAAGAAGTGGAAGCAGTCAAGTATCCAGGAGGAGAGTGCAAATCAGGTCTCTTCATCTGTAGTGTGTGTGTCTCCAGATGAGAATAATGCATCTGCGACACCTGTAAAATCTGTAAATAATGATAAGGCATGTGAAGAATCTGAAGGGAAAAGAGTAGCTAGAAAACCATTATCGCTTCTGGAGATGATGGTTGCAGAAGAAAAGAGAGGAGAACTTGAGCTTGATCTGACAAATAACTTCCCAGGAAATGCACTTCTGGTTGCTGAAGCACGCTTCCGGAAACTCATTAACATGAACATTATTGGTGTTGTTGGAATCAACAAAGCTGGGAGGTAAGCAAATATAGTTAATACTATCATGCAGCATGAAAGTTCACTTTAGATTTACATCAGTTTACATTTTTATTTCAAGTGCAATACTTTTACAAGGCTTATTTTACCTGTATTGCTCATGTTGCTATGTTATTTCTTCCTATAATGTTAATAGAGGCTTTATATTCAAAGCATAATTTTCTCTACTTATAGAATATGCCTTCCCATAGGCTTAAATATGTTTTATCCATTTGTATCATTTGAATCATTTGGAGAATTGTTTGGCAGTTCTGAGGCTTCAGTTTTTGTGAATCCAGGGGAGCCGGTCGGCCGAGCGGACAGCACACTGGACTTGTGATCCTGTGGTCCTGGGTTCGGTCCCAGGCGCCGGCGAGAAACAATGGGCAAAGTTTCTTTCACCCTATGCCCCTGTTACCTAGCAGTAAATAGGTACCTGGGTGTTAGTCAGCTGTCACAGGCTGCTTCCTGGGCTTGGAGGCCTGGTCGAGGACCGGGCCACGGGGACACTAAAGCCCCGAAATCATCTCAAGATAATTTCAAGATAAGATAACCCAGTCTGTAAAGTTTTGCTGACTTTTTGGATGCTTTCCTGGTGAAATGTTGGAATGTCATTCACTCCATCTGCCTCTGTGATAGGGCCAGGTTCTGGTTTTGATTCCCAGTAGACTAAACAGAACTTCCATGATTGATGTAACTTTGTAGTATGAAGCAATCTCAGTGAGATAGCTACATGAAGCCACTGGACTCATCCAGAGACATTTTATTACATTCAACACTGGGTTTTCTGGGGGAAAACCCCTAGTGGTTGCATGAAACTATTATCGCTGATTATGTGCCATAGGATTGTTCTTCAGTTGTGGAGTTTTATAGGTCTACCAGGGACAAAAGCCAGAATGTGGCCCACCTCACAGAGGTGCTGAGAGTGATGACACTTTGATAAAATTGTTATTAATTAATTTGTTCATGTCTGCTACGTACTGGGAAAGGTACCCAGAAAATCAGCAAAACAAAAGAAACCCCTGCTGGCTTCAAATGAGATTGCAGACTCAAGAATCACCTAAAGAACTCTCCAAACGATAGACAAATTATAGCAGTAGCCACCTAGCTTCCCACTTGTTTGGGGAGGGAGGTGGCCTGCGGTCAGCCGGCTGCTTCACTTTCAGTTCTCTTCTGATAGTAGTGTGTGTCAGGTCTCCTTTCTATTGATCTGGCTCCAGTGTCGTAATTACCACGTAACGTGGTGGGGGTGGGGTCCCTCGATTGTTTCAAACATGGGTTGGACATGTATATGAGTGGGATTGAGTAGTTATAAATAGGAGCTGCTTCATATGGGCCAATAGACCTTCTGCAGTTACCTTTGTTCGTATGTGTCTGTTTTCAGCTAAGTGGTGGGTTTTGCCTTTGTGGCTGTTTCTATACACTTTAGTGAAGTGTGAACCAGGAGTTAAGAGTGCTTAGAGCTGCTTGTGCTCAGGGTTATCTTCCCTATGAGCTCTTTAGTGCTGCCCTTGTGCTGCCAGGGTTATCTTCCATGACGTGTTTGGGGACTGCCCCTTTAAAAGGTCTTCTCACTTATGGTGGCTATTGCACTAGGTGAGTCAATTGTCTTTGGCTTCCTGTCTTTCCTTGGGAAGGGAGTGATTTTGGCTGGTGGGGTGCACTGGTGGTTCGTGAGCTACACTTACAGCTTGCTGAGGTCGGCCTTTGCAGCCGCATGTGAGTGGCTGCTTTGGCTTATATGTATTTCCTCATACAATTAGAACTGGTATAGTGTCCCAGTGCATGGGTGTTCTGTTGGGTCACTTTCCCTGCAGGTTCTGTGGTCCTATGGATATACCCCTCGAACTTGCTAGTGCTTCATGCGAGTTTGAGGGGTTGCATGTTGCCTGTACCACATGGCAATGTTCATTCCATCTACCATGCTGCCTGCTGAGTTGGTGACACCTCCGACCCTGAGTCATGTGGGATTCTGGCTCATGCCAGGTCCTGTGATCTAGCTCCAATTGATCTGTCTCAATGGGGTGAGCCCTGGTGGCTCCCTTACATCCTCCCTCCAAGTCGTCAGGGGTGTTTGCCTCGTAGTAGAACAGCCAGCAGCAGTGGTGGAGCAGCCAGTTAAACGTGGGCCACCTCCCTCCTTCCCCCAAATAAGTGGGGGAGGTGGGGCAAACGATTTAATGCTAGTTTCGTGAATTTTCAATAATTAAATAGAGCGTAATAACATAGTTACTCATTATTATTTGTGTTATTATGTATTACTCGTCAATGATATAAAGGCACCAACTGCATATCCACTTTGTGGACACTTAATACTAATATTCTTCTTCTTTGAGTATCGGACAGGTGCTTGCATCTCTTTATTACTACATTATCCTTCAATTCCAGTTATTAGGAACTGTTCTTCATATCAACAAAACATTCTTATTTTAAAAAAATTCATCTAAAATCAATTTCTGAAAATATTTTGATGAAAGTTTCACGACACTGAAGCCAATAAGTTGGAGATTTGTTTAACATTTTTAAGTTATTTTTACATAATTTGAATATTTTTCGTTTCTGGGCCCCCCAATATGCGTGGTAATATGTGCGGTTTAAGGGTTAAATTGTATTGTTATGGCATGACAATAAATATTCACTACACTTTCAACAATTCTAATGCTATCAGAAAGTCATGGTCAGATCTTAGGTCTTCATCTTCATTTAGGACCTCTAATAATTGTTTATGCAATAATACTGTCATGATGTAATGTTGTATCATAATACAGTGCATGCATAATGTGTTTTGACTGTATACATAGATAGGTGCTTTATTGAAGCTACTACTGTATAAGCTTAAATTATTTTTTCTTTTTAGGTGTATCATTGGTACAGTTGACTCCATAGAATCTCTGAGAGTAATGCAACGAATTCATAATATGATAAGCAACAGCACCCTTGATGTTGGGCCTAATATGCGAGAAATATTTTTCCCTCCACCATACACTGGAACAAGACCAAGGCATGTATGATTTGTGTAGCACACATGCTTAACTAAAATGACTATAAACGTGCAAAACTCCATATAGCATCTTGTATTCATTATAGCATCCAGTACTCATGATACTACACTTCATAGCCTGAAGTATTTCTAAATTATCTTCATGTAATTTTAACTTGTGTGCTGTAATATATTCAATATGTGTTGTCACATCTGTTACATATATAGCAACCTCTTGCCATATTTGATGTACTTGTGTATTAGTAAATTAGGCATCTTGTTAGAGAGTAGGATCAGAGAAAAAGAGTAGATTGCCTAACATGTAGCTTACTTTTTAGGTTTGTCATGATCCGCTGTGATTTGAACAGCAAGTGGGAAATTGTTGGAGTCGTTCAAAAGAAAGGACCAATGAAGACTTCTAATCACCCCGAGCAAAAGGCAAAATCGAGCATGACACAAAAACCTTCATCATTTATTCCCCAAGTTATTGATTTAGAAGAAGAAGAGAAGCAGAAGGAGCTGCAGAGGACAGACAAACCTGATGTTGTCATTCTGCCTTCAGAGGCAGATGGACCTGATGCAGGTTCTGAATCATCTTCAGAGAGAGATAGTGGGGCATGGGAAGGCAGCTTGCCTCTTATAGCAAGTGTCCATAGTGCTTCAGACTCTAACATGGCTGAGCTGATTGGATCTCCAGAAAGAATTTGTGATTCAGTAGACAAATTGCCATTATGTGAAAGCTCAGTGTCATTTAAACAACCCTCTACAACAAAATCTATTCCTGACTTGGTTCCAATTTCTACAGGCTCAGTAGAAGAATTAAATACTGATATATCTCAAGGACAGGAAATTGTGAAGTCTCAGGGTACTTTGCCAGTAAGTGGAATAAGAATTAATCTTCAGCAGCAGAGTGATCAACAGCTTTATTTTGTACCAACAGCACTAAAAACTTCAACAAAGACTACAAGTACATTACCTGCACAAGCAACCTCGTCTCCAGGCATGAGAACATTTAAGCTAAATCAGAGTAGTGGGCGAGTATTTGGAGATTCTCCCAGTGAAAATCTGTTGTCATTCTGCCATTCTTTAGCATCTCCAGTACTTTCTCCTCAAAGCTCTCAGTCAACTGTATTGGATTCTGGTTCTTCAGGAAAGCTACCTCTAATTCCAAAGAAAGGGAATTCGGGTTCCTCTACTTATTCGTTATCTGCCACAGAAAGTAATACTCCATTTAAAGATGACTCGTGCAGCAATGCACCAAAGGTAAATGATGGTCTAGTTCCAAGCAGAAGAGTTTTGTCACCAGTCGTGCCATTAGGTACAGCTGTGCGTGCAGCTATGCAGACAAAAATTGGGGATGGTATTGCTGTAAATCAAAATGTAACGGCTTCAACAACACCAAGCTCAAAAATGTTGTACATCCCAGTAAGTTCTGGGTGCTTGTCAAAAATGGTATTTGTACCAACAGTTAGTGGCGGGCCATCACCACGGATGATGTTGCTACCCACTATCCCTAGTAGTAGCGGTGGAATAGACAACAGCAAGATGAAAATGGTCCTAATGCCATCAGCTCAGGACAACAGTAAAATGATTCTTCTTCCAGCAACTACAGACACTGGAGAAGCCCTTACAGCTAATGTGCCAAGTTCAAGTGGGTCTAGTGAAAATGACTCAAAGAAGATGTTAGTCCTCCCTTCTAATGTTTTAGGTAACTTAATTGCAAGACCACCATCAAATATTGATCAGAGATCAAAGATTTTGCTTCCAAGACCAACAATTCTCAATGATACACCATCTTTTCAGTCTACTTGTACAGGTACTCTTCTTGTACCCATTAAAAGTGCTGGAACCTTACCACTTAAGTCGTTTCAAGTTGATGAAGTTACTTCAGTAGAAAAAGATGAAGATAATATTGCAGGTCCAGAACTAAGTAAAGAGAGTAGTGATCCAGATAACTCTGATGATGTTGTTGTGATAGGACCAGTAACAAACAGTCTTACCATCACTCGTGTTAGAACTGCATCTGAATCGACATTCCAACGACCAGAATTAAACTCTGGAACCACATGCACATCACAATCACTATCGATAGTGCCAGCACCTTCAGTTTCCAGCAGTGGTAAAGCAGAAACTAATGTTGTGTCTTCTGTAATAACTGTTTCAAGTACGATGCCTGGAAACACGCCACTTCAGAAAGATTCTGGTACACACAGGCTATCAAGTAATATTTTACACAAACAAACTGAAGGTAACCCTTCAAATTCCTCGGAGGATATGGTTATTGTCAAAACATCTCTGAATTCACTTCAGCTGAATGCTTTACTTCAAAGTACACACAAAGAGCTGCTTAAAACTAAAGATGATTGCTCTGTTATTAGTCCCGATAAAACTTTAGATTCAAAAGAGGTGCCAAACAAGGAAGAAGCATTATCTGTGGGTAAGCATAGTAAAGATCATTCAAAAGTGTCAGTGCCAAATGCAAGCTCTGTTGTAGCTACTGAACAAAAAACTATTGATGAAATAGAGGAAGTTGGGAGTAAACAAGTACAAATAAAAAAAGGTGGTTACCATTGGAGTGCAGTGGATCTTTCTCTCAACTTCAAAAGTGTTAAGCTGGAATGGCTGCTTGGTACCATTAGGAAAAATGTGTTAATGAATATTTATCGAATGTCACTTAAAACACATTCTCCAGTTACGTTGAGTGTAAAAAATGGCACGTCGACTTCTATGCTGTATGGTTTAGCAAGAGGAGGTTATGCTAAAAAAGAAGGAGACCCTCAACTGCCAATTCTTATTTTGGGTTCTGTTGTATCAGCTGTCATGAGTTCATCTTCTACACCTGATGCTGTTCTTTTTCAAGTTAATGCTATTAAATACTTTATTAGGGAAAATACTGGAGAACTTTCATCATACACCTATGATGTAAGTGGAGACTTTTTAGTAAAACTAGCATCCAAGAAGAGAGGACATGGTGGAGAAATGATAGGTATTGGTGAAAAGGTGCCAATACAGAAAATGAGAGAATTAAGCAACGTTGTAGATAATTCTTGTAATGAGACAAGGAAAACTGATACTGGGAATGCAGAAGAAAAATGTACTCTGCCAATAAAGTCTAAAGTGCAAGACTGCAATACATGTAGCTGCACTGCTGCTGGAGATTTTTTATGTATGGGCCATAGTGCTTCACAATTGAAGGTGAAAGATCCTACAGCATTTGAAATTGCATCCAATAGACCTCAGTCACTAAATCCTGAGCAGTCTTGCACCCTTGTGCAAGAAGCTACTGTTTCATCGGAGCATACTTTACCCCAAGAATTCCAACCAGTTAGAGAGAGTAATGTGAAGTCTTCGGCAGACGTTGTGCAACTTGAGTGTTCATCAGTGCCAAAATCTGCATGCAGTCGTCCTCCTATACCAGTGAGCCCACACCTTAAACAATGCCCACCAAAAATCTCTGCACTTGAATCATCAACTTCAACAATGAGGTCAAGCTTAGATCAAAATTCTTCACAAACATCCACTGGTACTCAATGCTCTAAAGATGATTTTATTCCCCAAAGTGAAAAAACTGAAGGTGGCCAATCCCATGAGATCAGCGGCGAAGGAAAAGTAACATCCATGCATGTTAACTCTGCACTTAACAATGAAGAAATGAATGCTAATAAATCTTACTCTTTGAAATATAATGACACTCCTGAAAAGAGCCTGTCGGATAGTCCTACAAATATTATAGGTATCAAAGAACTTGAGGTTCAGGCAACTTCGAATTGCCTTGCAGAAGGTAGTGAAGCAGCTAAGGGACAAGACATCGACAGCGAAATTGAGGATGTTGACATTATGGGTGACTGTGATACAGATGTTTCAATGTCTTTATTGCTGAGGAATCAGGTCACAGATCAGTCTATGCAAGGTATGCAACATTTAGTTCTATCCTTTTTGTGAAATGTACACTTTCGTACAAATTATTTTGAAAGTACAAATTTGAATTTGCCTTAACAAATTTATAATGTGTGCATATCAGATATATTACAGTACTTTAGAATAACATTGCATGTCATGTTTGTTTGACAGGAAAAGTAGCAAGCACTGGTCAAGCCAAGACCCCTGGAGAGGTAGCCAGATATCTTTTAAAAAGGAAGATAAAAAGGAAGTTAGGTAAGTTCATTTTAAAAATTTTATTCATTAATTTTCATTTGCCATTGTAACTTAGGTTAGAATGTCTTGCTATCTCATACAGTCTAGGTAATAATGTCTTGCTATCTCATACAGTCTTCAAGTTTTATTTAGGTCTGAAATATTCATTTTCTGAGCTATTCACATTGTGTTACCTCTGTGATGTAATATTCTATGTGCCCTCGGAACAAGGATTGTTACTGGCAGGTGGTTGACATTGTTGGCATTTGTACTAGTGACAACTCTGTAAGGTAATAAAAGTTGCTATGGGGCTAATGGAGATGAGCTCACCATTTAGGAATGATCAGCAGTAGGTACATTCCATGTGAATTCAAAGCCATCTCAGCTCTCCAATCTGTAACTGCCCTCTGCCTGTTTGGTAACCAAGTACCCACATTATAGTCCTCAGGTCCTTCAGAACTAATAGTTTTCCAAACTTTTTAAGGGATAAGTTAGGAACATGAGATTGAAGCTAAGTAAACTTGTTCATCAATTGACCTAAAAATTTGTGTATTCAAGCTTCTGAAATTATATGATGTATTTCAGACACTGCCTTTTCAAGTTTTGAGCGACCCTGCCCACGTTCCAAGAAACGATTGCTGAACTCTATGGTAAGGCTGCGCTTTAATATTGGTGGGCTATAGGGGAAACGGTAACATGGGCATGATGTAGTGGGGTCCCAGTTAATTGAAACTGATTTATCCAAAAGTTCAGATAAAACAGAGGAAAATTAATTGAGAAATTTTCTAAATATCCCCCCCAAAATTTATTTGTTGGGAATCTTTCCTTGGGAAGCCCCTTGTGGCTCCCTGAAGCTACAATAGCTGGTATAGTGCCAACTATATCAGAATAAGTGCCATCAGTCATGGGGTTCTGTTTGGTCTATCAGGTACCCTGAGCCAGAACTCTCTCCCCTCAGAGAGGCACAGAGAGCACTGGCACTTATGATATAATTTCTGAGACTTTGTTTTTGGGGCCCTCTTGCATTTGGTTGTTGGGTCTGGGAGCTTCATGCTCTTTTCTAGAGGCTCAGTTTCTGCTTTTTTGGCCCTGTTGGGCACTTTGTTTGTAACTGACTCCTTTTCTGGCGAAGAATGAATTGGTTGGCGTCCCGGAAGAGTCCTTTTGTTATCGTTGCATCATGTGCTGTCTGTTGGTGGCTGTCTGCCTCTATCTTCATGCCACTAATTTTGCTTTGGTGGATGATTTGTGGGTTGATCCCATTTCATTGGTTTCCTGTTCTAAGGTTTGTGTTTCTCAGGCTGTTCGCAGTGTTAAGTCTAGCTCACCTGTGGTCTACCCACGTGCTTATGATTGGAAGTATGGTCCCCAGTAGGCCTATGGGACTCCAGTGCTGCTTCGACATAGTAGATGGTACCATCTCAGTGTAGAGCTTAAGGGAGGAACTGGGGCTTGCCCAGAAATTGTTGTTTCTGGCTATAGTTATCTACTGCAGTTGTATTTCATGGTTCTAAAATCACACAATACCTTCAAATGAATCCCAAAATTGATGAAGGGAGCCCATCAACAGGTCTTGAACAAAGGTGGTAGGTGCAACAAAAGTAGTGGTAGAACTCTGAAATCAAACCACAAAAGTAATGACAAACAATTTCAGAAAAGATATATCTGGGTTCTTGGCCTTATCAACCAACATCAGGAACCTTTGTTCAATACCTGTATCCTGGTACTGGACTCCCATTATTTCTTTGAGGTTTCACTGCAGGGTATTGTGTGGGTTTCTATTCTACTTGTTTTCTTTAATGAAACCATGGGCTACACTGGCATTCTTTGTCTGTGGGTACAGATATTGGCTAGCACATGCAGAGTTCATACTTTTTGCAACTGGGTTTCCTCCTTGGGTTGGCGAGTGTTTCAAGGCTTACCTATGTTCTGAGGAAATAGGCTACTAACTACCTACTTCTTAGCCATGGCTTATTTAGACATCAGTATCAATGAATTTTGGAGATCGAACCAAACCTTTGCAGCGAGATATTTCTCAGTCCTCTTATGGCCTCGCAGTATTACTTTCCTCTGGGTCAATCCTCTACCGTCAGACTTTGGAGTCTGGAGGAAAGAAGCCTCAGGAAATCCTTGTGTGTTCAGAAGAACTCCAGGTTGCAATCCTTATACCATGTCATGGCGTATTCGCTAAAAGTGTGCGCGTGGGAACACCCACTGCATAAGTTTGAACCCTCATCACTGCTCCTATGGATTTTCTCATTGATGCAGTCACGTTAGTGTGATTACTCTCTAAGTCTGGAGACTTTGTTGCATTTCATCTTTGACTTCATGGTCCCCCACTCTCCAGCTGTCTTTACTTATATTCTTTGCAGTTCATAGGGAGTTTGCTGTAGAAATATCCAAGTGGCTTAAGATCAAAAATAGAAAATTAAGCATGGTGATATGTTCATTGGATATTGTTATTTCTTCCCTTTTCTCTTCCTTCCCAAGTGAATATTTATTTTCAGAAATAAAAGTGGGGAGCCGGTCGGCCGAGCGGACAGCACGCTGGACTTGTGATTTTTCACGTGTTTTGACATCAAGCTTCAGAACTGAAGGGTGGATTGCCAGCGTGAGGGGTTTGGGGATCCCCCATCCCCGTCCCGGGGAGGGAGGAGCTGGGTAGACAGCGGCGCGACGACGTGTGACGTCATGATCGTTTGCTTGTTTCTTTTAGGGGAGTTCTATCCACTTGTTTGGCTTTTGGTAGCAATATTTTCACCAGAATAGTTGTTTGTTTTGGAATGCATACCTTTCTGGGTGCCTGACCCGGTTGATGGTAGACATAGAATGCTTCCAACCACACAGAGGTTTCTATAGACCATTGCTCCCCTTGCTGCTTCTGAGGGGACCAGGTTCTGGCTCGTGGTCCCCAGTAGGCCCATAGAATTCCATATACATGACTGATGCCAAAGTCTGACATTAGCATATCAGCCTAGTAAGCTCTGGGAAGCCTCCGGGTCTCACCCAGAAAATGGCGTTTCATTACATTCAACACTCCCCCCCCCCCCCATATAAATGCAATCAACCCAACCATCTCTTTTCTGTAAAACCTCTGGGGCTATTATCATAGAAACTAAGTAGATTTGTTACACAGGATCTTCCTGAACAATAACCGTACTGTCTGCTATTGTATTATTTTTTCCAGTTGTTTTACTCATTTGCTTTAATTATTTGTGCAATATTTTGACTGCTGCAGAGTCATGCCCAGAAGTGAGCATTTCACTGCACTATTCTTTATGTCTAATACTGTATTAACCCACTTTTGAAATTACTCAGACAAGGGTTGCTATGTCTTCAAGCACCCTTGAAGACGAGTTACCTGAAACGTTGACTTATGAAGTTGAGCAAACAAAAAATGTTGAAGCATCATCTTGTGATCCATCTTCCCGGCTACCATCACACCTTGCGCATTTACGGCAGTCTTCCTCTGAAGAAATAAGTATTGTACAAGATGACGAACCTAAGCCCGGACCTTCCTCCATTAAGACACCAATGAAGATGCAGCCTAATTTATTACAAGGAAAGTCAAAATTAGGAAAAAAAGTTGTTCGATTAAAAAAACGGGTAAGACCACTTAGCAGTACTGTAGAGTAGAAACATTGCACAAAGAAATCACATTAACATAATGCACCAATACGAAAACCAGTAGGTGCCATGTGGAGGATTCACAATGATCTAGGCACTCCCAAGCAAACCCTTTAGACCACTACACAACAACATAGTCGACTGATTCTATTAGGGTTCCTTTAGGCTTCAGTGTGTAAGCCTCAGGAACCCTAGAGGATTCAGTTGAATCCTAGGTTGCATTGCTGTTGACTATGTCGTAATGTAGTGGTGTAAGGCATTTGCTTGGGAGTGCCTAGATCATTGGTTTAAATCCTCTTCATGGCTCCTGGTTTTCTTGTAGAAACTTTGAAATATTGTATTATATTTTTCTTTATTTAAACTACAGTTCTTTAGTGCTGAAATAAAATAAAATTTGTTATATGTTTACTAGTGTTTTACAGAAATATTTGCTGTTTTAGGAAGTGAAGTATGTTGATGTGGAGGGTAACAATGAACAACGCTGCGCTTTGGTTCACAATGAGCTAGAAAGAATGCGAAGACGAGTGATACGCCATCTATTTATTAATCTCCAACACTGCATTGCATCTTTACCATGCAGTCCTTTAGTGGGTGAAACAGTTTCCCAACCCAAAATTGCCATCTTAAATGCAGTAAGTTATCAACAAAATGTTTCAAACATTACAGCTGGCATATAATTAGATTCACAAAAAGTGACACGCATGGCTGTGTATGGATGTTAGGAGCTGATTCTGCACGAGTAGGAATATTAAAGATTTTTGAACAGAAGAAATTAAGAAATTGAGATCCATGTATGATGTGGAGAATAAAATTGTGAAAATAGAATGGAATGATGTAGCTTGCAAAACTGTAATTTATAAGATTGAGATAAGAGTAGGCCCATTGAGATGGTTAAGTTGTATTAAATGAATGGATGAAGATAATGGTCTACTATGTGGATTCAAGTGAAGTTGAGGGAGGAGGAGGAGGGGAAAGTTCAAGCATGAACAAGTGTGAGGATTTTGGGATTGAATGTGAATTGCACACAAAAATGAGCAGGTGTGAGGGGTGGAGGAAGTGTGGGTTCAATGAGAGCGGCACAAAAAGTGCTGGGCAACAAGTTAAGTTAGAATAAATTTCTGAGTAAAGGTGAAAATTTGATACAATTTTAAACAGCAGCTGAAAAGAATTACTGTACTTGTAACCTAATAGTGTGATAGTGCTAAGCTTATATAATGTTGTGTGGTTTGGAAACTATGGTGAATGTGTGGGTGTGTTTTTGTATCTTTGATTTGATCTTTTCCAAATTTCTCGTTTGCTCCTGGGTAATTCCTCCCAACACTGGCGAAGAGAGAGAGAGAATGAGATAGAGAAGAGAGAGAGGAAGAGAGACGTCGTCGTCTCGTCGTTTGCCTGGTGGGGGTCTGCCTGGTGTGGCTATAGGACCACTTAAAATATTTTGGTGGCCCTCCACCAGGCCCCGAGATTGCACATGTTGCAGGGGTGTCAGTGTTTTGATCTTTCCCTTGTTAATTGGCTTTAACCGTTTAGCGACACTTTGCCCAGGCTTCCCGTAGCAGTCTGCCCTGGAAAATCCTGTTGGGGCTCGGTGGACCTATGGATGCGTCTTTCAAGTTCCATCTCGCCTTGTGCGAGTTTGGAACTCGCCTTGAGCGAGTTTGGAACTCGCCTTGAGCGAGTTTGGAACTCGCCTTGAGCGAGTTTGGAACTCGCCTTGAGCGAGTTTGGAACTCGCCTTGAGCGAGTTTGGGATGTTGGCCTTGTGCAGCTGCCCATGTAGGTTCCCACCCTTTCGGCATTTTTGGTAGCTGAAGACTTGCTCGTCCAGGGACATTTGGTTTCGGTCTTGCACTTCTTTTCCCTTCTCGAGAGGTCCTAGGACTGGCTTGAGGAGGATGTGGGGGGCGTTGGGTGCCGGGCCTTCGTCTGCGGCGCTGGCCTCGGCAGCTAGGGCGTGTCTAGTGTGATGCTGCACTGTTGAAGTTGTTTGTGCCAATTCTCAAGGAGGCTGTGTCTGTTCTTTGCTTCTTGCCTCATGTGCCAGCAGACTGTGCTTGCTCTCTCTTTGGAATCCTATTGGGCCCTGGCTCTTAGGTTTTCGTTGCTTTTTTGTCCGTTGCTGATATGCGGAGACTACTGTCATGCAGTTTCTGCATTCAGCTTCATCTAGTTGTTGTCCTATGTTGAATTTGTTGGTTCTCCAGGGTGGCTGTTCTCGGCCTTCTCGGAAGGGTCGTGCCAGGGCTCTGGGTTCCACAGGTCGGAGTGGGCCATTGGTGCCAGTTTCTGAGCTAGCACTTCCTTTGAAGCCGGCATCGTCTGGTCAGTGCAACGATCACTCTGCTCATCAGCCGGGTTCTCGTAAGGGGCATCAGCCCTTTCGCTGGTTGTTGACGGGGCAATTGGGGGGAGCCTCGCTCTGTTTGCGTACACCTGGTCCCACAATTCGTTAGCATTTAGTGTCGTATCCTCAAGCCTGTGGTGGTGTTTGTCGGCTCCTTCTTCAGGGGGTTCGAGGCTGGCGAGGCAGGCTTCTTTCCCTGTGCTCCGTTGGGTCATCTCGGAGTGGGTGCACTTGGACGTGGTCAAAACGACCCCATCCCACAGGTGGGTTTCCAATGCTGAAACGGGACTGTGCGGATCTGAGGTTCATTCTGGACTTGTCATGTTTGAACCCCCTGGATTCCTTGCCCCTCCTTTCGGATGACCACTCTGTCTCAGGTCCGGCTAATGTTCGAGCCGCATGCCTGGATGGTGTCCCAGGACCTCAGGGACACATATTGGCACGTTCCCATTAATCCAGGGTTCAGGGACTGGTTAGGTGTCATGGTGGAGCTTACGGCTTTCATTGCTTTCTTTTTGGCTTGAATCTGGCAACTCGTGTATTCACGCATCTTACTTAGGTCGTGGCGACCAGTTTGCATCTGCTAGGGGTTTGGGTTTTGGCCTACCTCACCACTTCTATGGTGATCAGGTGGCTTCCTTGAGGGTGTCCCACCTGCGGGTTTCGTCTCAGCGGGCAGTATGAAGTTTCCTGGCGGTCCTTCTGTTTCCTTTTGACTCTTCGTCATTGTACTTTGCTTGCGGTTTGGGTGGTGGTGTCCTTTCTTTCGTGGTTGTTCCAGGACCGTCATCTTATGCCCAATACTGTCGCCTCATATCATGCAGCGCTGGTAAAGTCACTGCAGCCTGCTTTCGGTATAGATGTCACTTCTGCGCTGTATCGCTAGCTGTCTCGTGCGTTGTTTCACCTCCGGCCTGCTCTTGCGCCGCCTGAGCCGTCTTTGGACATGGTGCTCTCCTACCTCTCTTCTTCTCGGTTTGTTGTGGCCCCTTCGATTCAGGATTGTTTTTCTAAAGCTCTTTTTCCTGTTGGCATTGGCCTCTGGGGGTCGGGTTGCAGAGCTTCGTGATCTTCTCCGGCACAGGGGTTTCTGCTCTTTTGGTCATGGTGATAGGTTTATTCGTTTGCTGCCGTCTCCTTCTTTTCTGGCGAAGATTGAGACTGCTGCTTTTCGGAGGGGTCCTTGGGTTGTTGATGCTTGGTTGGTCAGGCCGAGGGTGCATCATGTGTTGTGTCCGGTTGCGGCACTTCGTTGTTATTTGCGCACCACGGCTTCTGTGTCTGAGGACGCACTTTGGGTTGATCTGGTTTCCCTTCTTCCTTGTTCCAGGGTTTGGGTCTCCCAGGTCGTCTGCAGGGTTATTTGGTCTCGCCAGCCTACAGTCTATCCCCATGCCCACGACGTTCGTAAGTTTGCTGCTCTTGCTGCCGCCTATGGTAACATGTCCTGGGCTGACTTTCGGGTGCAGGGTTTTTGGCCGTTGAACAGTGTCCTGTATGCGCCCTACCTGGTCAATGTTCCTGGGCCTTGTCGGGCCTGTGTCACTTTGGGTTGGCGGTTGCAGCCAGATGTCTCGACTTCGCATTGAGGGGCGAGTGCCGACCACCTCCCGGGTAAGTCTCTTGTTTTCGTCATTTGGTAAGTAGCTCCGGGGAGTCGAAGGGGCTCCCCCCAGAAAACCAGCATTGAATGAGTTCTGTCCACTTGTTTGACTTTCAGTAGTAGTTTCAATCAGAATATGGATTTGTTTTGGGATGCTTATCTTTCTGAGTGCCTGACCTGGTTGATGGCAGACATAGAATGCTCCAAATCACATGTGCAATTCTATAGGCCATTGCTCCTCGTGCCTCTCTGAGGGAGGCCAGGTTCTGACTCATGGTCCCCGGTAGGCCTAAGAACTCCATTCACACTGACTGATACCAAAGTCTAATATATCCATATCAGCCTGGATAGCTACGGGGAGGCTCCGGGTCTAACCTAGAAAATGGCATTTCATTACATTCAACGCTGTTTTTTTTTAATAATATATCTTGAGCTGCAACCCATCCTCCTGTTTAGATAGTACCTATTATGACGATCGTCAATACCCATAATTTGTACTTAGATAGTAGTATACTGACTTGTAAAAAATTCTTTAAAAATAAATGAAGCTAAAACACAAATATTCCTAGGTCTAGTATAGCACACACGTGTACTATGTTAGGCCTCAGATATTGTGTATTAAGCCTAGGGAGGTTAGGATAGGTTAGTTTAATTTGTTAAAGCATCACAAGTAAAAAAAAATTGCTTTCCGATCTGTCCAACTCAGTAACTCCGATTTCTACTTTCTAATTTCATTGTACGTGTGGTATATACTATATACTATGGCCCTCATTGTTACTCTTAAGTACTACCAAAACAGGAGGATAGGTTGTAGACTGATATTTGGGTGCTGGGGTTTTGGCAGTCGAACAGGGTCTTGGCGGCCAGGTATCTTGTGAACGTTGCTGGTCCTCAGCAGCCTTATGTGGCCTTGGGTCATTTTTTACAGCTGTTGTCCTTTCTTCGTCTTGATACCTGTGGTGTTTCCTTCTCCCTGGTGAGTGCCCTTTCTTCCTTCTCCATGGGTAGATAGCTTCAGAGAGCCTCAAGGGGCTTCCTCCAGAAAACCAGCATTGAAATTAAATGAAATGCCAATTCCTGGGTGAGGCCTTGTGGCTCTCCGACACCCTCCCTTGCCCAGGGTGTCGGGGTGGTTTCCATTATCATAAGAACTGGTGGTGGAGCAGCCAGCTGACCTGGTCTGCCTCCCTCCTACCCCAGGTGGGGGGGGTGGGGTGAGGTGTGGCAAACAAGATGGCACTAGTTTCATAAATTTGTTATTGTTTACTTTGTTAGGGGGGAGTTCTTTAAGCTTTTTTGAGGCTGTGGTATGGTTTTTAACCAAGAAGTGGTCTATTTTGTTTCACTGACTTTCTGGGTACCTTCCCTTGGTGCTGACAGACATGAATAAATTTCATAAAAGCTTTCATAGTGCCACTGCTCCCTGCACCTCTGAGGGGGGCCAGGTTTTGGTAGAACTAATAGGCACCCCGTGACTGATGGCACCTAGTAGTTTGGACCTCATATCAGTGTACACTAGTAGATTCAGGGAGACTTCGGAGCTGACCAAGAAATTGCCATTTCATTACATTCAACACTGAATATTTTTACCTGAAAGCAATGGTCATGAATAGTGTTGTTGTGGAAAGGAAGCCTTTAGTTTGTGTTCCATGGACAAGTTTTGAGTTTTCAATAGTTATAACATGATATTTATTCAGTATGATTTATGCTTAATTCAAATAAAAATTAATGTGTATCTAATACCTATAAACAAATTTTTTCAGGCATCAAAAGTTTGTGAAAATCTCAGAACAGAAGAAATTAAACTCTGGGCTGAGGAGGAGAGGATAAGAAAAGACAGAAGCTCATTAATAAAGAAGTTGGCAACTGTTATATCTGGTAAGACTACATTTTGGTTCTATCTCTCTTGTATTGTTAATTATTTATCATTTCCAAAGAATTTTTTCTACAGATTTGCTGAAGTTCATTTCCCATACAAGAGATTTTTCTGGGGAGCCCCTTGGGGCTCTGAGCCTACTATATCTGATATAGTGCCAGGCTACAAGGTGCCATTTGTCCCAGAGTTCTATTTGGCCTACTGAGTACCATGAGCTAGAACCTGGCCCTATCAGAGGGGTGCAGCCTTAGCTGGCTGCTGCATCGCCAGCTTCCTCTTAGGCTTTACGGATTTCGGTTCCCTGGAGCCTTCCTCTGCTCTCTGCTCGATGTCTTCACAAATGCCTCAACTCTGAGTTGGAGCTTTGTGACCAGTGCTCACCAAGCTGGCCAGTACAGTTCAGGAGTTTATGGCCATGTGGCATGCGCTGTGGAGGATTCAGATTTCCCCAGAGCTCTGTGCTCCAGCTCCATTCAAGAAGCTTTTCCCCCATAGTTCATTTTCTCAACTGGGTAGGTTCTTTTCAGTCCCTGTCTCTTTGAAACTGGGTGCTTCAAGTAGCTCAGGGATTGGCTCATTGCTGTTGACATTCTGGGAGTGTTCAGGACTTTTGCAGACTGTTTGTCACGGTTCTGTCCTGTTTCCAGGGAATGGACTGTTGATACTGCCTCCTTTCTTTGGCTTTATGATATGTACAAGCGCCTGGATGTGGACATCTTTGCATCACTGTAGAATTGGCGACTTTGTACTTTGCTTTCTTTCCCGGTTGCTAGGCCCTCGCTGTGGATGCCTTTGGCTGGACTGGTCGAGGTAGAGATTTCTGTACCTCTTTCCCATGGTCTGGCTGTTGTGCCGAGTCCTGGCCAGGTTGGAGTCTTACCATTGGAGAGTGATTCTTCTGGTTCCTTGGTGACTGGCTCAGTCTTAATTTCAGGTGCTGCTTGCTCAATGTCCGAATCTGGGCATTTTTCCGCACCTCAGTCTCTATCAGAAGGCGAGTTAGACTCGGAGGCTCCCCGGCATCCCTCCCTCCCTCCAGTCGACAGTTTTTCGCGTTTTTGACATCCAGCCTCAGAACTGATGGTGGATAGCCGGCGTGGTAGGTCTGGGGCTCCCCCTTCCCCCTCCCGGGGAGGGGGGAGCTGCGCAGACAGCGGTGCGGCGACGTGTGACGTCATGATCGTTTGCTCGTTTCTTTTAGGGAAGTTCTATCCACCTGTTCGGCTTGTGGTAGCAATTTTCACCAGAATAGGAGTTTGTTTTGGGATGCTTACTTCTCTAGGTGCCTGACCCAGTCAATGGCAGACATAGAATGCTTCCAACCACACGGGGGTTTCTATAGACCATTGCTCCCCATGTCTCTCTTAGGAGGCCAGGTTCTGGCTCGTGGTCTCCGGTAGGCCCATAGAACTCCATACACATGACTGATGCCAAAGTCTGACCGCATATCAGCCTGGATAAGCTCCGGGGAGCTTCTGGGTCTCACCCAGAAAATGGCATTTCATTACATTCAACGCTGTTTTTTTCCTTCTCTGTGGGTAGATAGTTTCAGGTAGCCACAAGGGTCTCCACCCAGAAAATGTGTTAAATGTAACAAAAGTCCATTTCTGGGTGAGACCCAGTGGCTCCCTGACACCTGCACTACCCCAGGGTGTTGGGGGTGTTAACATCATCATAGAACTGGAGGTGGAGCAGCTGGCTGACCTGGGCTGGATCCCTCTCCCCCCCAAACGGGTGGGATGTGGAGGTGGGGTGAATGAGCTAGAGCTAGTTTCATAAAATTTCTACCGTTTGTTTACATTGTTTGGGGAATTCTTTTTGTGGTTTTGGAGGCTACGGTCTTGCTTCTGACCAGGCAGAAGTCTGCTTTATTTCACTGCACCATATTCTGCGTGCCTTTCCAGGTGATGGCAGATTTAAATGAATTTGAATTTAATCTTACAGTATAGCCATCGCCCCCTGCAACTCTGAGGGGACGAGGTTCTCGCCTGTGGTCTCCTGTAGTCAAAAATAGAACTCCATGACTGATGGCAGCTAGTAGTTTACACTATATCAGATATAGTAGCTTCAGGGAATCCACTAGGGCTCACACAGAAATGGCTGTTTCATTACATTTAGTGCAGATTTTTTGTTTAGTTATACTCTTACTGCAGTACTAGTTACATGAAACATTCAAACAGTGTATTGTCTTTTATCCTAATTCGTCAATAAAATAAAGAATTCTTCAATTTTAATGATTCACTTGAACCTGATTGTTGGGAATTGAAAAAATAAATGGCTTGCAGTTGTTTTCTAGTTTTTATTTTGTGTGCATAATTTGTTACTTTTTTATTCTTTTCAGACACACCTGAAGAAGTGAGGCTGAGATGGAGACAGTGGGTTCACAACCACATGCAAAATCCCACAGCAAAGCAAGTGAGTACTGTTTAAAGATACCTGTGCCTGTACTATATTCTTGGCTAGAATAACTTGTTTCCAGTCTAGTTTACCTCAGCTGCTTCCTTTGCCAGACTCAAAATTTGCTCTTGGACACTGCTTATCTATCAGGCTCTAGTTGACCTTCAGCCCACTGTGGCAAGTAACTTTGCAAATAGTCATGTCACAAAGACAGTGGTGTTACAGTAAAATGAAGAGCAGTGGCTTAGGGCAGATGGAATGCCATGAATATATAAGCAAAAAAAAAAAAGTAAAAACAAATTAAAATAAAACTGCTATGTGGACTTCTTCACTGTGTGGTAAATGCAGGATAAAGTACAGGAAATGGAAAAATTTAAATACTTCAATATGAAAAAATTCACTTTTAACAAACTGAATAAAAATAGTTCCTCTAAGACTTGACTTAGTGTGCAAAATATAAAAAACAATCAAACAGACAAATTAACGCTATGGTAGAGAACAAGAAATAAATGTGCTGAAAATACCGAGTACAAAATCGTATAAATCTACCACCACACAGGGTAATGTGAGAGCAGGTTCAACTGTTATGAGCACTAGGAGTATTCTGACTCGCTGTGGCAGGCTGGCTCCTATATATACAGGAGTTTGGCCGTGTAGGTGGTGTTGGTGAAGCGATAATTGTGAGCAGGCAGGTAGAAACGAGCAATCTCCTTGTTAACCAGCCAGTGGGGTGACTTCCAGAATGCCAGGTGCATCGGGGTCACGGGTACAGAGGTAGGTAGAGTGGTACTGGCTAGGCTAGACATGGCTCTTGAGAACATGTTGTTGTTGTTGAACAGGCAATGAAGGGATAGGCTCAATCTCCTTGCCTAGGGAGATTCTTGTGACAGTGGAAAAAGGTTATCTCATGCCACAACAGGAGTGAATTAGCTGGCAGCTCATTCCCACCCTGTAGAGTAGTGACCGAATAAGTAATGTTGACTGGTTGTTTCTTTCTACTTTTTTCTGCACTTGGACGCCCATACTTTAGTGTTCACTTTATGCTGTGGTTTGTATCCACATCCCATCCACTGCATGTGATAGGTCTTGGTTATTGTATTCCAAGTGTGCACCAGTTAAGACTGGGATGCCAACATAGGGTGCTGTATCTCATTGAGATACAGCACGCAATTTCTGGGGAGTCCGTTGTGGCTCCCTGAAGCTATCTTACTGACATGGCTCCTAACAAGTTAGTTTCATTGAATTCCTTGCTGTGTGTGAATTGTTCTCAGAGTTCTTTGAAAGTTTTGAGTGCTCCATTTTCTGTGAACCCTCCAGTTATCTGTAAAACTGCACCGACTTTCAAGAGACTACTTCTGATGAGGTGGAGGATTGTTACCTGCTCCCTATGCTTCTGTGAGGGGGCCAGGTTCTGGCTCTAGTTCCCAGTAGGCCAAACAGAATTTTTGTGACTGATGTTACTCTTTAGTATGTAGCACTCTCAGCAAGGCAACGCCAGGAAGCCACTGGTTGGCTTCCCCCAGAAAACTAAATGATTTTTATTGTTTCTTCTGAAACCTTGATATAATTGTTAATTCATGAATATGACTCTGGGCCTTAGCACACATTTTTGACTCTGTTTAGTCTTTAATTCAGCATTGTGGAAAGTTTCATTGTGTTTCATCAAAACATTAATCAGTATTTAAAGACTCATTCAAGACCTTGTGATACCTCATTTAAATTTATTTAATGCATACATTGTATATCAGTATATCAGTCAAGCATTGAGGATGAAGGTAAAACTAATTTTGCTGATACATTATTCATTTATTATGAAATCTTTTACAAAGATTTTTCCTTCCACAGGCATTTGAGAAGCAGTGGAAACCTTTAGAGCTCGAGAAAGAGATAATTAGTATATCATCTGGA